AGTGACAGATGTTGGTTATGGTGAAAAACGAAGACAATAACTGTAAGACTTTTACAACGGTTATGGAAATTGCAAAAACTGAAAACTACATAATGTTTGCAAAATATTCCGGAAAGGCTTATTATCTATAGTTATAAAAGTTATTTTCTAAATAAAAATGTTCGTTATGCGAGATATTTTGTTTTTATTTGTAAGAACGGGTTTCCATATCTGAAGTAATGTCACTGGACGCCCCTTCACTCAAACCGTCCAGCTTGATAAAATAAAAAACAATTAGCCATTTTATTTATTGTACATATTAATACAAACTGTAAATATTTCCAAAAAAAAATTTTTAAAACGGGTTTCCTATTTATTCGACTAACATTTAAGATATTTATGATATCGGCCTGTGAATAAAAACTAAAATAATAATAGTTACTCGTTTATTTCTATTTGTACTTCCATGCGGCATGTATGTTCAATTTGTTTAGTCTCCTATTACTTTTATACTGAATCATAACATAACTTATGGACTAAATATTATAACCACACACAGTTTGAGATCATGAAAATCCTTATTTTTCTATTTCTAAATTATAAACGTCGTAACAGTTTAAATTTGATTACGACGGTTCTACGGACATTAATCTTATACACCGTTTAAACTTTTACATTTCCAAAAAGCAAATCACAAAAATCATCACATTTACTAGTAATTTAGTTACGAAAATTTTAAACGTAAAGGTCTCATATAATTTTTTTATGCCCCGTCTATTATTTTAAAACGTGCATTTTGTTGTTATATTTCCGTACAGTAGACAAAAGGTTTTTGCCTATAACACCTGAACCTCGTTAACTCCGTTGTCACAATATTTCATAGACACGTTTTTTGATAACGGCAAATTGATTTCATTATAATATAAGCATACTGCGGGTCGCCGGAAACGAGGAAAACAATATCTAAGCTCTCCACGCGGTATCTGCCGATGGCAAGGAATAAGGAAAAAACGTTTGGTAGGCGGGATGGAGTTTGCGGCGACCATCGTGAATAAAAGTGTGTCGGTGCTGGTTGTGGGGTGTCGCGTCAAAGAGGTGAAGTGGTCGACAATTAATTTAAAGTGGCCTATCAGATGGACTCACGCAATCATCATAAATCGCGGCCGTAATGATGCTTCTTCCTGGCGAAATTGTTCCGGCCCCGTTAGTAATATATAATTATGGCAGAGGCGCCGCGTTGAGAACCTGGTCGTTTCCTGAGGATAAGATACGCATGGAACCTTCAGTACGAATGACGGGAATTATTTTTTGCCCTGCTAAAACAGCTATGGTAGAGCAGTATAAAATCTATAAGGCTGACCAGTACAATGATAATATATGTTATATTGTTAGTCATCACGATTCACCGACCCAGACGTGATACGCCCAAGCCAGCTGTTTATTTCAAATTTTCTTAAGTTTAAGTGCGGTTGGGAAATGCGCGCAGATAAAAATAATACTTCCACTTCCCCTCCTATCCTAACTTTTAAACTCTTATAACTTCAAAAATAGTTATCCGAAACTGGTCATCGACCAGTCAAAATTTGTAATACATTATTCTATATTTAAAAAAGTAATAAAATATATACGATACCAGTTAAGTTTTAAAAGTTGCTATCAAAAAATCTAAGTTGGGAGGGGGGTAAAAACAAAAAAAATTTGAAAAATTGAGATCACATTTTATAAAAACAGTATGAAAAAAATTTCAATTATTAATTAAACCCAGTGAGATATTGACTGGTAAAAGAATCAACCTGTATACTTATAATAATATCTTATCATATAATTATTTATCAGTTCTTTAATTTAAAAAATAACCGCTAGATCGTCATTATTGTTACTTATTGTCAAATATAAATTAAATTATTATCCCTCTCCCTCTCAAACCCCGTTCGAAGTTCAAAAATCCTAAAAGGGTGTACAACATTTTAATTTCTATACATTTTATTTTGAAATAACAGTAGTTGGAGCAGTCTTTTTATTAGGTGCCCTGTACCTAAAAACTATATTATGTACAAAACAGTTCACAATAAGTAATAATAAAAGTCACTTAACTTTAATTTAAATAGTACACGCGTGACACGTAGACCGGGTCTTTACAACAATTACACTTTAATAGACACTTTCTTACTGTAGGTGCTGGTTTATACTGCGCTTAGTTTGGACTTCACTAGTTTGTACTTATCTGTACTTAATGGTAGATATCTGAATCCTCTATTATAACCTATGGTTACTAAATGTGTTATAACATATCTTTTTCTATCAAGAATGTGATTTATGTAATAAAAAATTGACAATAAATTATTTACACACACGTATTACTGATGCTATTTTGTTTTACTATTGAGTGAATTGATATTTAAAAATAAATAATGACATTAGTTAGTAATACTTACCTACTAGTAGCAGAAATCTAAGGCTGTTACATTTAACTAAAATCGTATACTTTCAAAAATATTATAAATGCATTACATGAAATGAGAAATCATAATCCAAAAAATGTTATCCAAAATCATAATTTTGGATAAAATGAGAAAATAATTTCATTTGGACGCAAAGGTTTTAGTATTATTTTTACTTCATTCCAAAACATTTTGTAAGTAAGAACCGTTAAACGTTTTTCTTTTTATCAAAATAATAGTAATAGTGCAGTTATATTATGGCAAATATGAAACACAACATGCCGTATAATAATGTAGTATCATATTATCCGAGAGAAAAGTTAACTACACGTCACACTCCTCCCATTAAATACACCACTGGACACTGAGTCATAAATACAGTGACTAATCCATTGTGAACTGAAAACAATTTATATTTTAGAGCAACGATTTTTTTTTAAGCGAATAGTGCCGTGGAATATTTTTCACCAAAAATGATGTTCTACGTAGGTAAGTACTTGCAACTTGTAGACATAAGTATTTATTTTTCACCTCTACAACGAAAAATAGGTACATCTCGGTGAAAAAAAGTGTATGGTAAAAAAAAAATCCAATTTTTTTTAATCAGTCGCAAAGGCATTTTTCATTTTCCATTTAAATAACCCACATAATATACTAGTTTTTTTTAAACAATGACAATTGTTTTTTAAACTGTTTTTCAAACTTTGACAATTTTAAGACACGATTCTAACATAAGGCGTTTAAAAGCTTATAAAAAGCTCTACAAAATTAAATATAACTATAATTGAGTTTTGACAAGAAAAATGATCGGGGATTAATTTGAAATTTAAAAGGTATATTTGATGTTACCCTATACGGCGATAGCCTCAAATTTATATTTTACCTACACTCCACGGGGAGTGGACGTTTTTGTAAATTTAACATAAACACGTGATAACTTCGAAAAAAATGTTTATAACAATATTTTTATGGACACCTATTTAAAGTAATCCTATTAAGTTTTTGTACGAATTTTAGTTTTTTTAACTTTTTCACTTAAAATATTTTTTTGGCTAGGTAAAATTAAAATGCGATATCAAATTTGAAACGGCTCTTACTTATAAAATCTTTTGGAATGGAGTAAAAATAATACTAAATCCTTAGCGTCCAAGTGAAATTATTTTCTCATTTTATCCAAAATTATGATTTTGGGTTTAGTCACGCCTTTCTACTTAGATAGACGTGATGAAAATTTCAGTTTTATATTTTGATTTCACGTATTGAAAAACGGTTTCGAATTTATAGAAATCAAATATCCAAAATTACAAGAATACTTCAATTTTTCTTTAAAATGTTGTATTAGCATTGCCATTTGTATGTCTAAAAACAGCCCTAAGCCTATGCCCTATATGTACAACGTCTATCGTGCTATTTTGATAATAAAAAAATTGTTATCAAGGATCTGGATAAAGAGCCGTCAAAATTGTGTACTCTCGAACTAAAAAACACAGTTCTTTTAAAAAAAATTAGTTATGCTAAATCGGAAAATGCCAAATGTTAGTTTTTCCAGAACAAAAACAATATATTCTGGATAAAAGTATTTATTATATTAACTCTACCCCTTAAAACTTCCTTCATTTTTTAAAGGATAATTTGTAATTCATAATTGGCAATTGAATTGAGCCGCATTATATTATCAGTTATGATTTATAAATTTACAATTACATAAAATATATCAATAAATAAATAATTAAACAAAATACTCAAACAGGTACTTTTATTAGAGGCCATAAGATTATGTATTTAATGTTTTATATGTACTAAATTAAATAAAATGTGTACGTAATTATTAAATTTTATATTTACGTGTTAATTTTATTTATGTTATTTAATTTTAATATTTTAATTTCTAATTACTAAATAGATTCAAATATATCAAGGATAATCTTGGGGTCGTAGTATAGAAGTCGTTCTATAAACTAATTTTATTTTCTTAGTTTTGAAAAATTACATGAAAATGATTGAAATACTTAACTAAAATATTTCACAAAAATAAATTTCATTAAATTTTAAAATTCTACATACATAACTTTCACAAAGCAATCTTTTTGCTGTAGTGTATGAAGTGCACTCCTAGTTCCTACCACGCTATTCATAAGTAAACTGTAAATAAGTTAGTAACACAATGAAAGACGCACATGATATTTATTACACAACGAATCCCGGTGTCAATTTAACTGTGTCGCAGGAATTCTTTTTGGAGTGGTTAAGAAGTATGAATAAAAATGTAAAACCAAAATTTAAATCTCCAATACCAACTATCGTGTGTGGATATAAAAATATTTCGGGAGGGGTTACGCCCTCTTAACCTATTGCTCTGTTGAATCTAGACGAAACCAAATTAATAGAATCAATGTTAATGTATAATGTTTTATAGATCAGTATAGTATTACCCCTTTTAAATGCATTCAAATATAAAATGTTATTACCTGTGGGCTGTGATTGGTATAATATTTTAGAATAGGAAATTCTGCGTTTTAAAAAAAAAAAAAATAAATGATAATGATTATCGTTATTGACGTCAAAATGATAAGAGTACGAGATTGGTGATAAAATGTTAGGTTTTCTATTCAACACGGGCCTTATATTATTTTAAAAATCGTTCATTCATCGAAGGAATAGTTTTTTAAAATTCATGTTGTCTACGTTTCATGCAATTGTCACACAAGGCCTTGAATAATACATTTTTTCTATCGTTAATCATTTCTCTTTCTCTATCAAATATTCTAAACAGGCGTGTTACAATAGTGGATCCAAATCGTACCATTAACAATGGTGGACCGATTAGGTAAATTTTACCTTGTGTAACTATACATATTATTTTATTCCAACAATACAATTTGTATAATCTTGTTTTCAGTAAATAGCGAAGCAAATGCTCGCAGAATTACAATGGTTGAAAGTTGTTTTGGGAGTTCCGGACAAGTGAGCACAATTTTAATTAAAAACTAATTGTTTTATTAATGATAAATCATAAATGACATATAAATGATAATTATTGCAGCCATTAGGTGTACCAGGAAGAGTTTTAGTAGGTGAAGGAGTTCTGACAAAAATTTGTCGCAAAAAGCCTAAACCTAGGCAGTTTTTTTTGTTTAACGATATTCTCGTATATGGAAACATTTTGATGAATAAAAAAAAAGTAACAAAACTCGTCAAACTAGCTTTAAAAGTTGTCATTATATTAAAATAAAATGTTTACAGTATAACAAACAGCATGTTATTCCCTTGGAGGAAGTCAAGTTAGAATCACTGCAAGATGAAGGGCGTAAGTAAAAAAAACATTGTTCTATGATATAGGATTATCTTAACTAAATAACACCAATCTATTTGATTTAATCATATTATTTTACATTGTAGAATTACGAAATGGATGGTTAATTCGCACAGCATCAAAGTCTTTTGCGGTTTATGCAGCAACTTCAACAGAAAAACAAGAATGGATGGCCCATATTAACAAATGTATAGAAGACTTATTAAGAAAAAGCGGTAAGAAAGCTGTAGAAGTTCATGCTGCCGTATGGGTACCAGATTCCGAAGCAAATATTTGTATGCATTGCAAGAAGACTCAGTTCACTGTTCTCAATCGAAGGGTAAATAAATAATAATCTTACTATGTGTCACCTACATTATAACTATTAATTATTAATAAAGCAATGAAATTATTATAATGATTTAGTTTTAATTGTTTATTTGTTATTTATTATTATTAAATTTTATTTTAGCATCATTGTCGTAACTGTGGAACAGTAGTATGTGGTCCGTGCTCTAGTAAGAGATTTTTGCTACCTAATCAATCATCGAAGCCCCTCCGTGTCTGTCTTAATTGCTTTGACAAACTGTCAAGAGATAAAGCTCAACAAAACAGTACTAATTTAAATTATCATAAAAACTGTAAGTTTTATTTTTATTTTTATATTTTCTTAATTAACTTCATTTATTTAAACTTTCAGCATTATTGAAGGATCGTAGTGAATCATCAGGTGAAGATGACTCTGACGATGATGATAATTTTGTTGCATCAACTACTACACCTGATCAGGTTAATTGTACAAATTTAAAATATAATTTGTCTATTAAGGAAAATAGCATATTGACCTACTTACTTTTATTTATTATAAACAAGCAATTTTCAACTTTGCATATAAATAATATGACATATGAATATTTATTACAGTAATACCAATAAACAAGTATTATTTTTACATGCTATTTGAATAGTAAAATATCTTATCATACTAGCAGTGCTTGAATTGAAAGGAGGTATAAAATAGTTAAAGCTCGAGTTAGGTTAGGCTGGGGGGAAATAGACGCAATTGTCTGAACAGTAATCCACATTAAACATTTAAAATAACATATTGGAAGAAACTCAAATTCTTTGTGTTACCTCTCAAATTCAATCACTGCGTGTTAAAAAATTATAGCAATGAGCAAAAAGTTACCTTTCGGTTCAAGAACAACAAAATGCTATTTTCCAAAAAAAAAATTGCTAATTTGTTTTTATTAAATTACCAATTCTATCATATTAATCTTTCTTCTTACTTTTGTTTCAGCCGAAGTTTTATTGATTGTATTAATTGACCATCCAAACTAGTACTATCTTCCGTCGAATCTAATTTTTTTTTTAAAGTGTGATTTTGATACCATCCAATTTATCAGAATTTCCTAATTTTCTTTTATATGTAATTAAATTAAAAAAATAACATTGATTCTTATAGACATTATATTTATTTTCATAATGATTTAATATTTTATCAATGAAATTTAATTTAAGGTGATTATTAACTATCTAAAATCCGAATTATACATTTGTGATACCTTGTTAGTAACATTGTTAAGTTGATTTATATCAAAATTTATTTATTCAATATTAGTTAATATATTTTTATTTAAATATTACCCTACTATAATTATAATTATTGGCAATCATAGTATTTTTCACTGATAATTATTTATTTGTACATCAAACATAACTGACTAAAAAAACATTATTTCAAGTCGTATAGATGTTAAGAATTTATATACATAAGTCAATTATTAATACTGGAACGGGATGGATTATTTCATAATACTAATTATTTTCATAAATATACTTTTATGTTAAAATTACTCTACTTGCTGTAAAACTTTTATTCATATTATTAACAAGTTGTAAGTCTTATAGTTAAGCAAGATTATTTTTTATAACAAGAACAAAAATATTGCTGTGTTAACATCTATCACACTATTCTAAAACATAAGTTTGAATATGGTTGTTGTAACATCTTTGTTAATCTGTTTTGGTTGTTTGTTTTTAAAAACCATGTTAATTAATTGTGATTGCTGTATATTTGTCAATGGTATATTCAATTCTATTGAATGTTTCATTATTTCTTTACACTGGCGAACATTTTGCATTATATCTGAAAAATAATATTTATATTACTTATGTACATTTTTTTCAACATCGAAAAAATATATTTAATTTTTTAAATACTACTTTATTTTTATAATATAAGTTTATAGGTAATACTTTATTATTTAAAATTTTTTTTTCATTTATTAAATCAACTTATTTTTTATTTTGTTTTAATGATACAAATAAATATATTAAGAAATAGTTATCTAGTAAACAGTAATATATGCATCAATAATTTAAAAAATATTTTAGACAAATTAAGGAGCAAAAATTATCACCAAAAAGGATGGTATTAACAATATAAATTTTAAGTACTGATAAACAACGTTTATAAAAAAATAAGTCTGCTAATTTTCTATTAAATATTAATAGAATCTATTAAATAACTGAATAAAAATATAAAATTAAACTTATTAAAAGTAAAATCATTCTTTCCCTTATGACTTACGCCCTTCTATTTGATTAATGACTATCTTTGAAATAAAGTTTACGCACAAAGAGGTTTTTATTAAATCTAAAAACATACGGTATACTCACAATAATAATTAAATAAATGTCTTAGAATCCATTTGTAGGACTCCATGCGATTATATTTTAACATCAAAGTCATCAATTTATAAATATGTTCTATTTTATTAATTTTTATTAAGTCTCGAGTAATTGTTGGAACCATATACTGTATCTGATCAATTAATTGACTGTTGGTTTGAACTAATCGCTCAGCCTCTATGTTGTCATTGTATAACTCGCTTGTGAACAAATATTTCCAAAGCACACTAATCGGATAAAAATCACTGTATTTATTCATTATAGTGTTTACAAAATTCAAAGCCATCACGACCGATGCTTCACCTTGAGATTTTACTATATTGCATATGATAGGATCTATGATATGTAAAACTTTTGTTGAATGAATAGGATAAAACCATTCTAATATTTCAAACATCTTCTTTAGATTGCCGTTTACCCAATATGCTTCAGCATAATACATTTTTAATTTACTCTCTGTAACGCGATACTCATATAGATCACATAATTGATCAATAATATTTAATCCATCAATGCGTCCATGTTTGGAAACCGTGATCATGAATTTACCCAACAATAGTTTATTTATCCTGTGAGATCTTTTTAAACTTTGTTGCAAATATGTGATTAAGTAATCAATATCATGATAGGTTTTAGAAATTGTATTTGATTTAATTTTGGCTATCTTATTATGTTCAGCAAATGTATTATACCTCCATTTATTCGTCTTTTCTTGTACAAGGGCATTAGTGAATGCATCAAATGCGTCATAATGATAATTTTTGATAGAATTATTCAGTAGTTCTTCTTTAGCCGGTACAACTAAAGTAGTCTTATGAAAAATCAGTTTAGTAAATAAACCAGCCGTTGATTCATATTTTAAATTTACTTTTGCAAACGACCTTATTCTAATGCAATTCATTTATATGAATCAACACACTAGGTATATAAAAACTATAAAAGTACACAATATATAATCATTTAAATTCATACCTACACACTAATATAAATACAATTTTATCTAAGTTTTAACTTCAAATTAAATAATTATTTATAAAATAAATAGATAAACATAATAATTAATAATACATTACAAGTTTCAACTTTCAAGAGCTTTTCACTTTTACATTAATTACAATGTTATGTTGTCACTTATCAGGTTAAATTATTTACTCAGTGATAGTATTTAATCTATGGTATAATGTTTCACTTGAGATACTGTTATCAACCACGCGGATTTTGATTGAATCAGTAATCACTATAATCAGTATGACTTTTGAATCAAAACTCGACCGCAAAACCAACGGCTAAGCTTACTGAACTTAAAAAAATGTATTAATTTCAAGGTGTTGTCTATAAAGTTTTTGATTCCTTAATCAGTTTTCCGATCTTTAGCAATTGGTGTTTTATACTTTAATCGTGTAATATCAAATTAAAAGTTTTGTTCGTATAAAATAATAATGGACAAAATTACGGTAATAAAAGGAAAAATCGAGTCAGAAAACCCAATATTAGTCGCCTCAGTAAGTTGCATAATGCAAGTGTTTAATTTTTACTGAATTAAATTGGATAATGGATATAACATGTTTATGTTAATTGTTTGTGTCAGGCTATTTCCAAGCTGGTTAACATGATTACGATGAAGATTAGTGGGACAAGAACAGACATGACAAAAGTAATATTCTATTCAATGATTTTGAATGTGATGCACCCAAAATTAACATTTTACTCCTAAAATTAAAAAATAATATATTTCAGTACTTATTAATAATAATATATTCATTAAAAACAAGTAGAAGAAGATAATTTTTTTTCTTTATCATTAAACGATTTGTATAACATATAACAAACATTTTTTAATAATTAAGTGGTCCATTAAGAAAACAGCAATTGAAATAAATAGTTTTAGATTGATTCCCGAAAGAATAACTCAGTACACACAACTTGTCTTAAAAATACATTTTTCTTAATGTTTGAAAAAAGCTTTAATGACCAAAAAATACATATTATTATTACACTGGCATGAATAATATTATTTTAAGTTATGAGTGTAACTTATTTAGTATTTTAAAATATTGACTAAAAAAAAAGTTGAATTAAAGTATCTAAAATACTGTCAATAATAATAATCAAAAGAGCTGCTTTTGATTCTCCTTATAAAATTAAATTAACATAGTTGTGGTTACAACATTATAATACATATATATATATATATATGTATAAAAATTGGGATTTTGGGATTAAATTCAACAAATAATGCAAGTGATAAAGAATCTATTAAACTTGGAAATAAAACCAAGTAGTTAATATAGTTAAGAATTTTAAGTATTAGATATTTAAAAAAAAATTGTTTTTGAAATTTCTTTCTGTATTATATTTTTTATATACTGTAACAGATCCCTGAAATGTTGCTACTTCAAGAATATTGTTGCCACCATAATACAGTCGTCAGTATGACAGCATTTAGAGCATTGTGTGAATTCATAACAACTAATGATCATTATCCTACTCAACTATTGATTGATTGGCTAACTGTTCTGATGTCTCGGACTAAATGCAAAACTGGATTTATTCAAGAAGTGTTTGAATTAATTGTTTTTTTATTAAAAAAAAAAAAAACTACTATCAACAATAATAATATCAATGCCTTAATTGATCTTTTAATTAAAATAATGGACGAAAACATCGATCAATGGAGTTATGTTCTACTTCATTTGCAAGTTAATACAAATTTAGATGATCCAAGGTAATAACAACATTAAAAAGTAGAAATATTATTTGTTTTTATAAAAATTCTTTAAATATTATTAGGAAATTTTGATTTTTATAGTTTTACCAAAAACTGGTTGAATGTAACTAAGCGTTTATTCAAATTCATTTTTATATCACGAACACCATCAAGCTACCGAATTGAATTCGTAAAATTGTTTTTAGAAATACTTGTGTGCACGTCAGAGTATGAATTAATATTTGAAATTTACTCTTGTTTACAAGTAAAATGTTTATATTTCTGTATATATATGTATACAATAATATATTGATGGCATAGTATGCTCTGCATCATAATATGTGCACTTTTTTTTTAATTTTACAGAAATGATGTTTTAAGTCACAATGTTTTACCCCAACATATATAAACTACTTTGTCTTTTGACAAAAAACTGTAAAAATAATCATTTTAGGCTTTCAATATGTGTACACTAGGAGTAAAAGGCTATAGGTAGCTTAATCTTTTTTTAGTTTTAATAACTCAAAATCCCAAAAAAGTGTACTTATGAAATATGTTTATAGTGTAGCGTTATGCCATCATATTTAATGTGTTATACAAGTTCAGCAGTCGCCAACCAGTGTTCCACAGAAAATCTGGACATTATTTGCTTTTTGGTTTTATTAACCATGTAGTAGAACACTCGATCTTGCAGTAACTTCATTGGAGCTAAATATACACAAACTTATTTCAAACGAGAAGGAAAAAATATCACGCTAAAAAAGATTCATCCTTAAATAAGCTTCAATTATTTTGTAATAATTAAATTAACTTTCATAATTTTGTAATATATTTTTAAAAAAAAGATGAATTTTATATTAATATAGTGGGAGTTCTCTGGTCATTATTTTACAAATTTATTTATCTTTATAAATAAAAATAAAAATTATATAAATCATTAGTCACATTATATAAGTGGTCCACGGAATTTAAAGTTATGAATTTAGTTGTCCGAAAGGTTCATGGCTGCTGTACTAGTAGACAAATAGTTTTAAGATTCTAACTTGAACATTTTACTAATGTTATAGATGAGCGATTTGAATAATGTTTTGTTTTTATCAAATTTGTTGGATGAAATCTGTCAAGTAATTCCATACAAACTTCATGAAATACAATTCAATTTATGTTTGTGTATAGCTGAATGTTCAGTTCAATTATTTATGCACGGATATGAACCTACTTTAGTACTATTAAGACTCAAAAGACTTTTAAAAATTTGCCCTTGTGCTGCTGAAAATGTATTACTGGCAATGATTAGAGCTTTAAATGTTTGCTGGTCAAATTGTGTACTGCAAATAACAAATTTTTGTAATACATATTTTTGAATTTTGAATGTTTCATTTTGTTCTATCTACATTCTATCTTATTATAGGTTTAAATATTATTCAAAACTATGGATGTCATAAAATAATTGCCCAAACATTATTAGCTAGTATTTTCCAATGGAATCAAAATAAAGGAATCATTAATGACTCGATAGAGTCGATTGTTTCTACTGTTAATTTTAACAGTACATCTAAACTTCGATCATGCCAAAATTATCATGAAATGTCACCGTTCATGAGAGCAGATTGCCACATCACAATGTCTATTCAATTAATAAAGTTTGTTTAAATTTAACATTAATATTTTTTGATAACAATATATTTGTAATATTTTTATTTGTTAAAGGCTGTGTGCTGAATTTGACAATCAACATTTTATTACAAAATGGTTAGCAAAAATCAAAAAATCAACATTTTTATCAGAGAATACTTTATTTAGCTTTTTTGTAGCTGGCCTTTACTTGTGCAAACGGTTTGATAATCATCATCAACAAAGTTTATTAAATTTAATAAACAAAAAATACCTATTACCATTTATAACTTATGCTATAAATAACGAAACAAACTGTTATAAAAAATTACATCTATTACAAGTCGTACCTACAACTGCTTGTATGCAAGTAAGATAAAATAATTTGCATAAATTAAAAAATGTATAATTTTATCATGACAAATATAAAATTAAAATAATAATAAAACTTTTAGAAAATTCTGGAAAGGAATTAAATATTAAAACTCAAATAATTATGGTATAGATTTGAGTAACTGTATTAATTGTACATATTTTTATATTATTATTAAAATATTAATGTTTCAGGAAAACGTGTCATTAGTTATAAATCTTATTAAGCAATTTGAAGAATGTAATGAAGAAACTCTCCAAATATATAGCATTATTATGTATTTTGATTTATGGACAATAGAATCTAGATGTTATAGATTCTTACTATATAGTATATCAAAGGACAAACCTGGATGGCAGTGGAACGTTGTAAAGGCATATACTGTCCAGAAATTAGTAAAAACCAAGTAAAATACAAATGTTATTCAATATGTAAATTGGTTTTTGAATAATTTGTTAAAATTTTGTGTTTTGTTAAGTCCTAATTCAGATTTGGTGCCTATCCTAAAACAAATGTTGGCATTTTATATTAAACATAAACTGTATTTACCAATGAAATTGACTTTAGAATCATTAATTGAATTATGTTCAGCTGAATACTTAAGCTCCGAGGCTCTTTTAAAAATATTTGATAAAAATATTGGTAACATTCATCATCCTTCAGTCATTTCGAGGTAAAATTTGATTTATTTTTTATTGGTGTTTTAATAGATATAATTTAATGTAATGTTTTTAACAGTTATTGTGATTTATTGGCAGAATCTGCTATTCAAACTACAGACAATAAAGTACGTACTGAAAATATACAAAAGCTATGGTCTTTGGTATTACATTCAAATATTAATACCATAAAGTGTGCATTAAAGTAAGTGCTGATAAAATAATGTAAAAAATGTATTAGTGGTCGGCTCCACTCATACACGTACAAACATTGAATGTTTAAACATTTTTAGATCATTATCAAAAATTGACTTAGAAAACATGCCTATGCGAATTTTACCTCAGACATTTCAAAGCATTCCCAATATTGTTACCCAGTTAGAAGATTTAGAAAAACTTGAGTTGCTTGAAGGACCTATACTAGGTATAGAGCTATCATACATTGTTTTATATTTAAGTAATTTTTTTTATTTTTATATAGGTGAGTGCTGGATAAAATTTATTCAAAATATCAATGCCGCTTGTATTAATGAAGCTCTTTCTACATTATCAATTTGGTTGGGACAAGAATTAATTAAAAATACATCTTTTAGAGTACCATCAGATCGTGAGTCCCTTATATTTGCTGTATTTTAGTGTTGTTATTTAAATGCCTTATTACAGATGAACCAAAATCGTTAAAACACCTACCCGAGTATAGCATTGCTAGAGGATTAATGTCATTTGTGGTTCCAAAGCGTAAAAAGATGTTAGACACTGACGAACGCCTTAAACAAAATTGTTTAGTTGTGTTAAATGGTACTGATAAACCCATGTATGCATTTGATTGGTCTTTCTTAGACCGGTATTTGACAGAAGGACCTCAAAGTAAACTTTGGAAAGAATCAATTACATTAATTGCTAAACAATCCATGAGATCTACTTCAGCATTTAGACTTCTATACAAATGTTATGAATATTACAAAAATCTTGATGTGAGAACAGTTTTATATAAAAATATTTAACATTTTTTTAATTCATATAACACTATGTTATAAATATATTACGCATTACTCTACTCGTTTCAGATTAATCAAAAAAAGTTATTATTTAATACTTTAGTCAAAGTCTCTCATATTATGTATCATGATTTCCAAAAGCAATTTATGGCCAACGTTTTGGATGAAGTTTATATATTTGATGATGACAAAATAAATAATATAAATTCAGGTATATATCTTAGTCATTTATTTAAAATGAATTTGTATATAAAAGTACTATTAGAGACTTAAGTATTTTAATATTGACGCTTTCAAGGCAAAAAGAGTATAAACAACATTTTTTGAATAATCAACTGAATACATATGTAAACAACAATTATTTTCAATCAGTTATGCTAACTGTCTTATTGATAATTATATTTTGTGATACGACAAATTTCAGCGTAAACACTATTAGTTAATGGGTATTATGTTAAAATCAATTTAAACAATATTTTAATAACTGTCGTTTTTATCCGTTTGCCTTGGAAGCATATATATATATATATTTGGAACCAAATTTGTATTTGATAAATATTTGATTTTTATAGATGATCTGTTGTGTCATTATTTAAACGAATGCAAACTAATATTACAAAACCCAGAAACTAATACAGTTAATATAGACTTGATTTGTCATCTTTTTGAAAACATTTGGTGCACAATTCAATTAGACAATAAGGTTCAGTTTGTTAAAAACTTTTATTTCACCAATAAATGAAAATAATTTAAAAACTCAATTTTCTCTACAGAAAGTACTTGAAGTATTTCTTAGTTGCTGTCTTGTAATACCAATCAAAGTTTTAGAAAATATGCGACCGTACCCAGTTCAAAACGATTCGCTTCCAAAGTTTATAACTATGTGTTGTGCTCAAAATTTTGTTACGAGTAATACATCTTTTAATGCTTTAGAAGAGTGCATTAAAGCTGCCAATCAATTTTCCAAGTATGCAAACACAAATAACTTCCTAATACAACACCTTTGTTTGATATTAATTTTTTTTTTTCTAGGAGTAAAATTGATTTGTGCAATTTGGTAGTTGATATTTTTTGTTTTAAACATTATGAACAATTTCACCACGAGTTTATTAATAATTTAATGGTTCATTTAGCTGGTTTTATGAAAAATGCATTCACAAATGTTTGTATATCTATGATTAAATACTATTAAATTTAATAGTTTATTTGCATATAGTTAATATAAAAAAAACAATTCCTCTTTAAAACTGATTACAGTTATTGTCAGATACAGCTTAGCTGCGACAGCGCGAAAACGCAAGCCAGGGGTTCTCTGTATTTTATGTTTCTTTTTTTATGTCTATTATGCTTTGTCGAAGCATAGTTGATAGTTTTTTTTTATACATTTTATAATAATAATAGTAATAACAATAACAACAACAATAATAAAGAACCGTCACGGCCAAACCATGCACGTCCTGGTGGACAGCCGGTTAAGTGAAAAAACTAGTTTGGTATACACTAACTGATAAATGCCGCCACCACTGAGCAAATTTATCTGGCAACGACTGTATCAGGTTTTATTAATTAGTAATTTTGCATTCATAAACCTAACAAATATTTTAATATATTTTTAATGTATTTTTTTGCTTTATTCTACTCAATTTAACAACTGAATTACTGTAATAAAATAATATTTTTAGAAACCATGTTTTAAACCAAATTATTTGGTTACAGGAATCATTTGATGATATGTTTTCAGTTTTTATTTGTATTATAATATCAATATCGGGGTTTGATGGAATTAGTTCTGATGATGGAACAATTTTAAAATGTACGGTCTTTCCTCATGCGCTTGCGACATTCGCTAAAAATTCAGCTCAAGTAAAAACACTTTTAGTAGAAATTGTCATTATGTTAGCTTAACTAAAAACTGTTATAGACTTTTAGGATCATTGAATGGCTTAAAACAATGAGAAGTATTCAAAATCTATCGGAAGATTATACCAAATTATTCAATTGCTGTTTAGCAGCATTGAAACATGATGTATACTTTAAAAACTGGATGAATACAAAAAAATTCTTATTGTGAATTGAATTTCAAAATCTAAGGTAATAATTTGTTTTCATTTTGTTTAGTGACATGTATCACCATTTGTGCTCGTTATACTATTCCCTTTATAACCGTTTGGATTTAAGGACTGCCATCTCCAAAAATCTCTACCTAAAAAATAATTTATATAATTAAATTAATTTTATTACTTGAATTATAATAAAATAACATTGTACTTACATATATCATCTAAAGTGTACTTAGCTGTCCAACCAAGTTTAGTTCTCGCTAAGTCACAATTGGCATACATGGAACCAATATCACCTTCACGACGAGCTTCTATAATATAAGGCACTTTAACACCTGTTACATTTTCAAATGTTTGTACAAATTCTAAAACTGAAGTTCCTTGCCCACTTCCTAAGTTAAACACCTAAGCAAAACATTCTAATGAATATTTGTAAACAATATGATTTATCGTACAGACTATAGTAATAACCAAAATAATTTTTACTTATATTAACATATTACTTATTTTAACATATTTAAATAATTCAGTTAAATTATTAAGGTTTTTTTTTTATTTAAACGCTTTGTTTAACTTAAAATAATAATTAAACATTTATCTTAGAAAAAGGAATGATAATACCTAAGGTCAATCATGTATTAACATATTTACTATGTTTAAATACATAAAATGAGTTCTTTGTAAACCTTTAATTTTTTGTTGCGCCATTAAAAAAAATGTTTGATAATGTGATGACTTATACCCAATTTGTACTTCTTCCTCTACAAAATCAAGAAAAATGCCCAAAAAATATTTTTCAACTGGAAGTTATAGCACACAATTTTTTTAAAAATAGTCTAATTAGTTCTAAAATTATATGCAATATTCTTTAGACTACCGAGTACTAAACTACTTAAGTACTGATAAATTTTGACAAACTAAACAAATATCATTTATACAATTATATGCTTTTTTAATTTTATTTATTATTTTTAATTATTTGAGGTATTATTGAAATGCATACTGTATATACTATAATAGTTTATTTAGTATTTACCTCTAAATGTGATTGTTTAGATTGCAATTTTTTTAAAGCAGCTACATGTCCTTCAGCTAAATCCATTACGTGTATGTAATCTCTAATACCTAAAAAAGAAAAGGCAAAAAAAAACAATAATAAATTATTGACAATTAGTTACTGAACATACCTGTACCATCAGGTGTTTCATAGTCCCCACCAAAAATAGATAAAGTTGGTTTTTTCCCTAAGGCTACTAGTGCTATATATGGCATTAAATTTGAAAAATTTTTTGTTGGATCTTCTCCGATTAAACCAGATGAGTGCGCTCCTACTGGATTGAAATACCTCAAGCTTATTACGTTCCATTTCTAAGTAAAGCAATAATCATTTTCAAATGCATTAATAATATTATTAAAGCAAGTTAATAATACCGGATCGGAATTGACACTGTCTTTCAGTATTTCTTCAATAAAATACTTGGTACGCCCATAAACATTAGTGACATTACCAATTGGGTGATCTTCAGTAATAGGCAAAAATATTGGATTTCCATACACAGTACACGAACTTGAGAATACTAACTGGTAACATTCATGAGCTGCCATCACATCCAAGAGATTCATCGCACCTACAATATTATTTTTGTAGTACATGAGTGGTTGTTTAATAGATTCTCCGACGGACTTCATAGCAGCAAAGTGTATCACGCAGTCGAATTGGTGCTTTTATTTGAATAAAAAAAAAATACTATTTATTTAGTAATATTATACTAAATAAATCAAAACCTAGTATTTACTTTTTTACAGTTACTCACCTTATTGAAAATATCATCTAGCTGTTGGATATCGAGTAAATCACATTTGTAAAATATAATTTTTTTTCCAGTTATACGGCTCACTCGGTCCAAACTGGCTGCTGACTCTTGTTGTTCAACACTATTTACAAAATTATCAATGGCCACTACATTATATCCAGCTTCTAGCAGAGAGAGAACACAGTGACTTCCGATGTACCCAGCACCACCCGTAACGAAGACAGTTTTAATATTGGTCATAATTTTAATTTGATAATTTGTTTTTTTTTTTTAATTAAAAAAATTGAATATAACTTTTTTTTTTATACATATACTACACGTTTTTTCGGGATAATAAATTGTTAATCTCTTTGTACTACTATTTATATTACCAAAAGTTGTAATATATATTATTATTATTGACTGTGATGACTGGTGACTTAAACGTCGGTAGACGAAGCCTAACCAACACGTGTCCTTGGGCCTTGCACGTCGCCACAACAAAAAAAACGATTACCCGATATACGGTATTAAATATTATGGTGGGGACTTGGCGGCAGTGCAATTATTATTTTGTACGCGTGCGGCGTGCAAGAAGTCGAAACACGACTCCTAATAACTGGTTTCGGGCTCCTGTATTTTCCTCCTCTCGCTGTTTTTACATATTTTAGGTAGCTAGTAGTATATTTGTCTATCATGTTACGGTTCATCTGGCCAATTGTGCGGATTCATGGGGTCGGACATCCATTTATTTTTCCTAATAAATAGTTATATTATTTGCTCTGTCTTTAATTTTCAATTATATGAGGCAGTTTATTAGTAGTAGTAGATTATAAATACTGTAAATAATCGCCAAGATTAATTCATTGGTTCTAAGCATACATTAATAATTTAATATTATGTAACTATACGAATACACAATGTTTAAGATACAAGAAAGACGAACAATTGCGATTATAAACACCAATTTCCTCAGAGCCTGACTGCCTAATGTGCGGTTCATATTCTTTTATATTAGTATCGGACGGAAAGACTAGGAGACTAGAGTTAATCTATAATACTCAAATTGGTCGTGCAGCCGAATCAATCCGAGAGGCTAGGTTAGAAAAATCTATGCTCTTCTTTTGTTCTATTTTTTGTTGCCGTTATTAATTGGTTTGTTTGCGACTGGTCCTTTATTTAGTTGAATCATGCTAAATCCTAAAAGTATTATTAGGTAAACAGAAAAAACACATTGGCGCACAGTGGTCTGAGAATGAAATTTAGGTGACAAAAATAAACCATTAAAAATGTTCAAAAAATCAATTTTTTTTTCTAGGATCTCATTAGTATATCGCACTGTCAGAACAATAAGGCCATAACTCAAAAAAAGCAAATGTTCAGGAAACCAATACTAAAACTTAGAACAAAATGATAATTTGTCCACTGACCAAAAAGTATTTTCGAGGGCTCATACATAATTATAATATATTGTTCTGACTCAAAGAACTTGTTTTAGAACATGAGCCATATTTCTTTTTACGGCAAAATTGTACTTAGGAATCTAAACATAGACGTTCAATGCAATAAGGGTTTTTGGCGAATATAATTTTTATTAATATCAGGAGGTAGATGGCGCCACTACAAAAAAAAAGAGAAAAAAAAATACGAATTGATAGACACCAAAAACAAGAAAATCATAAATTTGGAGTTGCGGCCTTATTGTTCTGACAGTGCGATATGATTACTAGTGAAAATATAAAATTTCAACTTAATAACATTTTTTGAACTGGAGTTATAGCCAAGTGAACTAAACACATATTGTTTTTTCTGTTATTTTGAAAATAAAAATGCCGATAATTAATTAATTTTTTTTGACTATTAAAATATGTAAAATAAAAAAAATAAAATGCTCGATTGTTTAGTAACATATAAAGATTATAAAATTAAAATAATTTTTTTTTTTTTTTAATTTAAGTCCTTAACCGGTTATGAATCATAAAAAAAATCGAACGTTTTTTCTTTTTTTTTTTTTCAAAGACTTCAGTTAAAATTTACTCAATTTTACCCTAAACCCAATATATGCATTTTATAGAGAAAGTTCTCAGCTATAAGAATATATAATTTTTGATTGCGTCCCGTTGCATTTCCAACGCACAAAAATCATATTGTCATAAAAAAAATGGTGTTTTTATAAAATGCATATATTGGGTTTAGGGTAAAATTGAGTAAATTTTAACTGGTCTTTGAAAAAAAAAAAGAAAAAAATGTTCGATTTTTTTTTATGATTCATAACCAATTAAAGACTTTAATTAAAAAAAAAAAAAATTATTTTAATTTTATAATCTTTATATGTTACTAAACAATCGAGCATTTTATTTTTTTTATTTTACATATTTTAATAGTCAAAAAAAATTAATTAATTATCGGCATTTTTATTTTCAAAATAACAGAAAAAACAATATGTGTTTAGTTCACTTGGCTATAACTCCAGTTCAAAAAATGTTATCAAGTTGAAATTTTATATTTACACTAGTAATCATATACTAATGAGATCCTAGAAAAAAAAATTTGATTTTTTGAACATTTTTAATGGCCTATTTTTGCCACCTAAATTTCATTCTCAGACCACTGTGTGGCGGTTGCGTTACCTACAGCCGTTATCAACTCTATAATATAGTCTCTACTTTAACAAACAATTGAAGTCGAAACTCTGAATACTAATTGTGTTTATATGACTTGCACTTGGTTCTACAAAAATGTTACAAAAGTTATTTTTTCGGGTGAAACGGAATCGAAATCCAATTTATTTTTACTTTACGGCTTAACTAAATACATTTTTTTTTCTATTCTTATTATTTATTTCTTATTTTATTTAAGTATAAATTATACATAGTTGTAAATTAATTAAATTTAATCACATAAAAGAAAAGAGAAAAGAAATTAAAAAATGTTTTCGGATTTAACGGATTTGAACTCCGGTCCATCATTGTCCCCTTCAGTACTGCGTTACGCACTTTTCCATGCTTCTAATTTAGTTAAAATGGATATAAATTTATTATTTAAGTACAATAATTCAACTATAATCAACAAAAACAATTTTTTAGAGGTTTTGTTATGGCCTAAATATTTTTTCCCTAATTTTGTAATTATTATATATATTCACTGTTTATTAAAATGTAATTTATAATTTTTTATTAAATTATTACCAATTGATTTTATGTTACGGTCTATATAGTGTATAATATATTATAAAATAGTATATATAATTCTAATTTTCTATTCTATTCTACTTATTTATTTAATTTAATTAATAAAATTATTATATTATAATTTTTACATTGTTATAATAATAAAATTATAAAATGAAAAACTTTGCACTTAAGTCTTCACCCTTGTCTCGTTAGGTGATAATAAAATTGTATTGACATAGACTTTAGCCCGTCTTATGTTGTCATAATTTATTTACATTTTTTTTGAAAATTACACTGCATTTCTGTTACGACAAAAAAATGTTCTCAAATGTTTTTGGATTTTGTTTTCGATTATTTTGGGTCATGGTCTTATAAGTATTTTCGTACTTTATTCTTCCTTCATCTCTTCAAGTATTCGTGTCTTGCAATTCGTTCGCACCTTGTACCTATCCTTTCTCAATCTCTAATTCTTTTTAATCCAGTGTTAACAACGGCTTTTCGACATGCGCGAAGAACCCGGATGGCAATCCGTTATACTTTATTGCTCTGACAAGTTTCAGTTCAACTTTTGTAGACATCAAAAGTCTCTGTTACTTTCTTTTTGTCTTACGACAAAGTGGCGCCCAATAAAGGTAATACTCAGTATAATGTGTTCAACCCTTGATGGAACAAAAAAAACAAAAGACCTCACCAATTTAAATCAAGAGGACGAAGAGGGCAGCTCTTCTACGAAAATAGGGTGGGCAGACAAGCTGAATACTGAAGAAGCCTTCTTCAACATGACCAAAAGAAGTTTTAAATTAGTTCTGAAGAACGCATATTCTTGTTTTTTTAAAATTAAAATCATATTTTCATTGTATTATTTAAGACATTAAGGCACAATTTATTTACATAACTTTTGTACTACTATGTTGTGTTTGTTTTTATTATTAATTGTCCCAAGTGTAAAATAAAGTATCATACAAATCCAAAAGTTAAATTATGGACACATTGGCGTGAAAAAATATTCTGATTAATTTATTAGACAAAACACCATAATATTATTTCAATAATTTTGTATAGTAGTTAAGCCGATGATTAGGTAAAATATCAATAAAGATAGGTATCAATTTGAAAATGTATAATTAATGAATATACTGCAATTAATAATTTGTACGCAATTACTTTCTATATTTGGTTAAATACACATATCTTTTCAATTACCTAATTCAATGAACTGTAAAAAAATTGTTGTAAAGCATTATAATGGTTAATAACAAGATTGATGTATTTTTTAAAAACTTAGGAAAAGTACTATCATTAATAGGAGATAACATTAGTCTCATATTTCAAATTTGTGAATGTTATATTAAAGTAAAAACCTAAAATATAAATTTATGTAGCCAATTAAGTATAACTAAAACTCCCTTCTGTGATATTTGTCTGGTTCCATGAATGATGTAACCACAACTCGGTTATTAAATTTACGGCCTGCCAAGGCCTGTTGTGCCTTTTGACAATCAGCCACTGCATTAAACTCGATAAATACCTATACACAATTGAAAAAGTTATTATAAGTAAAATGAAAAAATCAAGTAAAAAGTGTATTACTTTTCCGCAACCAGGTACGTCAATTCCTTCAATTGGTCGTGGAATTTCTAATGACCGTACTACTCCATACTTGTTACATTCTTCCCGAATATCTTCTAAAATATCCTCGTACTCTTCTTCGTCTTTCAGTTCATCAGGTGTAACCATGTTTAATAAACACAAAACCTACAACATAATTAATTAATATCATTTTTTAAGTTGTGTTGTTTAGTGTTTAAAATTCCTTTACTTCAGTTGGAGGTCCAGCAGTTCCTACAACAGTGAGTCCGGGAACTTGTATGGTAACAGGTACTTGACCAAGACCTGGGTTTTTAGCTCCTATGCTTGCTCTTTGTACTATCAATTTTTTCTCACCCAACTGCATACCATTTAGACCCGCAATTGCCTAATAGCGATCAAAATTTAATGATAGTTATTAATATTTAAGGATATAATATAATCTGTTTTTTTTTTCATAAACATATTTCTGACATTAATATTAATTATTATATTACTATATATAATTACCTGATCAGTCATTACAACATCAGCATACTCACAAAATGCATAACCTTTACTCAGACCAGTGGCAGCATCTTTAACCAAATTGAACGCTTTTAATTGACCAAACGACGTCAATAATTCTTTTACCTATTTTCATGCCAATAAATAAATTAGTATTCAATTTGTGCCTTAGAAGAAACTAACTTCTATTCATATTAGCATGTATAAATACCTACTGTTTTAAAGTTTTATTAGCCTACAAAATTAAAACTATAAAATAATATATATCTTTTTAAATTTAATAATAATATATTTCATTGAAACGCCATAAGCAATTTAAAATCAATGATTACCAACTGAATTCTTATACAACAACATCCTAATTTTTTTTAAATAAATAATATTTCTAACATAATAAACTAAATCTCAGAAAATACTTCATAAATACATATTGTTGAAACCTTCAACAAAGATAGGTATTCTTTTAAATCTTTCAGGGCAGTAATTCATTTTTTTTTAGCCATTTAAACCTCAAAGATAATATTTAATTACAACCTTTATAAAGAAGTTACTGGTGTCCGTGTTCCTAACAATGAAAAAATGTTGGTTTAAAAAAACTGAATTATGTTTTTATTTGTTGGAGATTCTTAATTACAATTGTACAGTACATTATTATATATTATATACACACATATATTATTAAAAGCTATTTTATCGCCTATTTACTGATATGAAGTTTTGTTTATAAATAGTTTAATATGATAATATAACTTAAGTTGTATTATAATTAAATATTAAAATATTTTTAGTCTTAATTAAATTGTGTCAAATTTGCAAAAGTATATAATACAAAAACACAGCTTAGTTAATGCACAATTACAATGTAATTTGTTTAAGTGGAATTTCCATTTCTTAATTTTCAAACAAAATAAAAAATAAAAACATATGCAAAACTTTACTTTATGTGCTTTTGCAAAATTTGTTTGTACATAGATTAATTAGATTCCCTTTTAAAACCGTTCTTTATGATCTAGCATAATATCCAAGTACATTTTATTTACCTATTTAAAATTTGAACTATTTTAAGTAACTTAAGATACATTTAATGCTTATATTGGTATAATTTTTTTATTACCATATCAGAAGATGTATACTTATTATTACATTTTGCATGTCATTATACCTGGAGAAAAGTAAAATAATGCAATATTATAATACAGAGTCCGCCATAAAGAGCTCCTTGATTTTGGTGGCGCGTAACTTTAGGTGTGTAGGGGGTACAGTAGTGGGTACCACGGGCTTTGTATTTGTTTACACGTACCGTTTTTAGTAAATAACATGGCATGGTCAGGAGTGCATCACTGACCACAAAGGTGTTTTATAATTTAACTATTTTTGTTTTATCTTTCATTATTTTTAAAAGCATGCTCTCACATATGCCAAATTTTAACTGAACTAAATTTTAAGAACACATTCACCAAAGCATTCTAAACAAATGTCAAAACATAGTGGTTAATAAGCTAAATAACAAAAAAATTAAAATCAATGATTTTAATAAATATTTTTTTGGATATAATTTTATTGGGATCTAAATATAATAAATCTTTCTTAGCTCAAAGTAAATTACTATAAAATGCAAAACATTTCTATTGTATCCCCGGGGAAAACCTTACTATAAATAAAAATATATGGTGATGTTTGCTTAAATATTTTGGCCCAATTAAGAACTTTTAGTTGGCAATGCTAAACTTTTTCTAAATTAAAATACTAGAAATGATTTTTAAAATATACATTTTCATATTTTTGCAGTTTATTAAGAAGATGGAATAGGCAAGTTTTTGCAAAATCTTAATTTAAAGTTTACACTGTAATATATACTTAATAGTTTAAGAATAAGTACTGTTCTTTGGTACTAAACTAATTTTTCAGCATTCTTGACAGATTTAAAAATGTTTTTCTTCCATTTAAACATAGCTATGCAGAATGCGTTTTACTTAATCAATGTTGGGTTAGAGCAAAAACACCAGTTATGATTTGAAATGAATGATAAAAACATTTTTAGAGACAATGGCATTGTCGTAAATTGTTTTATCCAGTACGCACAATAAACACACACAAAACAAAAAGTGTGTTTTGATACTATGAGTACTACTCTAATTACAATTCATTTACAATTAATTTGTATATTGAGCCAGCTACATCTAAACTCATAAGGAACTTACATACATTTTTAAATATTTTTATTATTTATGGATGCTTGATGAAAACAGTTATTTTTTACTTTTACGATAACTTTTTTCTGAGCATTTAAAAAAAAATATGCCATTGTATCCAAAATGTTTTTTTCTTTCTTTTTAATCGTGATTGGTTTGCTCTATAACCATCATGGTCTGAATAAAACGTCATTTATAACACAAATAATAGCCATTTTTGTTTAAAATTGTTTAATGGTTCCATAAGGCATTTTTATCAACTTTTACTTGATTAGTTTTTTTTTTTTTAATATTTTAATTATGAAACATAATCTGTAATCGTATGACAACATAAACTTATGTTTAGACAGCTCACTTTTTTACTGCTAATTAAGTTAGTATTAATCAGTCTAAAACGTTAACAGTATACATAATATGTAGTACAGATAATTTATTAAAAATATGACAACATACCTCCTCCAATAAAAACAGAATCCTTCATGAAATCAATTATATGTATAAGGCTTGTAGAGAGACTTATTGGTATATTATAAAATCAATGCTTATGGGTAATGATATTATGATTGCTATTTATAATCTTAATTAAACATACTATTAATTTTAATAAAAATACTTTATTGACATAAAGAACGGCTTACCACCCAGGGTGTTAAAAAAAGTAACCTATTTAATATTTCGAAACACCACTTGCCTGTATGTCGATTTGGACAAGGCGACCGAGGAAGCAGATGTATCAGTTTCATTTTTCAACCAATAGTACCCTAGCTAGGGGCAGGGGTATAGCAGAGGAACAATTATTAACAGCTTTTTTTTTTTTTTTTTTTTTAATAAAAACTTATTTTGTTTTGTTTTTTTTTAATTTTTTTACTTACATTTTTTCAGACAGAAAGAAAAGTAAATGTATTGCGAGCATAACGAAAAGCCAATAAAAAACTGGCAAGGAGAATCCATGTTCTTACGGCGACCCTAAATAAATACCCCAGGTCCCTGCAAAGCTAAACTTCTATGATTTAATACACAAATAGGAAAATCATTTTTCTGATAATAATACAAAATAAATCTGAAAAAGGTGTGCTGAAATTAAAAAAAAATTAGCATTTAATTGCTGAACTTCTTCTTGTTCCATGTTTTGCTATTGACCTAAATGTACCTCTGCTAATGATGGACTAAAATGCTAAAAATAAAGCGCTAGATATATTAAAAAAAATACTTCTTACCTGATCGTCATTGAGATAAGCAGGAAGACCACCAATAAATATTTTGTGTGGGGAATCTATAATTGAGGTACAATTTTAACATTGTGTTTTTATTTTGTATTCATTATATTTCATTAAAACAAAAAACTTACCTGGAACTGTACCAAGACCAAATGAACTGGAATCATATTTCACTAAACCAAATAAAAAATAGTGTTAATACGTAAAACAAATTGTAAAGTTAAACCTCATACTCATGTCTAATGTCATTCCAGAATTATAATTGGTAACAGGGTTACTTTCTGTCATTCCAGGTGTCGGCTGATAATCATGCGGACGTCTTATTTTCAAACTTTGACCTTTAAAATTTATTCCATCAAAGGCCATTGCTTGAGTAGTTTCATCTATAGACCTAAACTGCAGTTATAATTTTAAAAAATCATTAATTATCATTATTCTCTCTGCGTGGATAATAAAAAAACTATACCTCCAAGAATGCAAAATTTTTATCTAAATTTATTTGACACGCAAGTACAGGATTACCTGCAGCTTGAGCCAAACCAGATAGATGCATTTGTTGGTTGAAGAATTCCATCATTTCATCCTATAATAATTTTTTTTTTAATGTTAAAATGTAGCAAAAAAAAAGTGTTAGTTTACATCAACAAAAATACCTCAGTTACACCAAATGGTATATTACCAACATACAATCGCCTTGCTTGTCTCGTAATTGTGGATCCAACCACAGGTACAGCTGTTTGAGGTGTGTCTGGCATTGTATTTGCTGGTATTTGTCCAGCAGCTAATAAACAAAATGCATAATTAAAAAAAAAATATATTAAGTTATTATGTTAAGATGTATTTAATTTATAGGTCAAAATGACTTTAATAAGCAAGACCTAAATAAAATAATGTACAGGGTGGCAGTGAATGAAAGACTACATTTTTAATGGGCGCCATAATTTTAATTTTTGAGGTAGAGAGGTGAAACAAAAAACAATTTTTTGAAAATTCAGTGAAGTTTTATTGGATATGAAAAAAATATTATTTGGAAAACAGAATGTCCGATAGATGGCGTTCTTGCACGGAGATACATTCTTGGAGGCGCTCGCCGGTAGCGGAGACCGAAAAAACTCATTTCCACTTGGACGACTACGTCAATAAACAAAATTTCCGGTAACCCAAGAGAATTGCACCAATAGTCTCTTCACATTGGAAAATTAAATATGACATATGAATAAACAATTTTAATTTCGAGTAATTTTTCGAGAGATTCTCGACTATGAAAATGTCTCGATTACTAATAATTTGATTACGCCCATCACTATTAATTAAGAAATCGCATAAATTTACTTTACCGGACACCCCTTTTTTTACAATTCTACATTTCTAGAGTGGTAAGTTAGGTTAGTTTAGTCCTTTATGCAAGCTATTTTTTTCCTCTAGGGGTTTGGGGGCGTGAACTCTCATCCAACGAAGAGTCCTGAAGGTACTCGAATCAGCTCCCGAACCCAGCAGCCGTAGGAAGATTATATAGTAAGGATTTACTAACTTAGAGCTTTAAAACTTAAAAAAATGATATTGTTGTTCAATAGAATATTGATAGTACATCACTGATAATATTAAAATAATAATCAGCAGTGTGCACTTGCATCGCCGACAAATGCATGGTACGACGGCGTATTATTACACACGTGGAAATATTAAAATTTGAAGTAGCCATAGCTTTAGAACAAAATGAGTCCACCTAATTCCGACTTCAGTGAAAAAAATACCATATGGCAAATAAAAGGGTAGTAAAGTGAACTTGTCCCAAAATAATATTACCTTGCATAGCTTTATATTGAAGAGGAGCAATGTGTTCAAAACCAGGAGGTGGAACATCCCAATACAGTGAAGGCTTCCTACGTCTAGATTTAGTCTTAGGTGATTTGGATCGACTACGTTTACGTCCCTCACGGCTTCGTGATCTATGTCTTCTATGGCGTTCACGATCTCTTGAACGTGAACGCCGACGCCTTTCACCCCGATCTCTGTCACGTTCTCCACGATCTCTATCACGTTCCCTTTCTATAAATACATTAAATCTTGATCATTTGAATGATGAATTAATTTAACAATACAATAATAATAAACATAAATTGTTTAGCTGCTTTAGAAGTAATCGTAAGTTGTAAATACCTTTGTCTTCACCCATGGCGGACTTTGTAATATTTAAATATTCAAATAACTAATAAAATGTAGTTCAAAATAAATAACTTGATGAATAATAAGTCTATAATGTAATATTATACAATGCTTAAAACAAATAGAATTCTCTTGCGCCGAACACCCAACACACCATTAGGCCATTTTGTACGATATTGGATATGTACACAATATAACCAAAGACGTCTGAGAATGAAGAAAATGTGAAACCTAAAATGAGTTACCACAATATACCATAGTAACAATAACGATAACCATAACAAATATCATAACGATAACGTTTATCATAGTAACCCGGAATCCAGTTAAAACACGTGCACTTTAACACAGACCGTTCACCAGAGGGATGCCGGATAAGTGACTACTAACTGCTGACGATTGACCAAAGACCAAGACGATTGACCAATGAAGGGTGAAGCTGTGAATTAGTGTGAATTGTGATTTTCTAAACTTCCATATTGCAAAATTATTATTATTTTCAGATAAAATAACAATATTTGGAAGCATGTATTTTTAAATTTGTATTAAATTAGTTCAAGTTATTTGTCAGATATTAAGCAAATCATTATGTCTTCCATCAAATTAAAAGAAATGTAAGTCAAATGGTTGCTTAATTCCCCTTTACAACATTTAGTCTCATATAAAATCATATAGCATTTTTTTTTTTATATTAAGGTGTGCCTTGGCACACACTGAAGTTCCGCCTATGCTCATAAGGTTCTATATAAGGATAGTGATCTTACTATTGTAATTAGGTTGGTTAAGCACCCTTGAAAAATTATACATTGCCGCCACCGTTACATTGCACAGTGTTTTGAATTTTTTAACTTAATTTTAATTGGCTTTTTTCATATTTATTTTGCATAAAACTGTTTACAAACAATTTTGCATCTCCATAATAAAACTTAAACTAAGGTATGACTAATATATAAACAAATTGTATTTTTACTAGATTCAAACCAGAATACGTTCAAAAGGAATTTTATACTGGAGGCCATATTGAGGTAAGTAGTTTTATTTATTTAGTGAATGTCTACAGTCTTAACGCTATAGCACATACAATATTCTTCAAATTGGTTATAACCTAGCTCAAAAATAAAACGACCACGAAAGGCAAGGTAATGTGGGACATCAGCATTAACCAACCACTGACCTAACGAGACTAAACCTAGCCTTCCGCCTCGCCCTTCAGTTCAGTTTATTTTTAATTAAGTAAACCTATATCTATATAAAGCAACTTCCTACGTCTATCGGCTCTAGGGGCTGACTCAAGCCCCTTCAGGACTCTCAATAAGATGAGGTCACGCCTGCATTAATAAAGTTAAGTTAGGTTTTTAGCGTTTATTATAATACATTTTTTTATTACATGTTTTGACAATTTCAGACATTGGTTAGTGCATTGTCTACATTGGCAAGCTAATTTCTAGTCAGCTGTCTTATGAAAATAAACCTCATAAAAATGTTCTAAATACAAAAAACCGAAACAATTCTAGTTAAGCTAACTTTCGATATTTAAAAATTTTTTTTTTCAAAATGTGTGTTTTTGCATGCTGAATTCAAATCTGTAATCAGAAATTGTCGGACTCGTGTAGTTCAAAAGTTACAGCTATTTGAAGTTACAGTATATCGTAGCGCATAGCACCGCACGGCGCGGTGCGGCGAGCGGCAGACTTGTCGTTGCGTGGCGACGCGAATCGCAGTTCGTGTTTTTTTCTTAATTTTTTTAACTTACTCAACATTTTAATTTGACTTTACTTTAAACCTGTTACCTCCTCCTAGACTGTAGCCTGCAAACCTAGGATGTTTTTAGTTTAGCGGAGCGAAGCGACGGTGCCGAGCGAGCGAGTGCCAAAATACTCGGTGACCTGCCGTACGATAATAGATCAGCAATATAAGGAGGAGGTAACAGGTTTAAAGTAAAGTCAAATTAAAATGTTGAATAAGTTAAAAAATTAAGAAAAAACACAAACTGCGATTCGCGTCGCCGCGCATCGACAGGTCTGCCGCTCGCCGCGCGGTGCCATGCGCAACAATATACTGTAACTTCAAATAGCTGTAACTTTTGAACTACACGAGTCCGACAATTTCTGATTACAGATTTGAATTAAGCATGCAAAAACACACATTTTGAAGGAAATAAAATTTTAAATATCGAAAGTTAGCTAAACTAGAATTATGCCAAAAAACCTGTTAACAGTTATTTATTAAGTATTATATTTTTGTACATAACATAATTTTTTATACATATTTTATTAGTCTAAAATTTGTCACACAAATCATAATTTAAAACAATTTATAACTTATTTATCTATTTCAATATGTTTATATAGTGGGCTCCAGATGGTAATCATTTGTTATGTCAATGTGGCCCGAGAGTTTCAGTATTGGACATTGAAACTACTACAATTGTAGATACAGTACCTAGACGTACTAATTCAGTTAAAACTGGTGATGAAGAAGATGAAGAAGATGAGTCGGCTGATGCTGTAATAACATTTACTTTAGACCCAACTAGTAAAAATCTAATAACATCTCATAAAAGTGGTCTTTTATGTTTTTGGGATTGGACTGGTAATAAACTAAAAATACATTTTAAATTATACAATTGTCAAATAAAATAAAATAATATTTTTTAGACAAAAAATTACTTAAATCATGGCGCCATCTTCATAAAGGGCCAGTTGTGCAATTAGCGTCTACAAGTGACCAAATGATAGCATCTGGAGGGACTGATTCTATTATTAGATTATGGCAAGCAGATAAAGCACATTGTTTATATGCTTTGCATGGAATACAAGGGGTCACAAGTGTTATAGCATTTTACCAAGTATCTGATACTGAACGATGGTTGTTTGCTGCGGATGATGTTTCAGAAATACATGTATGGAACTGTAATAAAGGCAAACATTTGTATAAATTGCAAGGGCATTTTAGTACTGTTACAGGAATAGCGTTTTATCATAATCAGTATCTTATAAGGTAACATTATTTTAGTATACTTACTTTTTTTATTATTTATTGTTTACTAATGTTTTTTTTTATTTTGAAAACAGTTGTGGTAGAGATAAAGTTATAATTCTTTGGGATATACAAACAAAAAAACAAATAAAAACTGTAGCTCTTTATGATAGTATTGAATCAATGGCCGTACTGCCAAAAACCTTTTACCTTCAAGGAGTTCTGCACAAATCGACAGGAGTTTGTGTTGTAGCTGGAGGAGAAAATGGTAATAGTAGTTATAGCGATATTACATTTTAAACATATTTAACACCGTGTGGATGATTTTCAGATATATCCGTATCAGTGGTTGTTAACTGACTTTCTGACTGCAAAGAGTCCGAAACTTCAGTTAACAACCATTGACACGGATTTATCTGAAAGTCATCCACGTGACATTTCAACCCGTGAAAGATTCAACTCATTCATTTTTAACACTTTTAATAATTCAGGGAACTTGCACATATGGGATATTGAAAATAACAATCCTATTTTTGAAGAAAAAAGTATTGTCAGTGATTCAGACAAATCTGTAAAAAGTATATTAAATGTCATTTATGATGAAGCTCGTTCTACATTAGCAATATGCTATGCAAATAATTCAGTAGTTTTACAAAGCTTTGGACCTAACCATTCTGAAATAACAGTAAGACAAAAAATATAAATAAAATACAAATTATATATTAAAAATGTATGTTTTGATTTTCTGTAATAAGTTGATTGGTTCAAATGATGAAATCTTGGACATAGCCCCACTGGGTAATGAAAGTAGCCGCTGTTTAGCTGTAGCTATTAATAGTAATGATATTTATTTATTTCCCTGGCAAAAGAAAAGTATCAAAAGGGATGACAATGTTGAACTAGAAAAGGTTGAACTTGGGGTTTGTTGTAAGAGGCTTTGTGGTCATAGTGACACTGTTCTATGCTTAGCATCTTATAAAAGTACACTAATTTCTAGTAGCAAGGTTTGTACTTATCCAAATTACTTAGTATAATTTATTAAGTTGTTTTAATGTTTAGGACCATAGTATAAGAGTTTGGTGTTATTGTAATGTCACAAGAACAGCCAAGTGCATAGCAATTGGTTCTCGGCACACTGGTGCAGTAAATACTATAGCTATATCGAAATCTATGGAATTTATTGTCTCTGCTGGCACTGATACTACGATAAAACTATGGAAATTACCAAAAGTTATAAAAAATGGTAACTATTTTAATTAAAATATAAAAATTTATTATTACAATTTTATATTCATGTTATATTAGATAAAGAAGAAACTCTGAGTGTTAAAATAACTGAAGTAGGTCATGAAAAAGATATCAATAGCATTTGTATTGCACCAAATTATCTAACTATCGCATCAGGATCTCAGGATAAGTTAATAAAGGTAATTTCTTGGTTTTGGAATAAATGACTTTAAAAAATTTAATGATACATACATATTTATATATGATTTTAGGTTTGGTCTGCAAACGATCTTTCATTGCTTGGAGTGTGTCGAGGTCATAAACGAGGTGTGTGGTGTGTTCGTTTCTCACCCATTGATCAGGTATTATTGTCATCGTCTGCAGATACAACAGTAAAAATCTGGTCTATGGGCGACTATTCTTGTCTCAAGGTATTTATAGTAATAAATTATATTACATTAAATTTATTTATTTATAAAATTAAATTTCAGACACTAGAAGGCCATGATTCATCTGTATTGAAATGTAATTTCTTTAACCATGGTACTCAAGTAGCTAGCTGTGGAGGAGATGGACTTCTGAAAATTTGGTGTTTAAAATCAAGTGAATGTCTTGCTACACTAGATAAACACTCCTCTAAAATATGGGCAATGTCAGGTACATGAAAACAACATTATCTTTGAAAGTAAAACAATTAATTAGCATGATTTTTGTTAGATGTGGATGATGGATCTATTCTGATCACGGGTGGTGCTGATTCAAGATTAGTGGTGTGGCATGATCGTACAGAAGAAGTAAAAATTGCAGAAGCAGCTGCACGACAAACAAGAGAAATGCAAGATCAACAGTTACAAAATCTACTGCAAAATGAACAGTTACTACCCGCACTTAAAATTTCTATTAAGTTAGGAAGGCCAAATACAGCTTTAAAAATATTACAGAGTATGTTAAATATTCATGATTTTTTTGCAATACAATTGCTGTGTTAGGTTAATTTAACTTTGCTAAAATTTTCTGGTTTTGTATAGAGTTGTCTAAACAAGGCCAAGGACAAGATCTTAAAATAGTATGTCAAAATATAGATATAGAACAAAAAGAAATTTTACTAGATTACATTTTAGATTGGAATACTAATGGAAAACATTGTCTTGCAGCACAGGTATTTATTTAGTTATAATATACTGTTTAAATAAAATATATTCTATAATTTAACAGCTTTCAACTCTTTAATGTTTTTCAGCTAATCTTAAATGTTCTTATGAATGACATAATGACTGGAAAAATAAAAATAAGTCAAGAGAAATTGCAAGGACTAATAGCATATAGTGAAAGACACTTCAAAAGATTAACTTCAATTTTAACACAAACACAATTTCTGCGTTATACTATTAATTGCATGGCACCTCATTCTTCTGTTTAATAAATTATATTATTTCATAATAATGACTGTTTTTTTTTTAAGTTAAATTATTATTTATTAAAATAAATAGTAATTTATTTTACATGCTGGATCCATAGTAGATTTCCTAGGCATAAAACCAAACTGTTCTTAAAATACTCATGTCTCACTTAAATTATTTTTTGTTAATCTTCATGCTATGACTCATCAATGCTATTCCTTTTCAAATTTTCACATTCTTGAATTCCCATAATGCCTTAAAATATAAGTAGTATAAAACTCTTCCTCCACTCTTCTATTATTTTCCTTATTTCTAGCTCTTATTAAAAAAAATATTACAGCCAGCTTATGCTTACATCCCCTAACATTAAAATGTTGTAGGTTTTTTTGGCAATTTTTAAAATAAAAAAAGTTAAGAGTATCCACACTTTAAGCAGATACATCAATATATGGATATGTCTGGCCTAAATCGATTTACTGGCAGCTTTATCAATATTTAACATTTATCATAAATCAATTTCCCTGGTTCACCAGTAAGTAAGTGCCTAGGTACCTAACAAGCTAATTTGACTATCCTTATTCTAGGAAACATTAAAAATATATAAATTACAGCACATAGACGGATAGACCTGGTGATTTGCTTTTCTTAGAAACGTCTCAACCCAAAATAAATCTACTGCCTATTGTTTATTCTGCAATTCATAATTCTCCATAATTAGTCAATAATTCAAACTACTATCGGCATTGATCATTTAGGCAACCTTACTTTAGGACATATTCAGCCTAGACCTAAGGTAACTCAAATTTTAAAAGATTATTCATTTTGTGTCCTAATTATTCCAACAAAAATAATTTATATAAAACGCTACAAAAAAAAAAATTTTCACAATCTATATATATAAAAATGAACGTATGTGTGTGTGTGTCCTTTATGTATTAGTACACAATTAAACCGATCGCCATGAAACTATGGGAAGTTGTTGAGTACACTCCTGCGAAGGTAACTGGCCTAGTACTTTTTGAAAATTCCACCCCTAAGGATGGCCTCAAACAGGAATTTTCTACTTTAAATACGAAATATTTTTCGTTGCTAACCCAAAATAAACACTGTAACCATGGTAACCACGGTACTCGAGCTGCTAATGGTTAGTGATGATTAAAGGAACAGGCCGATTCTGGGGACGCTATTAAACATTAGGACTGGGACCCTTGAGTAAGAGGAAGACATAATCAATATAATGTAATGTACATATTATGTAAATCCAAAAAAAAACCAAGACGGAGTATGCTAAAGCTCTATAATACAACCTGGAGACTGAAGTACCTACTGAATTTTTTTTATCTAGTAATAATTTTACTCAGCAGCCCTGGCAAACTAAATCCCGGGCAACGCCGGGTCCAGACAGCATGTTTATTTTTAAAAACAAATTATTCATAATATTTTTAAAAATAGGTATTATTCAAATAAAAACTATTCAAATAACTTTTTCACAATTTATTCACATTAAGGGGACTCTACATCTGCGTATTTTTGGACGAAAACAACTCATTCTAGTTCAAGCGTACTGTTCTGTAAGTTTTTAAAAAATATTTGAGTTCTTCAAAGCATTTTCAAGGCATCGTTCGTGGAACAACTTTATAATGATTTTCTGTTAGTTAATAATTTCAGTTGAAAAAAGTTAAAAATTGCATTATTTTTATATTGTAATAATTAACTGAAAATAATTTTATAATTGTGCTACGACCGTGCCTTGAAAATGTTGTGAAGAATTCAAATCATGTTCAAAATAATGAGTTGTGTATTTCGCTTTAAAGTATTTGAACAAATTGCTTGAAAGTTATTCGAATAATGTATACAGCTCTGCTTGCTACTTGGTAATTAAATGGACATATGGATTTCTAAATTGAGAAATATTTATTCAAAGAACCGATTTTGTTTAGTTAGAATATATTTAGCAATGAGGTATAAATGCAGAAATTAAATTTTGTAACAGAACAGACATGTCTATTTTAGTGGCCTTAACCATTTTTAGGCACCAAAATCTTAATTTTAACCTATTTTTAGATATCTGGGAGATGAGGTCTAATATATCTGGGTTATAAATATATTAAATACAATTTAAATTTTAAACTTATATAAATATTGGTTTATTATTGTACGATCAGTTGGACATACTTAGATAATTTTTTATCTAAATAATTTCGTTATTCAAACACCCAAGTTCAAATTTATGTCGAATAATATTTTTACATCTTAGATTTGGTCGAATAAAGAAATTATTCGAAAGAATCAACTTAGATTTGGTAAAATTAAAAAAAATATCCGAAGAAATTGGTTAATATTCGTTTTTCGAATATAAAATACCCAACTGTGTTCAAAGTTCAAAGTTTTCATTTGGATTATCGATAGGTTTGATTTTTTTTAAGAATTATATTGATTATTTTTGCTCCATTCGAGTTCAGTCTTGAAAGTACCCAGTAAACCACGAGAGGGCGGCCAGGTCGCGATGATGAGAAACAATATAATATTATCGATTTTGAATTTTTACTTTAGAGCCACTTAGCTGTGAGCCCTTCGGATTTTCAGTGCCTTTTGACTTGTTCGTACATACGACTAACACTCTAAATGGCATCCGTTTCAAAACGCGTATCGTCGTGGTGCCTACTCTTAATAATGGTACATGCCACAGTTACAGCAGACCCCTCTGCTGCCAATTGCGCAGATCGTTTTGACATGCACAACGACAAAATTATAAGGACCAAAGATTCCATAAAGTTGGGCGCAAAATTCATCGATGTGGTTGAACAGCGTAACCGATTCGAATGCCTAGACGTATGTTGTCGTACCTCGAGGTGCGATGTATTTGTATTCGAGGAAAAAGTAAACGTTCTGTTATATATTAAGTAGTTAAAACTTAATAATGCACTTGACCCGTTGAGTATTATAATTTAATGAATTGTATAACAGTTAAAACAAATTGATTTACGCCAATAATAGTAATGACGAATTTTAATCATGGATTACAATTTACATACAAAGCGCACCATACTTATTTAATGTGTAATTATTTATAGTCTCCAGGTACATGTTACCTCTTTGAATGTGGTCCATCAGACGATTTTAAATGTAAATTTACCACCCACAAAAACTATAGTAGTGCAGTAATGTCGTTTAGGCCAGCAGCGGAACTGGAAAATCAAATAAAACTTACCCAAAACGAGCACGAGCATGAACTCACACAATTAAAGTAAATAAACCCATTTATAATATTGATCTTTTATATTTTAATACTATTAATACTTACAGAAAATCATCTTTAACTGTTTTTTCAACAATTTTACCTGCAATTCCAGCATTAAATAAAGAAACAGAGATGACTGTGCCATTAGACAAGCATTCACAAAGTAAGAAATAAATAATATTATTATTTAAATAATTTAAGCCACTTTTCAGCAGATAATCAAATATATGTATTATTTTATTTAAAATATTTTACTTTACTTATTTGCTTAAAAATAATTTTAAGGAACACGCTGTAGTAGAAACCAATTTGAATGCAAGACATCAGGTGAATGTATTGCGATTTACAACGCTTGTGACGGAATACCTCAGTGTAGCGATGGCAGCGATGAAGCAGTCGAACTTGCTTGCCCGACCACTGCGAGTAAATTATAATTTTCAACTTATTTATTTATGTTATTAAAATAAATGTGGAACACAAATTAGGTAAACAAATGATCCCTAAAGAAATAAATTTTGGTATGCAAGGTATTAACTACCCACAGACCTTCCCAAATAAACCAATAGATGCTTCTGGACAGCAAATAAACCCGTCAATGCCGCAATATCAGTGGAAAAATCAGCCGCCCGTGTATAGTTAGTGTTAAAGTATAAGTTTTTTTTTGACTCTAGTCAATTACTTATGCTGACATTTGTTGTAAAAGGCTCAAACATAAACTATAATAATGGAAAAGGAGATCAGCCAACCTATGGAGCCAACTACATACCACCATCACAGTACGGTAGAGAAGGCGAAGGACTCAAGTGGTCAGGACAAGACGTAGCGCACCAAAATTACGGTGTGATATTGATATCATGGTTTTAATTCTTTTGAGTAATTATTATTTATTTTAATGAAATTGATTCACAGGAAACAATAGAATATTTACACATGTAAATGGAGGAGTTATGCCCGACTATAACCAGCCACCAAATAATATAATCACAAATAAGTATATAAGCTCTTTGAACATCAAGTTCCTACATAAATAATGTATATTTATTTGTAAAATGAAGAAAATCATTTCAGTATACCCAATAGAATTTATAATACACAGTCTGGAACTAATATGGATCGTAACTTTAACCACATGAACAATATGAATCATGAATTTCCTCGCTTCAACACAGGTAGTATTTACATGTTCTTAATGTCTATTTAAATATCAATCTAAATATAAATTCTTGGCAATATTTTTTATTTTAGGTGGAAAAGGTACATTTCAAAATAATCCTGATTATTACTATGAAGATCAAAGAGCTAAAATTGAACAACTAAACAATATTCCTCAAATTGTAAGTTTAAAACACTGCCTATATATATATATTTTTAATAAATTATCTTTGGGTTATATATTTTAGGATCAAAGAATAGTTCAAATAGATGAGAAGAAACAAAGAGTATCAGAGAAACTTGTGCAAAAAACTATCATTAATGATACAACTACTCAGATCACAACAATAGGTCAGATTTGTTTTGTATAACACATAGTTAATAGAACCCAACAATAACGATATTGTAAGGTTGGAGGGATACCCATGACACAGTATTTTGAGTTCTATTAACTGCTGTCTAATATCTATTGAGATTTGAGCCCCTTCTCACTCACCTCTTCTCTCAGCTATTTGGGGTAGACCATCCAAGTCCTTACCCTCTACTCAACTTGATCATCTGTAACTCATATTTGTTTATACGTATATTATGCATAATTATACAATATAATACATATGCATTTTACCATACATTTCTAGATCCTCATTTGCATCGAAAATCAGAACAACCAATAACAGCTGTTACAGATATTCATGAGACCTATTTTGAAAGCAGCGATGATGGTTATGCTATAATTCCTAATGGAGCATTCATCTCACTCACACTTGGTAACATACGAATAAATTAATAACAGTCTAAATAATATTTAGATAAACTAACTATGTATATACAATTGACTGATAGAGGCATAACAACATAAATTTTGAATTGCTTTTAGGTATAATTGCAACTAGCTTAATGATTTTAGTTATTAGCTGCCGTCTTCGAATAATGCGAAATCGATACCGAAAAGGTAGTAAACAATCGTATTCTCACGATGCGGATTTCCTAATCAATGGCATGTACTTATAAATGTGTTAATTTATTCATATACTATGTGAATTCTTAAAAAAAATGTTAGGTTTAAATGGTGTACCTATGATTATTTATAATATTTTAATTTTTAGTTATTCAAATAACTAATATCTTAATTATTGAGTAAAAATGTAATGTTATTTTTTATGTACTCTTGGCGATCAACAATTAATTGAATAAATGTTTTCTATTTGATTTATTTTTTTTTAAGTAATGTATTAAAAACAATAATTACAAAACCATGTGCCCGCCAGGACAAAATTAATGGTGGAAGCACTTATGTTAACTGAGTCAGCAAAATCACATTTTTAATACATAATTAGATTAGAGTTAAAACAATAAGGGTGAGTATCATCAAGAACCGATATTACCCTCATTAGCTTGTGGAATGTCCGATTTTATTTTTAAAAACCAATTGTTCCATTTAAAAAAAAAAATTGACATATACTACAATTCAAATTTGTCAGTTTATTAGCTAAAAAATAAAAATATTTAAACTTAAGCAAATGTTTTTTTATTGAATGAAATTATTATCTTTTATCGATACAAATATTGGTCTATTCTATCAACTACCCCTTCAAAAATAACAACTTTGACTGTGATCAGCTGTTTAGTAAACATCAAATAATATTCTAGGTAATAAAGTTTAAAATAAAATTCTATTTTATATTTTCTAGTTTAAACAGAACCTATATTTCTTAATACCAATTTTTTTTTGTTTAAGAAATGAATGGTACAGTTTTTTTTATAATTATTTATGTCATAACATAGTTTCTTGAAGAATACAACTTGCATGCAATTAACAAGTCCATTTTTCATAAAAATATTTTTATAATTTATAAACACAATACATTGGAATTTGTTTTTTACATATACAACTTTTGTTAACACATAAATTAATAATATTTATTTGTATGCCAAAATTAATTAAGAGCAGAAGTAGTTTTGAATATTATTCCCAAGTAAACATAAAAGATTTAAATATACTGCAGCAATAAACATACAAAATCACATACCTATTTTTGTTTTATTCTAAATAACAGCAACTAAGTTCCATTTATTGTATGAGCTTTCATTGTTACAAATGTTCATTGTAATTTCAGCGTTTACCTTTTTTATGTCAACGCTCAAGCATGTACCAGCTGCTAGGTTGTACAAGGCTGTTCCAGTCTAAATATTAAAACAATAAATATTATATTGAATTTCATTACTAAAACACAATTTATATTTTAAACGGGGGGGGGGGGGTGTACTAGAAACCCTCAAATTTATGTTATTGGTAAAAAGTGGTTGTACAACATATTCAATACATGTTTATATGTATAATAATAAATTTGAAAGTATGTATGTATAAGTTATGGAAATATGTATATTTTTTCAATATATGTGTGTTGGCACACCACCAACTAATAAGTTTTTAAAAATGTTATATTCCAAAAAAATTCTTTTAAAATAAGTAGTATTAAAACATTTTTTACATTATCCGCATGTTTCCATCGTTGAGTACTACCCATTTCATTACATTTGCTTATTATTGGTTTTCCTGATGCACTGTCCAAACACAAAAGCTTTGACAATACCAGTTCCTCCTTATCTGTTTCATACCATACCTAAAATTGAGATTATTGTTTACTAAATATCTTAGAACTTCAATACGTGTCAATAAATTCATTATTTACCTGCTCCTTATTACGAATACAAGGTCTGAGTACTAATCTGCTATTTTTAGTTTCATGACCATTAATGGGATGAATACATAAATTTGTACTACTTAAGTTAATCTAAACAGAAAATATATATATTTTTAGATTCATTTATGTAACAAATTTAAATACATTTTCAGACCCAAATCATATACCATAAATTTTGCTATATAATTGCGAATTCGCTTGTTCCATGGTTGAAATGCAGGCTTATTCAAAATTCCTAACTTTTTGTTTAAACTATCAGCTTTATCAGTTGGTAACAACATTTCTGGATAGACATTTTCTAAATACCATTCAAAATTCTTGCATTTTAGTTTGGTACGTAAAGCTGTTCTCTCACTAATGTTCCCGTAATCCATATTGAGAAGATCCATTCTTTTATTAAAAAAAAATTTCTGTACAAAATATTGATTATTATATACATTTTAATTCAATAATTTCTTTTTAATTACCTTAAAGTCATCTAACCAAACATGAGCAAGACGCAATGAATTTCTAGCCATAGTGTCTTCATTGTTTGGAGCTGAGTATGGACGATGTTGTCGAAATACATGTCCAACACGTGAGCAAGGCTCAATGTAAAGAGAACCACCACACATCCATACCTTATTATAAATAAGTATTAAAAATGTAAATATTTCAGTAATAATTTAAATAAAAACCAAGAGTCATACAGATTAGGGTCTTACTCATGCAATAAAAAATGAAAAGAATAATCTTGGTTACTTAGTATTTCTTACTCGAAATGATAACTCTAAATTTTCACCACCCCAAATATTCATCCCAGAATCATATTGTCCTATTTCATTGAAATATTCCCGATTCACAGCAAAAAGGCCTCCAGCAATTGTAGGTGTTCTAAACAAACAATTTTGAAATCAAATTATTCAAAATACAAATTTTTGACAATTAAATTTACTTAATTGGTTTTATAAAATCGGTATCTGTGACTAATGTGCCTTTAGGTAAATTATCCCATTTGAAATGCAACCCCCAATTAAAACCACCTCTGACAATTGGAGATGACTTATACTCAAAGGTGTCTGGTTGTATAATATCAATAATAGGTGCAACAATTTGGGTTCGGTTGTCACGTACTCTTGTAAGTAAAGGTTGAATCCAATCTACATTAACTTCAACATGACTATCAAGAAATATCATCACCTATAGAACCATAAATTATGAAACAAAATAATGTACAAATCAATTTAATTAGTACTTTCTTAATACTCAACCATATCATTATACCTGGCCATTAGCTAAGTTGGCACCAAAAAGCCTTGCTCGTATAAGACCTTCTCTTGCATCAGTTTTTTTTAGGTAAACTTTCTCTTGTAAGTTTTTAGATTTAATGTATGAATTTACAGTATCGTGCAAACCGTCTGTAAAAATAAAAAAATAAAATTACGCACAATCATTAATATATTTTATGCTATAAATAATATATGAGGAGTAGCTGAGTGGGCAAAGCGAGTACGTGTTTGGTGCTCACTGTTGCCGGTTCGGCACTCGGTCACAGGTGTTCCATTTGCCGGACGAAAAATCGTCTGGTAAAAAACAACCATCATCCTCCTCTCCAGTGATGAACTAACAACCCGTTTCAGACACATACAAACACTAAAACACACACAATTATCATCTCAGGCCAGCATTAAAACTAAATACATTCTTTCTCGCCTACTATGTCACCACTTAATGCCATTACTCGTCTTGTACTGTCAACCTCTTGCCCTCTTCCACCATACTCATACTCTCTATATTCTGTTTTACTTCTACTAACCCTATAACCCTTAGTCCCTCTTTCCTTGATGTATTATTCTCCACTCCTCAGGCCATTGTTAACTTCTTCCAGATTTTCTCCAACCAAAACTATATCATCTGCCAACATAGTACCTTAGCCTGTATTTCCTATGTAACATCATCTATTACAGCAGAAAACAGGTGAGGCCAACACATTGCTAAGTTAAGTTGCTCATGCAAAAACTTGAAATTTATCAAAAAATAAAAGATTGCATACACTAAGATGATAACTAAGTTAGTTACAAAATTAAAATATTTAAACATAGCATTACATGGACTACACGTTTATTTGTAGCATTTATATAAAGCTACACTAACTATTCCATTGTTATAAACTTTAAATATAAATTACTAACCAGCATCGCTATAATCATCAATCAGAATAATTTCATGTAATAGATGAGGTGGTGTCCGTCTAGTAACTGATTGTATAGTTCTAAATAAGGCTTGTGGATGCTCATTGTAAAAACAAATAATAACACTTGCTGTTGGTAAGTTTTGTTCATATTTCTGGCTAGCACATCTAGAACAATAAAACACAAATGTGGGATATTATGCTAAAGCAAAACAACAGTAAAATTGTGTAATAATATAAAAGTAAAATAAAATGTTTATGGGACAATTTAGAGATTTTAGAAACCAAGGCCATTCAGGTACCGGGCCGACCCTGTTAAATGGTTTACTAGAATGAGTAGTTTGTTATTACTTATTAATTTATTTATTTATTACATAAATACAATTTTTAAAATTTTAGATGGTTTTTTAGTTGGAATTTGATAAATTGTGGTAATTTAATATTAAAATACCTTTTCAGCTTTGCATTAAAACTGAAAGTTATAGCCAAAATCTATAAAATCAAAAAATCATAGTTTTTTCTTTTTAAACTTAAAATTTACAAAGGCGTTTTTTCAATTTTTATTTCTTTATGACACATTAAAAAAAAAAAATCAAGCGAGTACACAGAAGCAATTTTTAACAATATGTAGCATATTTTATTTGATATTTAAAAGCACTTACTAAATTAACAAAAATTAAGATTTTTTATTACAAGTTAACTTTATGTTTTCCCCCCTTGAGTACACTTCTATTACATGATTTATGATAGTAACTATTCCATCCTTTTGTAGGGGATAGGTCTCTGTAAAGATAAAAAAATGTATTGTCAACAATTTGCCCTCTCTTTAGAATATTTTTGAGTAATCTATAAATTTACATTTTTCAATACTTTACGCCAAAGCCAAAGTTCTTAAAACATGTTAAATCAAGGATACCGAAAATATTTCTGTAAATTTTATTGTATAAATTGTAAATATTTTGTCAAAAATTAAATTTAAAAAAAATTTTTTATTTAAACATCATTTACTTACAGTTTATGTCTAGTATCAGGTATTGGATCTCGGAAATCACCTAGTCTGAGGCTTACCAATGCATTAAAACCATGATTTTTATAACCTTTGTCTCTGATTAGAATATCATTGTCAGTCTTAACTACTCCCAATCCTTTTAAATCTGAATACAGAATAAGAAAAATAATAAGATATATATATATACTGAATATTATGAAGATACGATAAATAGCTACCAATACCAAATATGTTCGTATTGTAATTCTTTAAATATTTCGATTTTTGTTTCTTCATATACTCATATGTGTTCTCTTGGCGTAAGATTTGTTTCTGTGGATAGTTGTCTGGGTTGGAATTAATTTTCCAATACATGAACAGACTGAGAGACCATGTAAATGATGTAAATAAACAACCAAACACAAAAAATTTGTAGCCGTTCATTTCTTAATAGCTTTGAAAATAAATTAATAATATAAATAAAATTAATAGCTATAAAAAACTAAAGAATAACTTACAGTTTATAGCTGGGTTCTTAGCTTATTAATATATTTAACAAAGTATTGTAGATATAATAATGGAGAAAAGTACTCAATTTTAAAATGATCATAATGTTCATAAAAAATTAGTACTAAATTATAAATTAAAATATCCTAATTCCTATGCTAGGTACTGGGTACACAATAATAATATTTGTTTAAAAACATTTGATTGCATATTATATACATCTGTATATATTATTATCCATCGAGATAAAGAATCTTTATCTCGATGTTATTATATCATTATTATTATATCTGTGATGGTTATAAACATATATTATTCTCGTGATAACTGTAAGGTTCTAATTCCCACCAAAATGGCGGAAAGTCGCTGCTTCAATCTTCTGTGTTGGTGGCATGTATAGTTAGCAATTTAGTTTATTATATTAATCTATGACTTATGAGTCGGATCTAGTCAGTAAGCAGTAATCACTCTTCACTAGTCGTAGGCCGTAGCCAGCTGCCGGGACTGGCCTTATAAAATATTGGGGGAACTTTCCCCTGGGGAAGATCAAGTATTGCCGAGTGCCGACTGAAAAAATGTTGTCTCGTAATCTCTTAAACTATGTAGTATGTTCAATATAAAAAATTCCTGTTTTTTTCTGTACGATAGTTAAGGTCCACTCAAATAGCTTAAGCAAAAAATTAAAACTTGATAAATATTAAAAAATTATTATAAAAAAAAATGGAACTAAAACAACACTTTGAACGTTCTATGCACAGTTATTCAATGTGTTACCTGTATATCGTATAGGACGTTAAAGCTGTAAAAATATAAGTCGTGTTCAAACTTATCAATCGGTAGCACGGCTCGTAGCATAGATATGTATTATGTATAATCTATGTATACATTATAAGTATGTGGTTATTTCCAGACCCGAGCCAAACCGAAGATTGATTTCAATTTGACGGACAAAAAAGACGGTGACGCAGCGTAGCATCTGATGGTGGCATCTGTGTTTTTCTTTTTTTGTCTGGACGGTGGACCCGATATCTTGAAACCTGCTGAACCTATTTCTTCGTGGAATAACTAAATAGATCAGAAATCGTACTTAAAAAATATAAGGTACTTTCCTAAACCAACAATTTATAAAGTTTACCCCTTCAAAATCAAGAAAAACAGCCAAAAAAAATGTACATTTTTTTCAACTTAGAATTACGGCGTTCGATACATTTTTTTTTAAATAGTAAAATTAGACCGAAGGAAATGGTTAAATGGGGCTTTTTTAACACATTATTATCATTAACATTGTGATACCTGTGTATTTTAGTTTCTTACACCTCCCACGGAGAAGCAAAGCTTGTGCGAGGTTAAGACTGTTAACAAGTACTATGTAGCAGCATACCGAAGCACTGGGGTGAGGGGCATCGAAAGTGTAGACGAGGGCGCTATATTTGACTATAGAGCCGGGACGCATCAAGAGAGCTTCCGGTATCTCGGTGGGCCAGCACGGCCCTGTATAAATATATTGTATAGCTATTCAATGAGGGGGAAATGTAGGCGATATTTGACACAAAATTGTTTTGTCCACTTATTTCATGTGCGCAAATTTAGCACCCCAAATTCTATAGCGTGACCATACAGGTAAGGTAAAAGTATGTCTAGAGTGTAACCCTATATGACTGCGAAACTTGGACAATTGGTACAGAAGAAAAATTTAAACTAGTTTTTGATATGTGGAGTTATCGATAGATGCTTAAGATTAAATTAACAAAAAGAATAACAAACGAAAAATTTTATTATTGTATAAATTAGGAATTTTTTTTATATACATATTAGTTAATATGTAATATATAGTATTTGAACAATTTAACATATTATCGTAGATTAATTAAAAAAATGTATTTTATAACACCATACATATATGTACAAATTTACAATTTTAAAGAAAAGTGCATTTTTAAAGTTTTTTTTTGCGCTTTCTAGCTGTCAAGTATTAACTATATATTTACTTACCGCGACTTCGCAAGATAAAATGAGAAGCCTTAATATCATGTTAGTAATTCACACATTAGGATTAAACCACCAATATTATATAAATATTTTACTACATATTGGGATCCTTAATTCTTTTTTTTTATATAAAATATATACTTGTACTTAACCGATTCGGGGTAATTTCATTTTTTCAAAACCGTCCGTGTAAATAAAATACTTTGTCATCAGTGAAGTCGGACATCGATATTACTAACCACGTGCTAATTGTTTACGTATTGTTGAGTGAAGTTAACCTAAGATTTGTGTATAATCATTTATTCAGGAAATATGGGTATTTTGAAAATTATTTTTTTTGTATACTTGTAGGTATATTTTACTATTTTATTCAAATACCTTTAAAACTTCTTACTGAAATTTATTATCTTCATCTCATATACCTACGTCAAATAAACACGGACTTCGTTTTTCCAAATGGAAACATATTTTTTTTAGCTCCTAAATATGTAGACCGAAGGCTGAACACGTCCGGGGACCCGGAAAGAAAATCGTCTCTAACGATATTTTTTCGACCTGGGTAAGTGAGAACGGTCATGTTTAAAACTCAAGAGATAATTGTTTTCTAGAACCAGGATACGTCCCGGGCTAGTAGGAATAAACCTTTAAAGATCAATAAATGGTTTAGGCATGTCGAAAAAACAAAATAATAAACTAAGAGGTTGAATTTCATTATTGTTCGTAAAATGAACTAAGCCTGTCCTCGACATCAGTCTACTGGCGTTTTGTTGACTAGTGTCAAGTTTACCAACAACATCCGATACAGTACAGGCCAGTAACCAGCAATAACTAATTGTTGTTCAAATACAACCTTTTACACGAGACGGTAGTGAAAATATATACTTCTACAAGTTAATCAAATATTGATTTTAATTATAACGTTTTTATGAACTCACAATCTTGTTTAACCCTTCACTGTATGATTTTTTTTAAACATATGCTATATATGTACTTAATACTACTTAAAAAAATAGAAATACATTTTTTTTTAGTTTTGGTTTCATGGAAAACGCTAATTAAAGAATTTGGAACATTGTGCATACAAAGATGTATAGCATGAGCAGATATAAACAATAAATACAACCGTTCCATATATGGAACATTGTGCAGTGAAGGGTTAAAAGATTTGTTCTCTGTTAAAATTTGTGAGAAGATTGATAGTCGGTGACCGAGAGGCTCGACTATAGAACCGGCGGCTGCTTGCTGAAAAGCAAAATATAATTAGTGAAAAATAAAATAAACACAAAAATGGTTGAAAGTTAAGTTTATTAATTTAGATGTGACACAGTTAAACAATTTTTTTCCAACTAAGTTTACATAAAACTTTCAGCTTTGATACTATGACATTAGGGGATACATGGTGAACTTTAATAAATACATGTAGAAGTAATAAAATAACGTGTCATACATTAATTAAAAGGGTAACAGGATGGTAATTAACACAAATAATTTATTTACTAAGATTTAGATAAGAGACAAAACAAAATATTTATAATTATATATTATATACTTTAGCTTTTCTATCGATTTTTTAATTCTACTACGATAAATCTGTAGTACACAAATATAACAAACAATTTATGAGAACTAACAGCCTTATGTGTTCCATTTTGCATGAAAAATTAACTTTCAACCTGTTTTTTTTTAATTTTTTTTTTTTGAGCCAATGCTAATTCCAGAGATGTAGAAGCAAAGTCGCTGTTAATTTTTGAAGAAAAAAGTAAAAGTGTACCAAATTTTGTATAATTAATTAAGTATTGTGTCAAATTGGAAAACAATTATAATTTGTTTAGATTTAAAAACAAATTTGGTACTTTTTTAAATTTTATTTTAAACAAAAATTATTTACTATTTATATTTCCCCCCAAATATAATTTGACTTTCAGCCCTGACCTCCCAAGTCAAATCATATTAATAATTAATATTTTTAAGTTAATGAGTCAAAAAACAATTTGAAAAAAAAAAAAATATATTATAAAAAATGTATAATGAAATCCGTCCACATGTTAAAGAAATATCAAAGAAGAATAAAAATTTATATGGCGAAAAGACAAACGGGCTGAGATGAATGTCTTCACAAACCAACAAACGAGAATGAAATTTGGACGGGTTCCGGCTCTCTTTGATCGTTGATACTGCAACTGAGGACGCCGTATCCTCAATTCACAATTTGGATCAATTTGTTATAGTAGCACATGTAATAGGAGATCTTTGAGCTGTTATTTACAGCTTTCACTCATTTTTTATTTTATTTTAAAACATAATAAATAATATATCTTATATACAGTTTATATCTTATAAAAAGGGATTTGTTTTTGTTTAAATAATTATATACATATTATACTATACCAATGAGGAAAAGACATGTGCCACTCGCAGAAAGGCTTGATCCAAGAACTTTGTACCCATACTACGAATGCTATAAACGTTCTTTATTTTCAATTCGAATTTTTTAAAAAAGGGGGAAAAAGAAAAGGAGAATTTGTAATTGTTGTTTAAGAAATAAAAAATAAAAATGTAATGTAAAATACAAATTTTTTAAATCAAATTTTTCTTTATAGTGATTGAAAAATAAAGTTTTAATCTTGGGGAGTTTTAGTCTTATACAGTTAAGTATATAGGGTTGATTTTAATAGTTACAATTATATACAATAGGCAGGATAGAAGATTTTTTATTTACTAAGGTCCATTTCCTCACTGATCTCCTGATCATCTGGTCGAGCAACATACAGTTTTGGATCAATTACCTGAAAAAAGTAGCATTTTTAGAAATTAGTTTGAATTTTGAAATGATTTAGTAGTATCTGTGCAAATCCAGGATTCAAACAAAACTTATCAATTTTCAGTAAATTTACAGCATACTTTTTTTTTTTAAATAAAATAAAATCTACAGTATAATATAGCATTCGCCGAGAGAAGCATCATACACGCAGGCGAATGGACTTCAGAAGAAAAAAGTAAAAATTGGCTATTTACAAATGCTTATTCTAGTACCAGAGAAATTGAAGTCCAATCCCTGTCGCAGATGTCTTCCTCTTTAAAATAAAAATTATTTTTAAGCAAAAATTAAATTCATCTAGGCCCTTTTAAGAAAAATCCACAAATAGTTAAATAGCCCAATATTAAATTAGTTCATTAGGAATTTATAAAATGAGCTGTTAGAAAGTTTACATATAACTTTATTTCATATAAATAAATAACTTACCTTAGGTATAGGTTTGATCTCTGTGCCCAATTCTTGTTCAATACGGTGAAGGGCAAATCGATCATCATATGTGATAAGATTGATAGCTATTCCAAGATGTCCGAATCGACCTGATCTACCAATACGATGTAGATATGTTTCAGCCATCTTGGGGAAATCAAAGTTTATGACAACATTAACAGCTTGCACATCAATACCTCTAGTAAAGAGATCTAAAATACAAAAATCAATTAATATGTTTATATATATTTCAACATTTATTTTTATTTACCAGAACAAACAAGATTTCGGCATGACCCTTTTCTGAAATCATGGAACACTCGATTACGATGAGCTTGAGCCATTTTCGCATGAATATAATAACAACAATAGCCGAGATCAGTTATTTTCTTAGCAAGTAATTCTACACGTTGAGTCGAGTTGCAGAAGATTATACTTTGGTTAATTTGCAACTAAAAACAAAAAAAGTATAAAGCTATAAGCATAATTTCATAAAAAATGTTTGATAAAATAAGGGTATTAGATTTATTTCTATACGCTTATTCAGCATCTTAAGGGGAACGGAAAGCGCTATTTATTAAGGGGCAAAGGATAGGCAATATTTAACAAAAGTTGATCTAATAGCCATTTATCATATGTATTAGAAAAACTATAAAAAAGTAAAAATAAAAATGCTTATAAATATTTTTTGAAAACATAAATAAAAACTCGGTCTTTTAGTTCCCATAAAGAAGATGTTAAACTATATAACAAAAAAAAAGTACTGAAATCGGTTCGGTACACTTCAGAAAGTGACTAGAGTTGTAAAATATTGACGCTGTCCGTTCCCCTTAACTAACTACTTGTGTCACACAATTTGCTACAGTAAAAAAAAATTTTTTTTCACAAAATATTTAATAATTTTAAGTGATCATACTTAAAAATTGTAAGTGGTTTATTGAAATTCCACTCTTTGCAGAATTCATACATAATAATGTAATCGATTATAAATAGCCCACCAAGTTTAATTTGAGTTCTGGACATCGATACAAGATTGGCGCTAGAAGTATTATTTTCATTGAAAACGATACTGCTAGGGGATATACATGATGGGCCTGTATCAAGATCCAGAACTGAAAATTGGTGGCCAATTTATAGTATTTATAACAAATGATAATATATAATGAATCAAAAAGGTATAATGTAAGACACATTATAATTAAGTGTTGTTGTTTTATCCAACTCTTTCTACTTATAGTACAAAAATAAATCGTATGGTTTTGTTTAAAATATTAATTAAAAAAGCACTAAACAATAGTGCCTTTAGGAGTAAATATCTATTTTTAGTGGGTAAATTTAGTATTATACACGTATGACATCTTACTTATAAAATACATACCTTTGAGAATAAAGTATTTAAACAATGAACTTTTTGTTTTTCTTGTACAAATGCGTAATATTGGGTAACACCCTTTAAGGTTAACTCTTCCATTAAGTTTATTTCATATGGACTTCGTAAATGTTTATCCTGAAAGGAATAAGAATTATTAATTTTTAATATTCAGTTGTATTAAATTAATTTATTAGTTTCCATTATACCATGAACTGTTTAACAGTCAAAGGGAATGTAGCAGAGTAAAGAAGAATTTGTCTCTCTGGAGGTAACCTTGAAATTATATGATCCAACATACCCTTGAAATCTTGAGACAAAAGTTTGTCAGCCTAAAATATAAAGTAAAGTGTAAAGAAGCTAGTTTAAAAAAATTGTTCTATGATCATCATCATGTTAGCTTAATGGGTCATGAAGGCCCAACACTGCCATCATGAAATGGTTTCTTGACAAATTCGCTATCCGAGACAGGTCGTTAGTTTGTCACCGGAGAGGGGGATGGCGGCTCCTTTTCCACCGGACAATTGCTTGCCCAGAAAACGAAGCCACCTGTAACTGAGTATCGAACAAGCGACAGTGAGCGCTAACACACTGCTGCCTTACCCACTCAGCCACTCCTCCTCTTGTTCTATCAATAATTCAAAATACCTACCTCATCTAAAACTAGAATCCGACATTGATCAACTTTAGCTATGCTTTTGTCAAGGAGATCTAATATCCTCCCAGGAGTTGCAATGATCACATGCACTGTAAATTTAAAAAATACTTTATTTAGATATTGAATAGAGAATTTAAAATTCTTAGTTGAGTACTGTGGTTAAGGTACAAATAATATTATGTCTTATTTTTATCTTAACACTGGAAACACCTTTTCGTTTGTCTTTTTGTCTTATACCTATTTGACATCAGCCACTTGGCCGTCAACCATTCAAGAGTGTATTTTTTGACCCAGGGTTGGCAAGTTTTATATGTATAGTACACCTATATTTGAAACATCATTGATGCATAAAATTACAAAATACAAGTACACTTAAAAAATACCGTTTTATAGCAATCATTTTTTATAGATCACCATAGGCGTACGCAGACATTTGGTCTGGGGCGTGCTCTTAAGTAAATGGGCACTTTTAATAAGTACAATAAGAAAAAAACGGAAGAATATTGCAAACATTTTCCTAAAAAAATCAATAAATAACCAAAAGAAAAAATCAAACTATTACGTACACCTTATTTTTTCTTATTTGATCGATTTGTATTTTTTAATTTCTATCATAACTTTTAAAATGAATAAAAATAAAAATTGAGATGCAAATATTTACTACAAACTGAACTATTATTTCAAAAAATAAATGCTAAATGATTCGAAAGTGCAAGCTGAAATACAAGCAAGAGACAAGGGCCATAGGTGCTATTATGGTAAACTAGTTATCAAAATTAAGTTGTTATCAAATTGCATGTACAATGTATAATCAAATGCAATATCCCGGTAGGTTAACATTAACATAGGAATGACTAAGGTAAAGGTGGGAAGACCAGATCAAGAACCACATATTATTAATGTTACTGCATCAGATAAGTGTTTCGACTATAGATTGAGAGATGATATTTATATATATATATATATATATATATATATATATATAAGTTTTGCATATAGACCTGTTAATGTATGTAAGTAAGATTTACAGATTATTTGTATATTGTTCTAAAAAATAGATCAATTAGAGCACATTAAGTCAATTCAATCTAAAACAATACAATATAAATCCAAATCAAGTTTTTAAAAACTCTAACATATTCATTGCTCTCAGAAAGATAAGCTCACTCATATAAAATTTAATGAAGGGGAATCCAAAATAATAACATCATAGAGCCCATTTTATCTAATTAAAAACAATTAAAACTAGATGATTTTTAAAAATCTTATTTTACACTGTAATGTATAATAATATCAATTTAGTAAAAGAGCTAAACCAAATTTGAAGTCTTAACAATATTATTTTTAGTAGTGGTTTTGAATAATAGTATCATGACCTTTATTTAGATTATTCATATCAAATTATTATTTAGGTTTAAAGAAATCAATTGCAAGGAGGACAAATGTCTAATTTTTGTTTTTATAAAATGAATAACTTTTTAACACTAAAACCTTTTCACTATACCTTACACATACAATAAATAATAATAAAAAAACACATATCAAAATTAATACCTCCTCAGCTTAGAAATTAAGCTAATAATAAACATGTAATACAAATACCACAAGTATTCACTTGTAATTTTTATAAAAATGTAAGTTAAATTGTAAAAAATTAATTTCACTAACAGAAATAATGTCTTGTTTTTATTTATCTGATGTTACATAGACAATTTAAAGTTCAGTTTGAATGATGTCCTTAGAATTGATCCGTAAATTATACAGTATTTAAGAAAAACCAAATGTTAACAGTGGGTTTGATTGTTTCCACCATTACTGCACGGTCATTATGTGCCGTAAGATAATTCTGTGAAGTGGTATGATTTTGAAAAAAAGTTTGAATTGATTCATAGCTTAATATTTCAAAAAAATTAAAACCAAAAAATAGTTCATTTAACTAAGTCTTCAACTATTATAGGTTAATTTCAATGAGAAACTTAATTATTAATCGGGAGGGGGATGTATTGCAGAAATCATGCTCTCAGAAAGGTTAACTCACTCATATAATTAGGTGAAGGGGAATCCAAAATAATATCATCACAGAGCCATTTTATGTATTTAATAACAGTTTAAGTTCAAGGATTTTAATATCTTAATTTACAATCATGATATTTATTAATTGTAAATAAGCAATAGTCCAACCAAAATTTGAGGTATTTAAGAAATTACATATAGAACAGTATCATCACATAGGATACAAAAATGATTCCATTATTTGTATTAATTTAATTTTTGATACTAAGATATAGGTTAATACGCTACTTGTTAGATATACCAATTTTATGTTTTTAAAATAGCATAGTCATTACTAGTTATAACATTAAAAGAGAAGTATAAAAAATATAAATATAATTTTGTAATTTACTATAAATATTTAGTTAAATTATATTTTAATAATACCTCTTTGGTAAATACGTAGAATGTCGTCTTTTAAATTTGTACCACCAGTGGTCACCATCACCCTTATATCCAAATGCTTTGCGAGTTCAATACATATTTGACTAGTTTGTAAAGCTAATTCTCTGGTTGGCACAATAACAAGAGCTACAAAAAATAACATAAAAGTTAACAAATACCAAACAAGGGATACTACAGTACCTAGCATGAATGAATTACCTTGAATAACATCTTTTTTGGGATCTACTTGTTCGAGAACAGGAATAGAGTAAGCTCCAGTTTTTCCTGTACCGTTTTTGGCTCTTGCCAATATATCTTTTCCAGAGAGAGCAATTGGTATACTTGCTTCTTGAATAGGACTTGGCTTTTCCCAACCTTTTTCAAATATACCCATTAATAGTTCTCGTTTTAAACAGAACTCTTCAAAATCATTTCCTTTGGTGGAAGTGACATCCTGAAATAGAATTAATTTTTGATCAAATGATAACATAAAAATGATTTATGATTTGTCTTACGCTAGTTCTAATTCGTTTATCTGGTGGTGGAAGTTTGAGCTTTGCCTTCCAACCTGCATCATCTATACCTTCAAAACTTCTGAAAAGTAGGAAAAATTAAAATATAAATATACATATTATGTTAAAAAAATATTTAATTAACAACTAAAAATTAAGTACTCACATTCTATTCACTTGTTTACTGGGCATATTGAGGTTGCTAATCCCAGAATTATTATGGTTTGTAGCGAGCATCTATACTTATTCAAGGTTCAAAGGAACCAATGAAACGAACGAAAAACAACTCTTAGATTTTTTTTTATGTATAGTTAGATATAAAATTGATAATCACTTATCAACACTAAAACGTGTTTACTTATGACTTAACTATTTACAATGAATAAAAAAAATAACAAACATTTAGTAAAAATACCATGAAGTATTCACTTGCTGTCTTAATAAAAATGTTAGTTAAATTATAGAAAATTATTTCACTTATGAAAATAATGTCTTTTTTTTTTAAATTTATCAAATAAATCTTTGATCACTATAAAAAAAAAAAAAATGATTTTAAGTTTATTTCAACTTCTTTTAACCTGAAAAAAAATTGAACATATTATAATATAATAATTTTAATCATAATAATAAACAAAACATAAATATACTATTTCAATATATTTTTAATGAATCTAAATTTAACCTATACCACATGGGAACAAAAAATATCATAGATCCAACGGGTTTTACCCCTAATAAATTTTGCCAGCAAATACTACAGCAATACAATACAAATATTGTTTAACTTAATTCTTGGTAAAATATGTTAAATTGATTTAACAATGTACTAATAGTGTATGTCATTGCCTATAATCAGTTTAACATCCAACACACCCATTTGTAATAATAGACAGTCAAAATCTAGTGTAGATCAAGTATAGAAATTTAATAAATTTTAGGATTTTTCACTATTTTGGAAATAATTAAGTAATTAAAACGAATAAACATGTTTTTTTAAATTAACTATGTTGTTATAAAATATTATAATTGTTTTTAACTTCTTGAAAGAAAATTTTAACAACACATTTAACGAAAAACCTTGCATATATTAAGCAGCTCTCAATGTTTGGGATTCATGACTATAAATAGAATATGTACACAAACGATGTAAAACTGGGTTTTGTAACCACATGATTGGCAATTTTTAGTATTATATTCAAATTCTATCCAAAAAATTCAATTTATCACCATTATATCGAAAATTATCATAAATATGAAAGCAATCAGCTGACATGGACAATAAGGTTAATTAAAACTCACTGGATAATCGAACAAAACGAAGGCACTTGACACGTTATAATGGAAAATATAGTTTTTATATATACATATATTAAAACGCTAAAGTCTAATAAACAACTACGAAAAAGTTTTGGGTCATGACCAGGAAGTAGCACACCGCGTTTAGCACGAATTTAGTTCCCAGCGTTTCAACACAGACCTTGCCAGTTCGCACGATCCGCGTAATTCAAGCAAGAACAACCGAGAAGCAAAAATCTTTGCTCAGATTCTAAAAACTCGAAATGACAGCATATAAACATTTATGAAGACACAATACGCGAAGACCGCAATTTCACAAAGCGTTCGGCGATTAAATTGCCGTTAACAAAATGGCGGCGTAGGCTCAGGTGCGCGCAGTGTGGTTTAATAAGTCGATCGGTATCGTCAATCTAGTACTCTGTTTAATATGCTTACCAAATCCAACGGCGAACCGTCCACGGCGCTTTTCTTGCTAAGTCTGTCTACCTGTCGGACGTCGTTCGCAATCGTATTCGTGTTGTAAACAGGAAAAATAACATCTAGTCGCACAATCAACAGAAAAATGACGTCGTCGGTCGTGTACCGTAGCGTAGTCGGTAAAAGTAATATAACAAAAACGATCATTTCATCCCGGTGCCCCTCTAGCTCCTCCTCTACGTCCACTCCCCACTCAGTGCTCTCGCTAGATATTTCCACATTGGACCACTGTGACTGGCACGCTTACGCGATGTACAGCTATACAGTGTGACCAACATCGGTGGATCAGCCCGAGTTTTGAAATTTTGGCGGGTGTCCTGTATCGGTTGCAACTAGTAATTATTTAATAATGATACAGTCATTAAAAAATAAATATGTTCATAGACTACATACTGGTCTCAACTATTGTTACGGTATAAATTATATAACGCATGGACAATAATTTTCCATATGGATATTCAACTTCTACTAGTTTAAATAGTATAGTAAATATGTAAGTATACAAAAGAGTTGGAGGCCCTTGTAGATAAGTGCATTGTAAATTGTTATAATATGTATAATACATTTTTAGAAAAAAAATAATCATAAATTTTGCACCAGGCCAGGATCGAAGCTAGATATTCCGCTGGCCGCTAGGCAGCTGTGTCCACTAAACTCTACCTATAAGTATTATTATAGTTGCCAACTATGGCTCGTATTCCCGCACTTCTTAAGGTGTTGCTAACAATTTTGATATTCTAAAATCTAAACTATTAAGTAAAAATTATTGATGACGTATTTTGTCTTCTTTTTGGATGGAACCTATTTAAGTTTTTATCGTATAAGGAGCTTAAAAATAGTTAGGTACCTATACAGAATAATTTTCTTTAATTTTCAATGTTACTTATTTATGTATATTGACTCCCCTATCTGAACGTTAATTTAGCAACAGGAACTCTACAATATGCGAATTTTACAATGTTCTTTTTTTTTAATCGAGGGATGTCGAGACTCCAGACATGGAAGGACATCCACACCTCCCCACCAAAATACTTCAATGATCTTTACCCCAATAACAATGCGTATTAACAAATTTAACCAAAAAATTGTCTTGTATAGTGTTTATACAGTAAACAGGAGCACAACAATTTAAATTTCATCATTGAAGAGTTATTACTCTTCCACCTCAGGACTCGGCATAAACCATTGTTGAGCTTATAATATGAAGTGACTATACATTATAAAATATATGTTTATATCGCTAAATCATATTAAAACACAAATTATCTTCAAGTCATTCCTCGATATTCGATAATTATAAGTTATTAGAACAACATCCATTTGTCATGATCACGATCGCTGGCGCTTACCTTGAAAACTTCCACATAGTAGCTTATTCACTGATGCCAACACGGTTCAACGGGCTGATAAAGGCTTATCATATTTTTTATTATTATTACAGCGATAAAATAATATATTAGATAACGTCTCTACTCTCTATAGTCTATAATGAATAATCTGTACTAACTACTACTCAGTACTTAGTATTTAATGATTTACTAGTCAACATTTAACATTATAATGTATAGTATTAACTTATTTTTTTATGGATTACTGTGTACGGTTACTTAAAAATGTATGACTATTTATTTATGACATTATTGAACTATAATGTTAAAAATGACTTAAGAAATTCAGTAATGAAAATGTAAATACTGTTAACTAAATGTTTTTAAAACAGCATATTTTGGAAGTGTAAAAAGTGATACATATCCATTTATAATGTCAGAAGAAGAAGATGACCAATGGTAAACACTTTTATTACTTATTTTTAAAGCAAACTTCACTTTTAAATTGGCTGTGACTTCTTATGTTTAGGATGAAAGATTTGGAAAAAGCATTGGGGGATGAGCAAGATTTATCTCCAGTCAGTAATGAATCAGTGAATTTCAGTGCAATTGAAAATGAATGTAGGGGACAAGTATGGCGACAACTTTTTATGCGTGATGATGATACTATTCAATTGTTATTAGATGAAAAACCAGTTATAAAAAATGTTGAACAACTAGAGAATGATAGTCAAATGTTAATTGGTAAGTGGAAGTTTTTATATACTAATAAATTATTTTCTTAACTTCTATTTGCATATTTACAGCTTCATTAGAAATTGAAGATGAAGAAGAAAAATTAAATCTTTTATCTGATACTGTAGCTATATTACTAACAATTTGTAAAGTAAATAATGAAGACACTTATGATCCAAGCAAAAAATGGCCATCGCTCTTACGACCAATTGTATCATTAAAATTACCTCGAATTGATACCTATATAATGTTTCGATCAATTGATGCTGAATATTTAGCTAAACATCAGGACTGTTATCATTTGTTAAGAATTTTGTTGTTGTACCATGATCCAGAATTATGTAACTTACTAGACTCCCTAAAGTTAGGACCAGAACATTATAGTGAAGTATGGGTAAGTATATTAAATGCAGCTAAATACATTTCCTTAGGTATAATTTGTTTCAAATGTATTATATCAAAATATGTTCTTTCACTTGGCTTTATAAAACTCTGTCTATATTTTACAAAATATAATAATATTAACATTAATCATTTTACACATAATACATGTAATGTTACATTTTTAGTAATAGGTGGTAATTTGCTGTGGAATTTAATATATACATATTTTATGAGTTTAGATAAAAAAACATTAGTAGAGAATGAAAATAAAGACAGCCATCCATCATAAGTTAGGAGATAAGATTTTAGATATTTTAGATATTTTTACCGACTTTAACAAGATAACAATTTGTATTTTAAATTAAACTAACACATTCATACAGAATAATGTAGTGCTTATTTTAATTTCTATAATACATTTTCTGAAATTATATTTCTTAGGTGCAGACACTTTTTGCAGAAGTGTGTTCCTTAGATATCATATCAGCTATTTGGGATTTATATTTTGCTAAAAAAGATAGATATTTCATATTCTTTTTGGCTCTTGTCTTTATCATTAATGCCAGGTATTCATTTATTTTTTATTAAAAATACATAATAATTTTATTTTATAATTAGTTGCAGCTTATTGTATAGTGTGAAGCAAAGGATTAGTATGTTTCTAGGAAACTATAAGTTGTTAATTTTCAATTATTAATTCGTTATGACTTATTTCATATCAGTTATTCATGTTTTAATAGTATATACATATATTCAAATTTTTAAGTTATCCTTGTATTATAAATATTTAACAGATCAGCTCTTGTAAACCAGGAATAGAATAAATGTTATTAACATTTTTAGTATCCTGTGGTTTAAAAAAAATTGCTGTTAGCATTATCAGTTAGGTATTCAAGCTATTAATTTAAGGACCATAAATGGTATACTGAATACCTATACTCACAAGCTGCAACTAACTAGAAAACATTATACTTTGTAATAATTTGATGTATGTATTATAATAATATAATATATGTATGATTCATTTTTAGGGACCATGTATTCTCGTTAAAACATCAGCCAAAAACTCAGTTAATTGAATTACTTAAAAATTTACCGTCACAATTATGTATAGAAGATATAAATGACTTTTGGTCATTAGCTGAGTATTATGATTCAAAAACTCCGTCATCTTTCAAAAAAGTAACAATTTTTATTACATATTCTTCATTTTCTGCTCATTATTTACGATTATGTTGTGGGTAACCAAAACTTTTACCTAATTCATAACATCTATTCAAAATTGTATACAAAAATATGATTTTGTTATTTATTTATTTATGTCTGGTCAATTCATATGGTTCATAATACATATTTTTCCAATTTAAATTGCTAACTATTTCAAATTGTCCATTATAATTTTTTCCAACAATTACTGTCCTATTTAGCCTTATATTTTATATTTTTAAGTTACTAGTTTATAATTATACTACCTATTAGAGTTGCTGGAAACTTTTTTTTTTATATTTATTTTTATGATAGCATTTGTATTCAACTTTTACTTTCATGATAGTAGTAATAGTATATTAATATACAATTGTTAGTTTTTGACATAATATTATTCTATATAATAATATACATAATAATATTACTAATACTTATTTATTAGTATATAAAAGTTTAGTTGTTGCTTTTTTTGTTTTGTTTTTTAATACTATTTTTTATTATGTAACATTACATTTATTATTTTAGGACGTTGCTGGGTATATATTTAATCCCAAGCTGAAGAATAATGAAATTTCACAAATGTTGTGCCTTCCAATAAGTGTAACAGAATTATTGTCTCATATCAATAAATCAGTTACTAATAGCCTGAAATTTTTTGTAATGGATTGTCGACCAGCAGAACAATATAATGTTGGCCATTTACCTATAGCTTTTCCTCTCGATAGTACATTGGTACAATTATTTTCCTATTTATATTAAAACATGTAGTACAAATGTGTTTATGTTTATATGGTCTTAGCTCTTAGAAGACCCAACATCATTTTGGACAGCTGTTGAGGGGTTATTGTCATGTCAAAAGCAAAGTTTTGCTGAAGGTCGATCAGGAGGGGGCGAACATTGGTGCTTTGCTGGCTGTGAAAGTGGTTTAGATGCTAATCAAAACACCCATATGGTTGTTTCAGCATTTTTACAGAAACATTCTTTATATGTTTCTATGTTAATTGGTGGTTATCAAGGTATTATTGTATTTCCCTTTAATGCTGTATAATATATGTCATCAATTTATTTGTATTTTTAAGCACTTCATGAGTATTTTGAGCAAAATGATATTGATGGGTTAAGTGATCATAACCACAATAAGTGTTTACAATGTTTACACAGCTCAAATCAAGTTAAAGACCGACCTTCACAAACTAACGTGACTAATGAATTATTTTCCAAACTAAGGTAATTATACTTTATAAAAATTGAATATGTACTATGTAGACACAATACTAAAAATGTGGTGATTGCACATTTCTTAATATTAGATTCTATAAGCTATAGAGTTTTTTAGTTGCATGTCATAGTAATCAATAATACAACTAATTTTACATTTGTATCAATTTTAATTTTTCTAATCAAGTTATTTAATTAAAAATATATGTATATCATATCTTAAATTACATTTATTAAAGAATCTTTTTATAGTGGGGCTATGCGATCTAAGTCGTTTGAAGTTAGAGGAAAACTAATGGATTTATTATCAAGTAATACTTCAAGTACCAAAAATGAAAAAATTAATAATGAAAAAACCAAAATGTATCGAAACATGGCACCTGTTTTTTCTATTGATGAAGATGATAATATTCAAGACTCTGATGGTATTTTTATTTAAATGTATTATATATTATAATAAACATGCTGACTTAATAATCGATTGACTAGAAAATATTGCTTTCATAAAATGAGAGTGAAAATATGACTAATACAGTTGGTGTCTAATACAGTATATATTATGTTTTAGATGAATTAAATGATACATCTAACAACACTAGTTTGTCAGAATTACTAAACAAATCAAATATAGTTGCATCATTTGACTGTCACCATATTAGAAATGAAGGAAAATTAATACCAGGGTAATTAAACAAAGTATATTATATACATAATAATATGATATATATCAATAAAGCGGAACACACAAATCTAGATTTTCACATAATATGTGAATTCTATTAAAATGTTTTGTCCGTTTTTTTAGTTATGTAAAAAACATAAGAACACTAAATATAAATAAAATGTATAGATATGTATTTAAGTAAAATATATTTGATTTATGGGGAAAAAAAAGATTAAAAGCTTCAAGATTTTGAATAGGTTGATATAAATAATTAAAAAAATATTAATTTTTTAATTATATTTTTCATTAAATTCTTTTTACTTTGTTACATATATGTGCATTGTATTTATAAGAGTTTTAAGTGGCTAAACAACAGATTTTTTGTTTGAAAAAACAGATTCTAGTGTTCTTATTAGTTTAACATAGTACAGTAGTTCAAAATATCCTGTGATACACTTGGTAGTTGAAATATAAATTAAAGTGTTAAAGTATTAGGATTTCACAGTACTTTTTAGAGGTAATGTACATATTGTATATAATAAAATTATCATACATACACAGATCATTTTATCGTGAATCACTCAATATCTCATAGGATTTAAAAAAAATTCATTTTTTTTTCCATCATTTTTTTATACAATGTGATGTCAATTTTTTTTTTGTTTCTTAAAAAAATTGTGAAAAATTGAGATCACGTGGTATAAAATTAATATAAAAAAAAAATTGTATTTCTTATTAAACCCTACTAAAATTATCATCGTGTGTAATAGTATTATTAAATATGAAAATAATATTACTTATACATGCTTACACCAGAAATAAAATTGTATACTTAATGGTTATTTAAAAAATTCCTTTTTAACCTTCACTAGCACGCGTGTATTAAAAAAAAAATGTTTATTACAAAATTTGTTTAATATACAAATGGTTATCCAAAAAAACTAAAAGAGTGTTAGTGTTTCCAAACTGCTTTATCTAGTGCATTGAAAATAAATAGGATTGTAGTTTAACTCATTAGCTATGATAGAGTGCTCTGTGAGCTCATTTGGAAAAGAATTCGCAGAATTATGATTTTGTTACTTCAAGAGACTGATAGTTGACTCTAGAATTCAAGCTTTCGGTTTTTATGTTTTTTATGTCTCTCACTCCCCTGCTCCACCAGTAGGTCAAAATGTTGAACCTTATACTCATAGCATATGATGATCTTCTACAAACAATCTGGATTTTCTTCCTTTTTTTCAGCCGTTTTTGCAAATATCCATGTGATGATTCATTCAGCTGAAAACCTGAAATCTGGAATCGACCATTAAACTACCTTTAGTAAAAAAAACTATAACTCTGTGAATTCTTTACCAAATTAGCTCATAGAGCACTCTATTGTTAGCTAATGAGCTGAACTACAACCTTACTTACTTTCAACATCCTAGATGCGATTACTTTTAATTAGTAACCCAGTTTTTCTGAATCGAAGGAATGCTTGTAATCCAATAATCCGACTGTTGGAATAATGGATTTTATTTGTAATCCTGGGTTGATTGATTACATATATTTTAAAGTTTCTATATATTAATTAATTTGATTCCATATCATACTCTTTATTCCTCTTCTTACGGTCAACGTCCATTAATCCTGCCAATCGGGGCTTAGATTTGGCAATTTTTGGCTTAGAGCTGACTACCGACTTAACGCTACCAAATAAGTTGGCCCCAGAGAGAGGTGCAGATGGCCATTTTTTCCCCTAGACAGTTGCCCGCCCGGAAGGACCAAACCGCCAGTGGCTAAGATTCGAACCGGGGACCGTGCGTTAATACATTGCCGCCTTATCTCACTCCGCCACGCGCCTGCATTCTCAATGAGGACACTGCTTATTTAAATGTTTACATTTATTTTGTTACTTTTATTAACTTGTAATATTATTAGTGATTACTTATTATTATTATTTTATTTTTATTCTACATGTATACTAGTTTAATATTACTAGTATTTAACTAAATAACTGTTTTAGAAAACTGTTGTTGACCAATAATCACATGGTAATAGTTGAAGTAGATACAAAGGATCCAAATAAAATTTGTTCCATAGTAAATCATTCCTTAGGAACTATCATGAACATTAAATGTCGCAAAAAAAGACCTGATTTAATAATTTTTGAATATGCAGATCCAAATCAAGAAATTGACAGGTTATTATTCAAGTTTCCCAATTTACCATTTATTTATTAACTAATAACCAAATTTTATTTTAGATTCCTAATACCACAATCACAAAAAGCCACAGACATCATTAGTAAGCAGATTTTGGATTTTATTGAAAGGAATGACAGCTGATAAATCTATAAGAAATTACTAAATAAGTCGAAGTCATTGCATACTTTTAATAAAGTTTTATACAATATTGAAAAAAATCATTATAAAAACAATATCTGTATTATAATTATTTAAAAAAATAATTTTACTTATATTTTAAAATACTTGATTCTATAAAAAAAAAAAAGTGTGTACAATGTATATTATTTTTTGTGTCAATGAACCATTATAATGTTTATTTATTTTAGTTGCTGGATGCAATGACTTATTTTTAATTTTAGTTATTTTTATTACTTAATAATGGAAACAATGTACAATAGTGATTTGTATTATAAGAAAACCCCTAAATTCTGTACATTAAGCTACAATCTAGCTGTTTACAACAATAATGACAATATTTTAGGTTTCCAATTGTAATTTGTTTGCTATATTATACCTCTATTATTTAATCTGAAAAGTGATAATTTATTTCTTATTCCACTCAAATATATAGTACTCATTTTAGTATAAAATCTTGTTAATTTTTTTTAAAATAAAACATTGATTATATTTTATAATTCTTCTATATTTTGTTTTATTTAACATTGTTTAAACTGCTTAATATAATACAATTAATATTATAATTTTTTTATTAAGTAATGACACTAAAAGTAGATACATAAAAAAAATTTCAGTACATTGACATTTCATTAAATTGACAGGGTAATACAACTTTTAGGGATTTAAATATTATAATTTAACATTAGTATACAATATCACTACAAAATATAACCCAAAATACATATTCTCATTTGAAATAGTGTATAAATCTATATAGCTGGTAGTTTGATAAGCTATCCAAATGTATGTTATAATGAGTGTACATTTTTAAATATTTAAGCCACTATTCAAAGAGTAAAATGTAATACTTTTTAACTTGTCCACGCAGGGTTTAGTAAAAAAAAAAAAAAAATACTGTATAAATTTGATCACATTAAAGAGCACAAAAAATATTAGTACTATAAATGAGCTTTTAAATTATTCTCACTACATGAATAATTAAAATGTAGTATTTAAGACATGATTGCTAGATTACTGACTTTTTCTATCTTGTCCATTTGCACACATCCCATTCATTTTATAATAACAAATTAGAACAATAATACTTCTTTTTCAAACTCTGGTAATGAAATATCCTGCACAGTATTATCTAGCGATCATGCCTGGTTATTTAATTATAGCGGTTGTCGACCATAAGATAGAAGGAGATTTAATCATGATTTAAGGTGTAATGTATTCCATTAAAATATTAAATAATGCCAGATTACATGTTAGTTAATTAACATTCAGTAATTTCCTTAACGCTCAAAATATAGTGTTCCTTTAAATGTATAGAATTTTCATGCAGCCCATTCAGCATAAATATTTAAAGACTTAATGCATTTTTAAATTTAATTATTATTAAATAAACTATAACATTTGGCAACAAATATTAAATGATTATTACAAGATGTCAATATGTAAATTAAAAGTACAATCATTTTAACATGGCTCTGTGTCTGTGACAAATTCTTGGGGTTGAGGATTCCATCCTTTCATATTTTCTTCATCTGAAATTCTTTCCGAGTTTAGCTACATGCAATAATAATAGTAAAAATTATTTAATAAAATTCAAATGTTTACTATTACATTTCTATAACTTATACAGTTTAAAAAAAAAGTTATATATTTAGGTTTACTAGTTTGTCGTTCAATATTTAACTATATGTTAGTTTATTTATTTATTTGTCCTAGTAGGCTTCTTTTCAGCACATATATATGATTCATAGAGCTGAAAAGTTGATTGTATAAAACAAAATGCATTTATCACAATTGTGACAGTGAAAAGTTATAACTTAATTTTAAACTTGCAGTGTTAATACAACGCTTGGATGTTAATATAAAATAGCAATACAAAACTCATCTTTACTAGAAGTATATACACAAGTTAGATTCAAGTTAAGGAATTAGAGATCAAAATTACAAAAATATCTTATTGTTGTAAAATAGGAAAATCAATTTTTTTAGTTTATAATAATCAAAATTCAAAGTTGGAACAGAAAATGGTCATACTACCTAATAATTTTAACATAATTTTTGCTAGGTATTTGTGACTATGGCAAGAGAAGAAAATAGCTCACTTTTTCCTTTTTTAAAATATGTTTAGCCTTTTTTTTTGTTTTTATTTGTCATTTTTAACAATTGTTATAAATATGTTAATATATATGTTTATACACAATGATGTTAAAGTACTAACAGTATTTCAACCCTAATTACTTATATGCGAATAAATTAATCTTAAATTTATTGTTGTTACTTAGTTGATAAATCATAAAATCATACCTCTTGTACAATATTATTATGGTAGTTAATTTCAAACTGGTATTTAGGTGTAGTGATACCAAAAAAGCATGCCAAAGATTCACCGAGGTAATCAATCTTATTTAATGCACTAGATGCAATATCTGTAGAACGTTTGAGCAACCGCGAAGACCATTTGTCCTACATATAAAATTTCAATTATTTTTTTTAATATTTAAAATACTTGTAGTTATAAATATTTTATATTAATGATAAATCACAGGTTCATTTAGTTCATGCCGCGGTTGTCCTCGTAATAAATCTATTTCATCAGCTGCTTCTGGCATACTCTCTACACATCCATCACTGAAGTATGTTTTATGTGGCTCAATTTGTATACTGATATTTTCCATGTCCACAAATAATTTTTCCTGCAACATTAGTAATGAGTATTTTATACCAAACTATATAAGTAAAAATGTAAAACCTTTAATAAGGGTGTAGACATTGTAAAGAGAAGTGAGTCAACATGTCTACAGACTAATGGCTGGACTGACCTTGTAAAAATATTTTAAGAAATCAATAAACACTACTTAAATTATTTAAAAATCGTGTATACTTATGAAATATCAAAGAACTATTTCAATAAATATATGTATAGTTGAAACCGCACAATTATACACGACGTCACGCAAACGGTGCTGAAACTTTTTAGTATGTACAATACATTACGTATCAAGTGTTAATAATATTTATATTAATATCATAATAATAAATTTAATTATGACTCTTATCTTAAAAACTAACATCAACACAATACTTGAAAGCTTTAAGCAATCGTATCGCAAGAAATAAAACAATTAAATATTGTTAATTGTTTTACTTAGGAGTTAGAGGAGTTAAGGCCTGGAGTACATCTAAAAATTAAAATTCACCTGTTGCCACTTGCCTGCAGTTGGCTTTTGATAACTAGATAGATAGTATGTTATAAGATGGGTCTATGCATGAGCATATAAATATTTAGTCATAGGTCCATGGTTGAAACCTTGATTAAATATATATATATGTATTTAATCGGTGGTTGAAATATACAGGTTATTGCACATCGTCTCGAATTGTTATCTTCAGAGATAAAATGACAGCGTAACGAAATATCAATTTTATTACTACTATATATATTTTACCGTGTACTTATATCACAGAATAGATATATATTATAGTTATGCAATTATACTTGAGTTTTGATGTGGCATATGTATATAGGTCTATGGTACTAACTGATAATATTTGGAGTAACTGTAAATTTGGTGCAAAAACTTTTCGTGGCAATCATGTTATCCCGAAACCAGAAGGAAAAGTTAAGTTGAGAGTATGACTGAGAAGTGTTCGACGTATTGTTTTTTCGGCAGGTGACCAGCTATAGAAAATTCCCATTATACGGTGTACGACAAAAATCAAAAGATGTCTGTTGTTTTTCTGTGATACGAACGAGCACATGCTCAGTAACTCTTGATAACATACCGTTTCCCGTTCTTATGAGTTCTCTATTTCAATGTTGTATTACATATTATAATTCATATTAATCTGTGGTTATACTGAGTTATAAGTCCTAAAAGTTAAAACTCATTTCACAATTCTGATTTGCGGTGAACCGAAATGGTATACTAATTTCCAAACTGAAACGCATTTTTTCATACGTATAACTAAAACATACAACTTTCAAGTGTTAATTTTTCTTTATTTAATTGTTGTTGAAACATGTTTTGTTAGTTCCACGTGATTTGTTAGCTTATAACATATTGTGTTCATATTTAAGTCGTTAACTTTTGATATTTACATAAGTGATTTCTAAAGTAAGATTTTTATCATATTTAATGTTATTATTTTTGTCAACTTGGTTAAAACATCTCTATATACTTTGTAATATTAAAATTATTCTTGTCTAGTAGTTGTTGAATTGCTTATTAGAATCTATAGACAACTAGTCTCTAGCTAATATTGAACTCATTAAATTGTCAGAACTAAATTTTTATGAACTATTACAAAATACATATTATGCTCATTTAATATGGGATTTTTTGGATAACATAGTGTAGTTAATCCGTCGTTGGTTGTGTGGTGAGACTTTTGACCATACAATAATGTTAGTCACTACTGGCTATTTTGTTTGTTCATTGTCTTGTTTCATACCTATACTTAATCAATTACACGTAGTTAAAGTATAGAATTATACACACAGAAAAAAATAACAATCGTTTATTGTCAGTAACAGTTAAACCAGTGAGTAATAGGCAGTTTGTGCTCATAAAGTGAGAGACTAAGCAAGTTAATTTTAATTTTATGATGAATTTCATATGGATATACATTTATGAATAATATATTCTTATAATTAATAATGTGTTTATAGTATATATCTTTAGGTAATAAATAAAATTTAAGGTTGTGTATAAAAGATCTCCCACTACCGTCCAGTAGTCCCATTGTCGTAGGAAAAAGGACGCCACTAACGACGGGTTAAAACTATATATTTATTTTATAATCAATTTAGGTATTACTAATACTTTAGTGTAGTATTTCCAATTTTATGTTTTGTATCTTGGATAATACTTTTGGATTCACTATCTAATTATTTATACTTCAATAAACATTTTTTTATAACTAATGTAGAATGAGCAGTAAAGATGAGTTCTTATCTAAAATTCAACGAAGCAAATGCTGGTCATCTCGTGATAAATATTGGGAATGTTTAAGAACCAATAATGACAAAGTAGAAAAATGTGTAGAACTAAGAAAGACTTATGAAACATTATGTCCTATCCAATGGGTAAATATTTACTACAATATATATTATGTTTTTTTAGATATTATGCGGAGCTGAGGTATTGTTTTTACAATGACATGTTTTGAAGTTTATTTTGTGTCTAGACCCTTAATATCTTTTAAACTGCTAAACCAATTTCTTTATGTAGAAAGTCTATAGATCAGAAATTGTACTTTATAAGACTAAAAATGTAAAATGTTAACCCCTTCCCTTCCTAAATCGTCAAAAAATTACACATTTTTCAACTTAAAATTACGGCATAAAATATTTTAAAAATAATCTAATTAGTTCCACATTTGTATGTAATATTCTTAAAATATAGTACTACTAAGAAACTTTGCAAACCAAAAATATATTGTTAACCCTTTCCCCTGAAGGGGTAGAAAATTCTTTATTTGTATAGGTGAAGTTTTAGAGCTTAAGATCTGAAAATAAAAACAGGTCTAGAATGAAAAGATCTAGAATAGGCCTATAACATTTACAATTTTCTCAAAAATCTGAATTCAAACTTTTTTTATTAAGAAAAAAAAAAGACTAAAATTACGCTTTAACCGTAGTCAATATGTAGGTAGCTATGTGTCAACAATTATTTAAAAATATTTTCGTTATAATATCAATTACAGTCAACAGCAACAAATTATTATATACGAACAACCAGTCTTAATTGTAATCACACTAATACAAAAAATACTATTATAAGGCAGTGCTTGTATATATAAGCGTTTATTTTAAAGTAATTTTATCACTCTAGGTTATAATAATTTCTGTAGCCTTGTGACTTTCTCTTTTCCAAAATGTTTCATCCCCACTGTACTACCTAGCGTTTTTTTAATTTCATTAATTAAAAAATTAATTTTTTTAAATTTTAACAATTTTTTATTTTCATTGTAACAATTGTGATTTATATTAAATGTACACTTAATACTATAATACAACTGAGTAAAAGTAAAAATATTTAACAACACTATAAAATTCAACATAGGGAAAACGATATATATTTATTCACTGACATATCTACTTTATTAATATTGTTATTACTTTTTTGTTTTATTTTCTATTTTATACCTATACCTTAGTGAATTTTATAATAGTTCTTTTTTTTTATTAACAACTGCTGGAATTTTTTGTCTTTGTTTTATACCAATGTAATTATTGTGATTTATACCATTGTATCTATTCAATGCTATATATACTATGTACTGATTAGTAGGCTGTGTCCTCGTAGCAACCTATAAACTGGGCAGCACGCCTTCATTATTTTATTAATAAAGGTTGTATATCTCTTATTAAACAAATGTTAAAAATATTTTTCAGGTGAAACATTTTGACAGAAAATACAGCTACTTACAATTTAAAGAAAAAATGGAAAAAGAAGGTTATGAACCTTTAAACGAAAAGGATAATTAAGCCGTTTTTTTTGTTGCAAAAATAGTGTATTAGAAAATTGGTAAGCTGAAAATAATTAATTTTTAATTATTGTTATATGAAAAAAATGAATATAAATAGAATAAGAGTAAATATACTATTTTACTTATTTTTTATTATGTGATAATTGTTTTTTTTATTTATACATTTTTAAATATATTGTTTGATGAGATGAATTATTTACTTAAACAATTGTAATACTAAAGCTAAATATTTATCAGGGTTGTATAAGCTTGATGGTCAAATTAATGTATCCCTATTAAATAAATAAAATCCTGGCTTTGTGCTTGCACATCGCCCATTGAAAAATTTACTTATATTTTTCAAATATTTTGTATAAGTAATATGTCGATTTGTGTTTTAGAAAATTAAACATATTAGACCACAATATGGCTGATGAAAGATTAAATAAAATTAGTTTAGAAATCCTTGAAAATATCCTTCAAAATAATATTTCAAACTTAAATGTAAGTATTTCAATTACAGTTTAAAACAGTAATTAACGTTTTTTTTTTTATATTCATGTTCTTGCATTAGATTACGTAATGTGCTACAATAATATAATATAAAACGAATAAAATAAATTAAAAATAATAATTTTAAATATTTAGCCACTTTTTCTATTTATTACTCTCAGAAATGTTGTTCAGTAAGTTTTTAATAGCATAGACAACGCTCAGGTGCCTAAAAACAGGCCACTATAGTGGTAAAATTTTATTGTAAGCTATGTACTTGCAATGCAGGTATTTGTCTACTGGAAAACAAATGGTTTTATTAAATTTTTTTTCATTAAACATTTTTATCAGGATAAAAATATATTTAATATTTATTAAAACTCAAAAATAGGTACATTTTGTTTTTTATATGCTTTCTTATGAAGAAAATAATATATGCTGGAATGGATGGCTGAGTGTTGTCTGAACTTATTAGAGTGTTGTTCCTTATATTCGTGATGGGAATTCGAAAGTACGGATTTTCACTAAAAACACTATTTAAGGTACTTAAAAATCATATAAGTGTTAAATAATTTTAAAATATAAAGCTGTGTTCCTAAGTAAAATTGTTTTGATAAATATGTAAAAATAAAACAAAACACCAAAAAGATAAACTGCTTTTGGATTTGTTGAAATCCAAAAATCCGTAAGCATTTTATAGACAAAGTTAAGTTTTTTCTTTAAATTTTGATTAACAAATTTTACTTAGGTACACATTTTTATATGGTAATAGTATTTAATATTTATAAGATTTTCAAGTGCCTTAAATAGCGTTTTTTTTTTTTAAATCCGGATTTTCGGATTCCTATCACTACTTCCTAAAACACGTAGTTCTGCACTTAAACTTAATTATTAATCATTTTATTTGTTTAATACAATTTTCAAATACTGTAAAAGTATGCTATTAATAATTTATATAAATATTAAAAAAAAAAACATTGTTAAAAAAATGAGTTAAAATTTTGTATGATAACATAATAATTTTTTTTTCAGGATATAAACAATTTGTTGAAAACATTAGTGAATCAACATAAGGAATTATTTCCTGCAAATAATTATATTTGTAAAAATGCTTTAAAAAACATCCATCATCAACTTATAAATGTTGTTGCTTTTAAAAGTTGTCCACCTGATTATCAACAAGTAATTCCACAAATTCTTTATCAAACACTTTACTTAATTTATCAAGCGGACTCAATAGTTAAATTGAATGTACCCAATGAAAAAGTGGATTTATTTAATGTTTTTGTTACTGTTTACAATGTAGATGTACATTATCCTCACAATATTAACTTTTGTTGTATGGATAAACATTTTCTACTTCCTTCTAAAAACTATAGTCAATATTGTTTGCAAGTACATATTGGTGCTATAAAATGCCTATGTTCAAAAAATCAATTAAATTATATTGTCAACACTTTTGAAGATGTATGCGTTCTATGCTATAGTAATCCTGATATAACATTAGATGCTTTAAAACATTTAACAGAATGTGTATCTATTATAACAAAGGAACAATGGAAAAAGCTGTCACATCATGTTTTCAGAGTTCTTATGGGTCTCATGACACATCATTTACCTACAATTCATGAACAATGTATTTTATTATTTAAACAATGCATTTATCTAGAAGATATAAATTACTTAATGAACATTATAATGTCAGATATATCATGGTCACTAAGAATTAAATATTACATGTTAGCTGAGATAGCTCCAGTTTACGGTATTAAAAAGGTGAGGTATATTTTTTTTTTTGGCTCGAGTTAAAATGCATTTTTCAAAAATAGAGATTTTGCTTTATTTTAATATAATTTTTTAGATTTTAAATACATATAAAGAATTGCCAGTATCATTATGGAAATGTTTGAATGAACCTTTTTTACTATCACCATGCATTAGTTTATATAAGGTATTTATTAAGTATTTAAATGAAGAAGATTTTTCAACAATGATGATTTTGCCAATTTTGAATTTAATTTTAAATAAAAACATAACCGAGTGAGTAAACATAACATTTTTTTTTTGTTACCTAAACTAATAATATAGTTTAAGGCGCAAGTAGGTATCTACTGACCATATTCTCCCCGTATCTTTCTTTACCTATTTATTGTAATTTTATAATAGAAAACAAATTGCTTTAGTTCATAAGAAATTTAAATTGATTCATTTATGTTTTGTAAATGCAAGTTTCATTAATTATTACACATTTATGTTTCGTACAAATTATCTTGTCTTGTTTTTCCTATTAATAATTAATTTAAAATGCGTTTTCACACATTAATTTTTAAAAACTTAAGTTTGCCCTATAGATACAGAGTATTTCATAGTTCTTTATTAAAAAACATTTTTTGACTCCAAAGATAAACAGTATCTTTTCTATGCTCTCTTCAGTTTTTTTTGGTCAAGTATTTTTTTATTAAGTTAAAGAAATAATTATCAACTATTTTAAGTCTTTTATAAAAAAAAATATATTGATGGTTGAAACACATGATATCACTAAACAAAATGGATTCTCATATATAACTTTATTGATTTTTGTGAATTTTCCTCAGTTTTGACATAAAAGGAGATAATTTATTTAATTGACCTGATTTCTATATCAATTAAACAATAATATGTCTGATTAATTAGTATGTTTAAGAAAGAATGGTTCTTGAAACACTGCATAGATGCTGAAAAATATTCCTTATATTATATATATTTTTTGTTTCAGATTAGCAAAGTTTAATTTTGTAACATATTTATTACCTGAAATGAAATTAAAACACTTAGACAGCTTACTGTTGTTGTATAAAGAGATTTCTAATGAGCCAAAACCAGATTTGTATCTTCAAATATCTATAATAAAAAGTGTACAAGCTCAAAAAGTTAATATTGATAACCTCAATAAAATATTAAACATTTCATTGTACTCAAGCAACACTAAAGTAAGAGCTGAAGCTTTTACCATTTTGTGCAACTCAAAGATATCACCCCAAGTATTGGAACAGATTTATGAATTTATTAATGATAATTTAAATAGTGATTGCTCAAACTTACGAAATAAACTAATTTCTGGAATAGAATGTCTATTACGTACAAGTAAAAAGCCATGTGATCTAATGATACAGTTAATCAATCGTATTCATGCACTGATTATTAATAATTTGAAATGTGGTTTAAATTATCAAAGAAAGATAACATCTTTAAAAATGTATTCAGTCATTCTCAAGCATTATAGAAGTCAAAATTTTATGACTCCAAAATGTAGGAAATTGCTTTTTGAAAATTTATTAGATTCTGATGATATTAGAAGAAAAAGTAGTGAATTGTTAATTTCATATTTCACTGTTACATTAGAAGATAAAGAATTGATGAAAAATTGGTTGAAGCTTGGATTAAGTCTTTGTAATGATCCAGTATTTTATAAAAATGAAAGTGGTTCAATTATAATTTACACAATAACTATTCTCATGTACAATTCTGGATTGAAGATAAATGTATTTGACATAAACTTTCGTAACATTTCTTCCTATTTATTGGAATTAGCTCAAAAACAAGTAATCAAATTAAAACATAGTTTTGTCGACAATGTTATAAATAGTACTCTTTACGGATTACTCAACACTATAAATAATTTAACATTTGAAAAAAATTGTCCAAAAATGGAAAAGTTAACCGAAGTTGAAATTGAATTACTATTGAATTTAATTGATAGCAATCTAAAACTTATGTTGGATACTTTAGCTTCTAAAATGGAGGAAGAAGGTACCTTATTAAATTATTTATAATTATATTATTAATTTATGGCAACTCTAATACTCTACAATTTATTTTAGAAAAATGTATTGCCCCTTCCTTTGCACAAATGGAAATAGCGTTGAGTAGTCTTTCTGAATCTAAACAAGACAATAAACAAACACCAACAAACATGTTTCTTCTAAATTTTATTTGGATTAACATTAAAGTAAATATTGTATTAGCCATTTTACTGTTTAATCTTTTATATTTGTACCTAACGTAACCTAACCTATATGTTTTTGTTGAACAATTTAGATATGTTGTGATGTTGCTAGTAAATATGCGATTATGTTGGCTGATAAAAATAATTATCGAAATAATCATATCGAAAGATGTGCTAATATGATAGTTAATGTATTAATAATGTGTAGACATAAAGGCGCTATGGAGGCTACTTGTAGATCTTTGGGTATGTTGATAAAAAATTGGAAAGAATCCTCTAGTTGGTGTCACCATATGTTAAATGATCATTTAAGTTCCATGAAACCTGTAGATGAAATTTCAAGAAGATCAGCTGGAGAACGATATCTTATTCATGCAATCGTAACAAATAAAAAGGTAATTTAATTTTTTATAATTGATACTATCTGCATATATTTAAAATAAGATAATCAGATATAGAATTCAGGCTGGATGGTTATTCTAATTACAAAAAAAAAAAAAAAATTAACCATAATACAATATAAGGGCAGACTGGTTTTGTAAGTAGTTGTTGTTGACAGGCTTTGTGCGCACACGATGTCTTTTAAAAGATTGTTTTAAAATTGGGGATAAATCACAACATTTTTATCAATATCATTGTATAAATTTACAACGGAAGATTTTTCAGAAAAAATGATTTAGAAACTTTAACTGATCAACCTGTATACTTAATGTTTATCAATAAAAAACAAAATCAATGCTAAAAGTGACAAGATCACTTTAAAATAACACTTGGTAGCAAAGGTATTGATTGTAAAAATTATTGAAAATAAATATAAATAATTTAGTAAACACTAAATGTATTTATATTTGAGTTGTTTGAATTTTTGGGTATTTTTGATAGCTTAATATGACTTCTCAAGTATAGGGTTTAAGTCGCTAAGTACAGCAAGTTAAAATTCATCAGTATAGCAGAATTTTAAGTCAGTATTTAGAAAAAAATATGTTTCAGTAACGGTAGTAGATTTTTAAATATCATTAATATTGGAGAGGGTAGGTGGTACAATAATATTCCACGACTGGGGGATAGCTCACACATTTTTTGTAGAAAAGTGTTAAAATCCCTCCCCAGAGTTAGGTTAAATGTACACCACTACAAATAAACCCTCATTCAAATGTTAGATAGGGTAGCAACTTATGAACTTTCGAGAGTACATTGATATTTTTACTGTTAATAGAAAATACTTGTATATAACTGTAATTTTTTTTTTTCAGGAAACCATACCTTATTGTATAAACCAATTATTTAATATAGCTAAAAAGAATGTGGCATTAGATATTTATATGGACACTATTGTTGATCTACCTCAAGCTAAAGCATTACATCTGCTTACTGCTATAGTTTCAAATTCAACAATTACATTAGAATGTTTGTACCCATTTATGGAAGAATTAGTGTTTTTATGTATTGAACAACTTGGTTCCCCACTTTGGACTGTCAGGTATTATTAAAAAAGAATATAATATATTGCATTATTTAAGTCATTTTTTGCTACCAAATACTGGGTTACAAAAAATCAAAATTCAATTAGTTAAAAAATCATAAATAAATTAATAACATAATCTAGTTAATTACCTTAAAATTCTGAAGTTTATTGTTGTACTGACGATTCATAACTTCTGAAATTGTCAAGGTCATTTTCTTTAATCTTATTTTACTTATAGTGAACTTTTAATTATCCATAAATATATAAATAGATAAATATTGTGGACCACACAATAATACAGATAAATTTGTGATAGTCTGACTAAAAAAGTTCATGAGCGCTGTTATTGGTACTCATGGCGCCTATGATCACCACAACAAAATTAGCTCGGCAGTCTACTTGTTGTTCTAATGGAAAATGAGTTTCCTATGAGATTTTTCGTCTCTCAAAACCCCTATTTTGATATGTCACATGATTTTTGGATTATTGGACGCGATGCTACGAGACGTCGGTATTCAAAAACTCAAAAATCGAGTGACATATCAAAATAGCTATTTCAGGCATGGCCGTATCTAAATTTTTTTTTTGAGGTGTCCAAAATAAAGAATAAAGCTAAGTTTTATTAAAAAAAAAAATATAAGACATAAAATATTCGTATGGGGGTTTAGACCCCGTAAACCCCTCCCCCAAATACGGCTTAGTTCTAAGGGACAATAAATTTCATACTGAATTTAATTTTATAATACATGTTTAATAATACATATTTCAAAAATACATTTGAATTACAACATTGTTTTATGCTTTTTGTAGAAATGCTGCTCTTCAATTCTTTAGCTCACTTCAAGTAAAACTGATTGGTCAAAACCGCCTAAACAATGATTCTTGGCTTTCTCATTTACCTCTAGAACCTTTGTTGTATCAATTTCCGCAGATGATGTACCGGTTACATTTTCTATTGGCTCAAACAGATAAAAGTCTATCAAGTCAAAGTCAACTTATACCTTTAATGTCATTGCTTAAAGGTGTTAAACTACAATCATGGTCTTTACTGTCAACTGAACATAAACAATTTGTACAAAACCTTCGCCAAAGTTTAAGTACTACTGGATTTTCAACAGAAATATATACAGTTCGAAATATGGCAGCTCAAGCTTATGTTAACATAATACAAAGAGATGAACAATTTTCAACACTAAAGTGGGTCGGTAGTGAAATTAAAAAGGTGTACCAAGATGTTCATTCATCGCAACTTTGTTCAAATCAAGTTCATGGATTTACTTGTTTATATAAGTATCTTAACAACTTATATTTCTTGGAATTTAATCAAGAGTATGATGTTATTATTATTCCCAATGATAGTATGCCACCTTTGTGCAAGTCAATTTACATATCAATGAATCGTAATATAACTAGCCCTTTTCCTTGTAAATCGGTTATTGGTTATAGCCAGGTAAAAGATTTAATGATTAAAAACGATATATCAAATTCATCAGATGTTATAAACCTTGTAGAGCATTATATGAATTCTGATGAGAATACAACTATAAACTTTCTTCAATGTTTTATAAACAGCCAAAACACAGACGAAAAAGTTTTAATAAAACAATTTATTCATTATCTAGAATTAATTAACAATAACAAAATTTTTAAATTGGTTTTCTTAAATATTGATAATTTATTAAATAAAAATGTTGAAGACTCTTTCAGAATTGACTTAAAGAATGCATATTTTATTAAAATATTTGAAAAGTGTTTATCTCATAAAGAAAAGGATTTAAATGTTATGCTTCCTGTTTTAAGTTGGTTGTGTCCCATTGAGGTCTGTCCGACATTGTTACCATATGTATGTAAACACATTGATAGCGATATTTATGATTCATTTGATCGTTTTAATTTTGCACGATCTCTATATTACTTTACAAATTTTAAAGATGATATTAGATTATGGAAAGCTGTTGTAATATTGTTACAAGATGAAGATTCTAATGTGCGTACAGAAATAACAAGATTTGTTAACCGCTTGTGCTATAACCAGTCTTATACACTTAATCCTTACTTTTGCTTAACAAAAATGTTTCAACTTTCAACAGTTCAAATGATGATGTGTTTAAAATCTGCATTTTTATGTTTTTGGAACTCTATGTCCATAATTGAGCAGCGAAAAAATCACGATGAGACAATAAATCCATTTTTTAACGATCAATCAAATGTGTACCAAGAACAGACACATATAATTATTCTTGCTTTTGATGGCCTCAAACAATTAATTTATTCATTTAACGACAATGATTATTTTAAAGACACAATTTCAGAACTTTTAAATAAATTGAAATATGATTTAGACAATTTTAAATGTGTGTTTGTTGACAATAACCTGAAGATTCTAGATACATTTTGTTTTATAAATTTATTAAAATTGTATTATAAAAAGGAAATTATAAAAATGTTAAACTTAAGTGATTATTTAAACATTTTTGCTTCAATATTTGATAATATTAGTATTGATAGTATTTCTTAATTATAATAATATTAACTTAAACATCTAAGTGTTCATTTTCTTACTACCCATATTCCTAAATATTAGTGTTCATCTTCTTTCTTCCCATATTCCATCCTTATTAGAATCATTTGGCCAGCCAACTAAAGCATTATTATTAACATCATAGCTCTACAGCATAGACAATTGGTTTAACTCATGATTTTTAAATTATTAATTAATTTAATAGTTAGAGCCTAGTTGACATAAGGGGTTTCCAAGTAAACAAAAACCGGTTTACTTAAAAATGTATTCTATTTACAGCCAAGCCAAGCAACAGATTTGCACCTGGCAAAATAAAAATTCAATTCACATTCAATTATCAGGTCCAACTTTACAAATCCCTTTTTTGTCAAATATTTTGCACCCCTGACGGACATCAATTGGCGCCCATTTCTTTCAGGCCTCAATTATATTATTCATAATACTAAAGTTTGAAAATCTTTACATAGAGAAGAGCCCTCTTATATTTTTGTTTATTAAACATATTAAAGTAGTCTGGCCATTTTTGTTTTCTACAATAAAGCAATTTAAAATTACACTAAACTATTTTTTTAATTTTAAATATAATATAATAATCTCGACCCTCGGTCATATAGTTTACATTTCTTATTTTCCTCGGTTCCTAGACTACTATTTTTATTAACCTCAATTACTGTTCTAATGTCTACAGAGTTTTGGCTATTGTGTATAATAAGACATAGTATTTTTTAACAAATCTAAAAAAAAAGGATATATATTAGTTTAATAGCAAACCTCGTTCATCTAAAATCTCGGTAATTTCAATTTTAAAACTAAAAATAGTCATCACCATGAACAATATTTTTTGTACAGAGAATAAATAAAAGAACATTTTTTAAGTTTTATTTATTTATAGATATTGAAATAATGTAATATACACAGACAAGTAAAAACCGTACTTAAAAGTAAAAGAGCAAGACATATTATATATTATTAAATAAGTATAATCGACAAAGTTGTATTTTCAATAATATAATATAAAGAATTAAACTAGAAAAATCTTAAGAAATAGAAAAGAATGAATATTTAAAAAAACCTTAGACCACAAAATACATCAGCATATTCAGTAGCAAAGTTATCAACATCATTACTCAAAACAGACTGAAGTCCGAATACGCATATCAGTTAATTGTATTATTTGTAGTGGTTAAGGTTTTTTTAAACATTTTATTCTTTACTAAAAATTAAATTACAATAGTAAAAAATGAATGAACCAGTTTATTGTATATAGTTCATGATGAAATAACTAAAATGAACCATTTTTCAATAGGCCAAAAATTTGACTAGACTAATATTATACTCAAGATGAATACTATTGGCACTATAGAATTATAACGTAAAATGTAATACAAATAATACAATATTTATTATTATTGTGGATAATGAGTCCTGCAAATTATGTAGGTTAGTTCAATGAAATAATGTTATTTTAGCATACTTAAAAAACTATTTAAATTTAAGAAATTATGAGGAGCATAAAATTACACACATTAAATATCAATTATAGCTCAATAAATTGTATATGTTGAAAAAGATAATTATTAACGAATAGCGATAATAATACTGGAAAACTTTAAAAATATTATAAAGAAAAATTGTATTCATTTGTATATAGATCCAAGCGATTATACAAAAATAATGAAGTAAATAATACAAAAATATGTGTTCATTTTAATAATTAAAACATGAAAGTGATGACAGTTTAATAGGAAATTTAATAGCACTGTTCTTCCAAGTGATTTAAAATTATCTTTAGCACATTAATACATTTGAAATTGATCTGATTAAACAAATATACAATATAAATATAACAAATGATTATTTATATTTACATAAATAATATTTAAATATAAGTATGTGATATAATTATTTACAGATTAAGTAAGATGGAAGATGATCTAGTGCTTATAGTTTTACAAAATATGTGATAATATAAAATGTAAATATTATAATTTGTAATTCAAATTTATACTAGATAAGCCTGAGGATAACACTGGAAGATTACTAAACAATTTAAACCATTATGGGGGGAGCATGAGTATAAATTATGATATATATATATATTTTTTTTTTCAGCAATTTAAAATGTAATTAGCCAGTATAAACTCACGACTTAGACATCGACAACCATTTTTTTGTGAATATCAGTATTGCCAACAACTGAGCAAAACTCTTCAAAATTAATTTTGCCATCCTCATCTTTATCGGCAAATAATATAGTTTTGTCAACAATTTGCTGTAACTGAGTATCTTTTAAATTGTTTCCCACCATCATTTTTAAAACCTATAAACCATAAATAAATACAAATTATAATTAAAACAATTTCTAAAATATTGATAGAAATATAAGTACTTGAAATAATTCTCCATTTGATATGTAACCATCATTATCCATATCATAGATTCTGAATGCAAAACGCAATTTTGACTCTTTATCGCCCTTTACACTGAACTGAGATACACCTTGTATGAATTCTAAAGAACAGTATGAATAAACTGTAATATAATATACATTTGCAGTGGTGAAGTTTCATAGGAGCATTGAGACGACGTCTACGGTCTACCCATTTAGAATATGGACAAATAATTTGGTTATATTATTTTTAAATAAAACATTTGTTGTTATTATTGTATTAGAATATTATAGTTGTGGGCATGCCATATATATATGAGACAATGTTTAATTTGTCTCAGTCTGGCAGACAATGTGTGCAGGGGGAATTGGTAAACAGGCTGAGGTTATTGTTGTGTTATCAGAAATGACTCTTTAATCTTTTCAGTTATCGACGTCGCATCATTGGATGTTACGACTTACCGTACTTATCGTAGTTTATTTCTGGTGTGTTATTTTATTATTATCGTCTACATTCTGATCATAAATTATAATATTGTGAATAATATGGAATATAACGATGAAATTAGCTAGATATTAAAATGTCGGCATACATCTATTCTTAATCAACTTAACGGACCTTTAGGGTTCAACGCTGCCATCATGAGATGAGTTTCTAGACAGATTCGCTATCCGGGACGGGTTGCTGGAGAGGGGATGGCGGCTCCCTTTTACTGGCCGTTAGCTTGCCCGGCAAACGGAGTGCCTTTGACCAAGTGTCAAACATTGAGCGCTAACACACTGCTGCCTTACTCACTCGGCCACTCCTCCTCTACATTTATTCTTACGAAATAAAATATGAATTGTATAATAATACTGACATTTTTTTAAAATTTAACCTTATCGACCCTGGTTGTAGCGCCATTTTTTTATTCAACGTCTCTCCGGCCAAAAGATCCATGCCTCGCCACAATACACTTGAATAAGTCTGATTAATAAGTTACCTTTAAAATCAACTTCGCCATTACCGTCCTCATCAAATATGTCAATAACTCTTTGCACAAGTGGATTCTGTTGAAGTTCCGGTAGTGATAGGAACTCATCTAAACTTAATGCACCGGAGTTATCGAGGTCAAGTTTGCGGAATCGTTTGCCCAGACGTCTAATTTCATCAGCATCAACTGTAAATATATTGATATCAGAAAAGAACATAACATAGTAATACAAGACGTACAGTTTGAGCACAACTCCATAGGCAACGAGTTTTCATTTCCCTAAATCAAAATTACACAAAAATAATATATTAGGTAACGTTAAGCTAAATGTATCAATAATTACAGGTATGATTTATCAACAAATACTATTACATACCATATTTATTGATTCAAAGTGACGTGCAACTGTATTTTGTGTCGTTTCAACGAGTTAAGAGCTGAAACGTCTTAAGAAGAACTTTATTTTAGCTTCTTAGTTCTTTCGGGGGTACCTAGAAGCCTATAGTGCACTGTACACAAACACTAGTAACTATTATCGATTATGATAAGAAATGGAAACAGCTGATAACCTCGGTCACGTCTTGTATATTCGTTGCATGGTAACCTCTTGGACCTGAGTGGTGAATGTTGATGGTAAGTGCAGATTACGTCTTGTTGGCCACATTGCCTATAGCTACGCAGCATTATACCGGTCTTATCGTGTGACCACAGATTATCTAATAAAAATCCAGGTATGTCAGTAACTCGCGATAACCGGAAAATGGGTGGCCATGTTTCAATGGTAGTATATTTTAATCGGAGGAAATCCATGCCAATATTGTGAACATTGATAATACAAGCTGCTAGCGTACCTCATATGTGTTTGTACCTCGAGTGCAGCGGTAGCCTGGAGGCAGTATTACCTTGTTACCGGTCGTGTTGCGTGTCTAAAAAAAAATAAAATTTTCTCTCCCTCCAACACAGCACTGTTTACAACATCCGTTCCGGCATTTCGCCAACCGTAACGTCCAAAATCCGATTACTTTCTTCATCTGCCAGGTCGCAGAGTGTACACATATACACGGACGCACAGCATAGGAAAAATGGCATCTGGAGTAAGTGCAATATCCGTATCCTCGTTTATCCTGTCCATCCCATTGACACCACAGTCATAATATTGTTTTTCCAGACTTTGTACACGTATCAGAACAATTTCCGTGCTTACAAGGCGCTGATAGCGGCCCAGTACAGCGGAGCGGATGTTAAGGTAGACTCGTCATTCGAGTTTGGAGTCACCAACAAACAGGAAGATTTTTTGAAAAAATTTCCTTTAGGCAAAGTGAGCAGTTATCATTACTACAACCACTCTGTCCAAAACTCATTAATATATCTAGCATCCATGTTGTATTGTTAAATAGGTTCCCGCTTTTGAATCAAACAAGAAAGAATATCTATCTGAAAGCAATGCCATTGCCTATTTTGGTGAGTTGATCATATCATATATATATTTTTTAAATTATGAAATACGAGTGAACAATATTCAAAGTATTTGGCTTAAATTATTTAGGGTACATTAATAGGTATACATTTACAGCCATTGATTATAAATTAAATGATTTCTATTTTGTGACATAGTGAAAATAAGTAAAAATAAAAATAGTACTTTACTCCCAAAATGGTAAAAACAAAGGAATTTTTATTTGCCAATTAATAAATTATACTAATTTGTTTAAATAGTATCCAGTGAGCAGTTCAAAGGTGCTACACCATATGAAAAAGCACTTGTACAACAATGGATTAGCTTTGCTGATAATGAAATTTTACCAGCTTCCTATGCGTGGGTATATCCATCTCTCAGTGTTGCTCAATTCAACAAATTGGTATAGTATACTATATAACACTTTATTAAGAAGATATTTAATGTTCAATATAATTACTATCATTTTAGGCAGTAGACAGGGCAATTGAAGATGTTAAAGCTATACTTACTTACTTGGATAATTATTTACTAACAAAAACGTACTTAGTTGGTGAACGTATTTCATTGGCCGATATCACTGTAGCTTGTTCTTTAATCCAACTTTACCAACATGTGTTGAACCCGGATTTCAGGTAAACAAAGAATTATGATAGATGAGTAGTTTTCGCAGCTTTTTAATCCTCTATCAAAGACAAACTTTTTGAATTATCTTAAAGTTTGTAACAAAATGAGGTATATTAATGTTTAACAAAGTATTGATCTGGTAATTTGAAATTAATTAGCAGACGGGCCTATGTTAGCAATATTTTATTATAAATTAATGAATATATATATATATACATTATGTTCTGTTTAATATTAAACTATATTAAATAATCTAATAAGTAATAAATTAAATGGAATTTCTAGGAAATCCTATACTAACGTAAACAGATGGTTTGATACCATAGTCAATCAACCAAAAGTAGTTAAAGTTGTGGGAAAGTTTGAATACTGCCAAAAAAGTGCGGAGTTTAACCAAAAGTTGTATACTGAACTTCAAGGTGCTTCTGGTGAAAAAAAGCAGCTAAAGAAGGAAAAACCTAAGAAAGCTCCCGAACCCAAGAAACCGGCACCCAAGGAAGAAGCTCCAGCTGAAGAGCCTGATGCAGCCGATCTCATTTTGGCTGCTGAACCCAAATCTAAAGATCCATTTGATGCCCTTCCTAAAGGGTATATATTTTTACTAAAATTTCTTGCTTTTAAAACAATTGTTTAAAATAAATTACTATAATAATAGAACATTTAATATGGACGAGTTCAAGAGAGTATACAGTAATGAAGAGGAATCTAAATCTATTGCCCATTTCTGGAAACACTTTGATAAAGAAAATTATTCAATATGGTTTGGTGAATACAAATACAATAATGAGCTACAAAAAGTATTTATGAGCTGCAATCTTATATCTGGTAAGTCAGAAAATATATTGCTCGATTTGCAACAGCTACATTGTTAATATTTTCATAGACCAATTTTTAATTACAAGTATCAATAATAATATTTTCTCCCAAAGGTATGTTTCAAAGGTTAGACAAGATGAGAAAAAATGCGTTTGCATCAGTCTGTTTATTTGGTTCTGAAGGAGATAGTACAATTTCCGGAGTTTGGGTATGGAAAGGCCATGATCTTGCATTTGAGGTATGTAGTACAATAACATATTTTGTTTTCATATTTACTATATTTAAAAAAACATGGTTACAGTTGAGTAATGACTGGAAAGTTGATTACGATGTATATACTTGGGAAAAACTGGATGCTAATAGCGAAGAAACCAAGAAATTGGTGAGCGAGTACTTCGCATGGACTGCTAAGGATAAGGAAGGCAGACCTTTCAATCAAGGAAAGATATTTAAATAAATAAATGGTGTAATTGTTTTACATCTAATATTATCTTTATCATGATATTTAATATAATATAAAAAATAAATGAAATTAAAACTATTTTTTATTATTTGTGACTAAGTTTTGTACGAATCCTTTCCAGACCTTTCCTGAAAAAGAAATTTCATCATTTTTTTTTAGTTTTAGTATTAAAATGTTATTTTACTTATGAATTCAGTAAATACATGGACAAACATTCGTATCGTAATAGCCTGACGTATAAGTATGCAAAATAAAAAAAATTGTATCAAATTTACTTTTTCTCTAGAAATAAGCATAATATAAACTACGAGTGTACAATACAAATATTTGTTAAAGTAACTATACACTTAACTATACCTTAAAGTGAAGTCTGATCCAATGCCTCGTTTCCATTCAACCTTTTCAATATTTTGAATAAGTTTTGGTAAAAAACAAGTTACAATGTTCGGCGATAAAATTATCAAATTGTCAAAAAAGTCGAATACTAATTTAGAAGAAAATGCCAAGTGTTCTTGACAGAGTACATCCAAGGACCGTAGAATTTCATCTCTAAACATTTTTTAATATTGTAAAATTAGGTTTATAAAATATTTAAATACGCTTCGTTCATCTGGGCGGGCAACTATCTGGAGGAGGAAATGGCTACCTGCACCTCTCTTTGGGGCCAACTAGTTTGGTAGCGTTAGGTCGGTAGCCAGCTATAAACCCAAAATTGCCAAATCTAAGCCCCGAAATAAAAAAAATGTTTGTCTACGGATTTTTTAAAGCTTTTTAAATTGTATATGTTACAGCCTTAACTAGATCCATCTTTAGTCTAATTTTCAGACCTTTAAGTCTTAAAAGTTTGCTAAAAAGTTTTTATCTCTTCTAAGGGAAATGGGGTTTAGATTTTTCGTTAGTATATCTATATTTTATCTGAACAATAGTCTATACAAATTTGGAACTAATTAGACTATTTTTAAAAATATAATAGTGCTGTAATTTAAAAATGTTTGGCACAATAATGTACTTTTCAGGTACGATTTCTGATCTATAGAGTTGCTAGATGAAGAAATTGATTCAGCAATTTAGAAGATACCGTGGGTCCAGACACACACACACAAAAAAACCCATACCTTTCCAGCTATGCATCAAAGCTAAAAATTATTAAAAAGTCACCTTTTACTACCCAATATAATGGTTAAATTACAAAACAACATAAATTAATTATGAAAACAAAGGTTAGCCTAATAAATCATAGATTTGGTAAAAATGCAATAATGGGTACATACTTGATTTCGTTACTGCTATTTGACTCGCTTACTTGGATTAAAGTACCTAAAATGTCATTGGCAATGCGTTTACATACATTAGCATCTTCACAAAACATCATTACAGAACAAATACGTGCAAATGTGTGATGAGTAATTGATAGTATCACAAAATTACTGTCACAATATACATTTATCACTTTATTTATAAACACCAAAACCTATAACAATCAAAATTATAAAAATCTCAATAAATAATACATAAGGATTATTACTATTTACTTGAACTATGTGGAATGATTGACCAACACTGCCCCAGGTAATTTCGTTAACATTTTTATCCTTTTATACTACATTTAAGTTAATAATATTTTTATATATAATATTGCAAAATGTATCGTTTAAAGAATTGTTAGAGAAATTTCGCTGGTTCATTTTGCTGGTTAAGCAAACTAGGGGCGGACTAGACAAGCTTCAGTCAGTAAAGAAAAATCTCTATTTCATTTATAATAGGACCGGCCTATGAAACACTAATATAATATAAATAACTAGTCCCGTACCCTAAAATAGAAGCGGTCCAGTAGGAATTTGCCTGACTGCCACGTAGCCCAGTCCTGCCCCTAGCAATTGCTGTTTTGAAACTGTTATTTACTTGGGCAACACTGCTATCTGGTGTACGATTGCGTTTACTAAAAAATAATGTTACAATAAGTTCTAACAGTAAACCACGTTCTGGGATTTCAGAATCTGGTTTATTTTCGAAAAATTTAATTAATGGTAATTCATCTGATGATTTTGTCCCCATTAAAATTTTTGGTAAGTAAATAAAAATCATTTCCCGAAGGCAACGATTAATGTACTGATCTGTCTTCGGATCTAAAACGATTATAATACATATAAATAGATGAGAATACTTTTAGCATTTCAAATGTAACAAAATTGAAACGAAAAGTATTGTTAAAATGTGTATTTATTAAACTTACGCAGTCGAAACAATCCAATAAGATAACGATGTATATTCGTTTGAAGGGCTGTAACTACACTTGGATGAGTCTTGGAATTAGGACTCCTAACAGCTACTCCCAAAAGCATAGAATCCAATAGATCTTGCAATATAGTATTTGGTTTACTCTAAATTTAATAATCATATAAATAGCTAGAATGGAAATATTATGTATATTATAAAAAATTATAACTTACTTTAACGTATATCATAGGTGAAATTTTTTCTAACATGTAGCCAATTGCCATGTATAATCTGTAAATCTCGTCATTCTGTTTTTGTTGTTTTATTAAATTGGTCACCCAAATATTGATACTAAAAAAATAGTCTGACACTTTTTCACAAAGCTTTTGCTTTGATTTTAAATCCTAAGTAAGATATTAAATAACGCATGTAAAAAACGCTTAAGCTTAAAATTATGCAGATGTATAATTGAAATGGAATAAGTACAATGTAATGTATAAATTAAACGGAATTCTTTGCTTTTAAATGATAGTATTTTAGATATAATTAAGAGATAAAATGTCAAAGGATTTAGAAATTGTTGTTTTACACATACAATAATAATAATTTACCTGAGTTTGATGATATTTCATGTTCAATTGGTCTAAAAATGTAATAAATGGATCAACACTCGTAACTAAATTATTACTAGAATTTTCATATAATTCCTGAATTTCCTTGATAGTTGATACAAACTGGGTTATAATTATTGTCTCGTTATAAGTCCAATTAGTAATTAACATTGAACTGCGTAGCCATGCCTAATTAATAAAATATTTTATAATTAATAAAATATATGTAAATTAAATAAATTCGTGTGGCATTATTGACCAAGATTATAGCTAACTTGGTCCTCACCGGTCGGCCTAGTGGTGTGGTTTGCCGCTAAAAACCCGGGTGGTCACCCATCCGGGATCAAGCGGTATCAGTCGCAGCTTAACCTCAGGCGCCTTGCGGCAGCTGCGGTGTCCACTGCGCCACACCGTACCAGTATATGTAAATTAAAACATATGAATGATTTATATTATTTATTCTACAATTTGTCAATTTGTCTACAAAATCTGACAATTCATACTTAAAAATGGTATCCAGAAATTAAATGACAGCTTTAAACTTCAATAAATTAAAAAAATTACCTTAATTAGAGCGAGACTGTTGTAACCATGAATACTGGTAGTAGGTACATTCTCTTTAATAATTATTGATAAATACCTATTGAGTAACCTGAAATTTACATTAATTAGCTAATAAAATACTTAGAAAAATGTTTTGAATTCCAGACAAAATCATAGTAGATCAATGACGCCGAAATTTAAATGAAACAATTATTGATATTTATAAACATTTAGACATTTAGGCAACATTTTTAAAAATAATAAAGGTTACTCGAACTCAACATGGGAACTAGTGCTACTATTATTAGTATTTAAAAGCACAATGAGCTTATATAAAAAATGCTTTATGAAGTAATTACTTGATGCTTATCCCTTGGTTAATAACAAAATAGTTAAACAACATCACTTTTGTGTCTGAAAAAGCCACGACAGAAGACAAGGCAGTAAATGTTGCTCCTATGTCTGCCACTATTGTATGACAGTCAATTGCCAAACATGATGTTTTTAAAAATGGCAACATTTGTTTGTATAATGCATTATACAACATGAATTCTTCATTATCTAATAAACCATATCAATGTATAATTGAAATTTATCCAAATAAATAAATCGATTAATGAAGTATTTGAAAATATTAAAAATAGTATAATATTTAACCTTTAGGTAACGGCATGGTATAATTTTTTGCTGCTTCTTTTAATTTATTTAATATAAGCAAACTTATTTGTAGAATTTCATTGTCATCGGATGGCTTGATTGTGTTTAAATATTTTTCGACCCAAGTACCTAAAAACACATCAGACTTAAGTACTACTTTAACTTAGTTTCTATTAAACTTGTATTTAAATTACCAAAAAGTATATGTTGTCCAAGAGTTAATGATTCATTGTAAGTAAAAATTTCTCTTAGACCGTCTACAAATATTGTAATGTACTCTTTGGGAGTAGTTTCGACGATTTCTGATAATGCTGAACCATATGGAGTGATTGTAATACTACGTTGTGAATGTAATATTAAAAAAGCTACAGTGCCTTTCCAGTATGTTAACCGTATACTAGACTCTAATTTTTGTTCAGTTATTAAATTTATTAGATGCTGATATTTAAGAGCCTAAAAATTAATTTACTAAATTAATAAAAATATTAACATAAAATTTCAAAAACTTACAATTTGAGAAGTATCAGATGACATAATTGCCAATGTTAAAAACAGTGTCGTAAAGTTGTAAAACCCCATTTCATTGAATGATGCCAGTTTACTTTGAGAAAATTTTGAAAAAACTCTGCCTTTTATCTGGTTCCAATCTTTAGAATTATGTGTAATCATTTTCAAATGAAGACCTAAATTCAATTTTAATGCCAATTGAATATTCACAACAAAATAATACAGTGAGTATAAGTAATAACAAATACAATAACATTTTTAATGTCAATGTATTTTGTTTTTATATTTTTAATAATAGTATTAGCAATAATATTATGGTATTTTAAAAATTTTAATTTTGAAGCTCAAATAAAAGATAACATACATTTTATTTGAATTTAAATTAGATAATTGTTTAAAATGTGTACGTGAAATTTATTTAAACAAGAATGGGTTTAAGTGGAATATAATTACATTATTAAATTGTACTTTTTATACAAATTTCTAAATTTTAACAGAGACAATCCTAATAGATTAGAAAAGCATTGAATACATTTTGGGCAAATGCCCATACATACATATTGAGTTTTTCAAATAAAATGGTTTGAAATTTTGAATTTTTTACGATGCATTTTTACATTAAAAACAACATGAAGTCAGATTTTTAGCGAAAAATGGTTATTTCACATAGCGTTGAAATAGCATAGGGTTAAAGTACTGGGATTTTTAGCTTTTTTACCCATGTATTATATAGAAAGTAATAATTTAATATTTAGTAAGAAAATGGTGAAAGTTGGCACCATCTACTAAAAAATGTACATACCGAGAAGTCTTTGAAATAACTGATAGCTATTCAAATTTTCATATGCTTCAGATATCTGAGTTTTAAAGAGATTTAACATTTGAATAAGGAGTTCCGAACCACTTTTACTGAAAATAATAAAAATTAAATTTTGTATACAATGTAAATTTTTTTTTTTAATAACATGTTGTATATACATATTTTTTTACCTGATACATGCAATATTTTGAAGATTTGTATCTGCTGAATAGAACATAGAATTAAGTCTTTTGTGAAAATATTCCCATAAAGTAATTATTGGTTCAGTAGCATAAGTTGACAGCACAAAATTTTCTGATAAACAAATAGCCAATTTCAACTGTGCTTCACTAGGTTCAAGCTTAAGAAAATCCTTAAGAGTGGTTACTAAATTACAATCCTTGAAGTCCTAAAAAATAATAATTATCTGTATTAGTTAATAATTAATTATATGCAAAAAAGCTAGTTGGCTGGATCTAGATAAATTGTATGACTAATAGCTTAACTAAATACCTAGTCAAGTAAATGCCCTACGAGAGTTTAGAACTTCGCTAAGCTATAATAAGTGACTAAAAAAAAAAATGTATTAAAATATAATTATAATTTATAAATGTAATACAACATAAAATGAATAAATGGTATCAAATATATACATAATATAGGCTAAATAAATACAATGAAAATAATTTAAATGATGTAAAAAAAAAGATGAAATATCTTACAAATAATGCTAGTTCAGCTGATCCCTGTAAACTGTTCAAAAACCATAGTCGAAAAGTTAATTCTTCACAATCCACAATTTCTACTTTTGTAAAAGTTGAATTTAAAAGTTGCCAGAAATTCTACAAAAATACACATATAATTTAATAAGTAATATTTACTTAATTATAACTAATTATTGGTGATGAAAAAAATTATGTACGTAAGTTACAATGTTTTTTCAAAATAACTATTACTATTAATTCTATGTTGTATGCAGGATTGCACAAAAAACGTGTAAACTGAATGGTATACAGAAACTCTTTTAATTCATATTAAACTTTTAATGAACGTTTATGCAACCTGACATTGGTTAGGTTTGTTATTAGTAACTAATTATGGAGTTATAATAATTAAAAAATAAGTTTAATTATTAGTTATGCAATCTTGTTATACCTAAATATTATCAATATATATATATTATATATTACTTATTAGGGTGGTCCTTAAAAAGTTTTTTTCGAAATTTAACCTCGACGCCTACTAAAAAGTTTCTAAATATAATAAAAATAAGATAAAAAGAAAATTTGAAAATATTAATTTTAATTTGTGCCCAACAAGGGTTAAAGTTTAAATGGGAATTAACATAGGATTTCGACACTTGTGCACAAATTAACACATATATTTTTTCCTACTTCTTAGTTTGAGCTGAAGTTTTGTTGGTTTTATAGCTTGGAGTATGTTGAACGTATACACCATACCCAAAAGTTTCTACTTGTCAAAATTGTTGCCAGAAAATGAAAATTTAACAAAAAATAGGAATTTTTTTATTCTTTTTTGGCTAGTTTTCAAACAAGAGAAAACACAACTAGATGGGATTGTTTTATGTTTTATATTAAAGAATATGATTTTGATTTAAAAAACTAGAAGACAGCCCGATCGCCGGGTGATGCCCAGAGAGTATGGTGGAGAAGGCAGATGACGTTATGGGATGATACCAATTTTTTACTGTCAACAATTTTCGTTTTACTAGGATTGTTATTTAAACTTACTACATTAATGTTAACTTTATTTTGAACATTGGGTTATTGACCAAGTTGAGTCTATTCATTTTTGTACTATGTTACCAAAATTTAAGGACCATCCTTATATATAAGAATGTTAAAAATAACAATAAAAAAAATACATTAATAGCTGATTAATAGTACACTTTATGGGACACTTTACTTACATCAATATTGCAAGATGATTGTTGCTCTTTAATTAATTGTTGAATGAGAAATAATAAGTCGTAGGAACATTCACACAGTAATGCACTCTTTGAATGAAGTTCTTTAGGTTTTAACTGTGAAATAATAATACAATTAGAAAAATAACATAATTTTGTGTAATTATTTACTTTTATAAATCTATTTCTTCCCAGTCGTACTAAATCTTCTAAGACATAGCTTACAGTATGTTTTAATACACTTATGTGTTTGGGAAATTGTAGTAGTACTGTTATTTGGAGCCATCGTACATCCAAATTACAGTGGTATAAGTGATAATAAATATTGTTCTGAAAAACAAACAAACATTATTAACAAACAAACAAACAAATATTTATAATGGTGTAGATTGTTAAAAATGCATTATTAAAAATATTATTTTAATATTTACTATAATAATATTACTTTGCTTTCTGATGAAGCTAACGCATGTTGAATTACAGTTTCGGACAAATTGTTAAACAATCCAAGAGATGAACATAAATTTTCAAGCTCCAACACAATTTTATCTTCGTAAGATTCTAATAACCAACTGTAATTATCATTACAATTTGCTCTAAGATATAAATAAAAAGAATTAAAATATTTTGTTGTTAGCTATCTTATTATTAGAACTACTTTTTAAAACCATCTCTCAAGAACAGGAAAAAATCTGCTATTTGCTTCCTAGTTTCTGAATATGCAGTGTCTTTATGATTTTGATCAATTGATCTAAATGATTTATACTGATCACGTAACACAGAACTAAGACTCAATATATGTTTCCTATAAAGAAATGAGATATTTGGAAATTAACATCAATAAATTAAATTATAATAGAAAAAACAGAACAAATTTACTTTACCAGATACCCTTTTTTTTTGCGATATAGTGTTTACGCTAATTACAAATCTGAAGTAAAAAATTCGGCGTAATCCTCTAGTTCCAAAGTTATAGCTACTTGAAATTAGCATATTTCCAAGTGTGGTGTAGCTACCGTCACCTATTATTATACACACAGAAATATGTAAACTTCAAATAGCTATAACTTTTGAAATAGAGGAGTCTGCCTAATTTTGAATTCAGATTTGTAATCAGCATAAAAACACTAAAAAAAATGTATTCAGTAAATTAAGTTTATACCGAAAAAATTAATATTAACTCCTAATATACTTTGCCATTTTGAATAATACTGGAAGGTCATAAACTATGCTCTGTCCTTTATGAAAAAAATGCCCAAATAAAGTCGTAGAATCAGATTGATCATCAACATTTTCATCTGCGTCTAATGTGATAAACTTTTGTTCTGTTTTTATGAAATATTTGTTTGTTCGTATTTTGCAGTCAAAACAAGGAATACATTGGGCTGAATAAAAAAAGTCAAAAAAATAATAATATGTTGCTATGATTGGTATTACAATTAATCTGTTATAATATAAATACATAAAACAAATGTTGTATTTTTACCGTTTTCTTCAATTTGTTCTGAAGTAAATAGATGCATATTATAATGAGGAGTTAATGCCATAAGAGTTTGTTATTTACAACATAATACTAACTTACTAAGTAAATAACAAAAATATTTTGAAAAATAGATTTTTTAAATTTTAATGTTCGTTTCCAATCAATTCTTAAATTTTAATGTATTTTAAAATATTAATGGACGATACACGATATTACGATGTATTATGAAAAAAGATTTAACTCCACGCCAACTATGTTCTGTAGTCTTAAGCAAATGAAAGATTAAGAATATTTTGGCGGGAAATAAATGATAATATTATTATGAACAATTACTATTATTATCTGTTATCAATATTGAAACTTTAATCACAAAATCTGTGAAATCTTATTCTGTGCTTGAATGATTGAATCACAAAATTCAAAATATTGAGAATATTGAGAATTACGTCTCAATCATAGATAAGTATAAATATAATTAAATAAAAACAAGTTTAACCCTTCACTGAATGAATTTTGTTTATTTTTATGAAAAAATTAGGAATGATTAATATTATAATAAAAATACAGGGTAGCGGAGAATGGAAGACGGAAGACCACATATTTTGTATTGGGCACCATAATTTTAATTTTTGAGGCAGAGGGGTGAAAGAAAAACCAGTTGATGCAAATTTAGGGAAGTTTTATTAGATTTGATGAAAAAAAAATTTGTGAAACAGAATGTCCGATAGATGACGTCCTTGAACAGAGATGTATTCTTGGAGGCGCTCTTAGAAGTTTATCATCACTTGCTTTAACATTTCCACTGGAATTGATATGATTTCACTTCTAATTGCATCTTGTAAATCGGAAAGGGATCGTGGCCTGTTGACATAAACCTTTGACTTCAGATACCCCCATAGGAAGAAGTCGCAGAGGATGAGATCGGCGAGCGGGGTGGCCATGAAACGTCACCATTTCGAGAGACCAGACATCCGGGAAAGTTGAACGGATGAGATTCATTGAAATTCTCGCCGTGTGTGTAGTGGCACCGTCTTGTTGGAACCAGATGTTTTCAGTATCTATTTTGTTTTCCTCTAAGTAAGGGTTGAAAAAATCTTGGAGCATAGCCGAGTAAAGCTCAGAATTCACCATCACTGCATGCCCTCTTTCATCTTCAAAAAAATAAGGCCCAATTATTACTTTTGACAATACCGTTTTCCCAATATCGGAAATTTTGTTTATTGATGTAGCCATCAAGTGAAAATGTGGTCCGCTACCGCCGAGCGCCTCCAAGAATGCATCTCCGTGCAAGGATGACAGCTATCGGACATTCTGTTTCACAAATAATATTTTTTTTCATATCCAATAAAACTTCCCTAAATTTGCAACACCTTGTTATTTTTTTCACCCCTCTACCTCAAAAATTAAAATTGTGGCACCCATTACAAATGTGGTCTTTCATTCTCCGCCACTCTGTATGTATGCCATTTTTATTTGTTCACTATACTCTATTGATAAAAATCGTTTTAAAAACGATAGTTATTTTTCTGACAGATAGCGATGTAACAAAATAAATACCATAAACAATACATGATATCAATATAAATAACCTAATGCAGTGAAGGATTTTAGTGTTTTAAAATCGCGTGTTCAATAAACAATACAGTACCAAATATTCATGTTATTTAACTTTTGACTTTTAGATCTCAAGCTAAAATTTATAACAGATTTCGTAATTCATATGGACAATTTTCACTAAAAATTAGTACTTCTGAAGATTTTTTATTGGTACTTTATCCTTAATTAGGCTACCACAGAGACCATTGAATAATAATAAATTAATTAAACATTATAATCAAATAAATGAACTAAATTTAGATTAATACATACAATATTAATAAAACCAAAGTGTTTTTTTATACAAATAGGTATATGAGCAGCAAAAAAAAAAAAATGTTTCAACCAATGCTACCAAATAGCAAGTTTGGTATTTAAATCTGAATTACATAACCATTTTGGAATTTTTATATCTTCGTAGTTTTGATAAAATCTTGGATCAAAGTGACATATTTTTCTTGAGTTTTTTTTTTTAAGTATTTGAAGTCCCAGAACCTAATTTAAGTATGTTTTAGTTCAAAATGCCATTACTCGCCGCAATTTAATATTTAATTACCATATACAGCATATCAATGAATTTTCTGACCATAAATAACAGTATAAACAAAATAATTTTAATTAACAATATTGGCAAAAATGATAAATAAAAAATAATGGATTATAATTTAACATTAATTTTTGTCGTTTATTTATTAGAACACATATGTTATGTTTGATAATAAATGTTTACAAAATGGTAATTATTAATTACTTATATACTCTGCTTTATAAAATAACAAAAATATAATTTTTTTTTATAAAACTAAAAAATTTGTTCACTTGCATCAATACTGTTTAATTTCTTACAATAATAGAGAGCAATGAAGTGATCAGACACTCTTATATACATATTACCAATTAGGAATAATTGGTTTGAATACCCATTGTTGATTGGCATTATTTGTATCACATGGAGTTAACATCACTTGAGGTGATGACGGGTGAACGGAAAGACATTTTTTTGTTCGTGTATGATGTAATAATTTGTTAGACTGAAAAATATTTTTGAATAATTATTAATAATTATTTTAACATAACATTTATTGGTTGATATATTATTATTTTATTTCTAAGTAAAGTCAATTGTACAATGAAATACTTACAGATTCATATTGCCAAGGTCCATCAACAGTTCCTAGAGAACACACAATTAATTTGACACCTTGTCGATCAGCATTAACACAACGTTCGCCAACACCAAGTTGGCCTTTAGCATTTAATCTAAAAAGCTAGAAATTCAATTTCAGTATAGTTAATTTGCCAGTAAACATTTTTATAACAAGTTAAGTAATACACACAAAACAAGAATAAATATAAAATACAAAATGTAATTTTTCAACAAGGACAGGACACTGTTTTACTGTCTCAGCATGTACCAGACATATAGTATATATGTGTATAGTTAGGTGGTCCTTAAATGAGACATGGCTTTGGATTTATTCAGCTCCAAATGTTAAAAAAATATTTCCTTTATTTTTTTAGATTTTTATTTAGTTCTTTAAGTCTCCCTGTTTGCACATCAAGTTTTTCTTCATAGTAGGAAAATATACAAGTTTGCAAAGGTTTTAATTGAGTGTACTACTAGGATAATTCTTAACAAAATGATTAAATCATTATCATGCACCATCATTAAATTATAATAATTATATCAAAGTAGAATTTCACAAAATAAACAAAGGACCTCTCTCTCTCTCTCTCTCTCTCTCTATATATATATATATATATAGTATAAATTATTAAAAAAAAATAAAATCTCAAAAATATTTACTAGAATAAAAGTTATTTCATTTGTTAAATCATTGTGGGCCACCCTGTACATAATAAAATACATACAAGATGACATATATAAATAATTTAATTATTGAAAAACTAATATTGTATAATATTTCAGTAAAATATATATATATATAAATATATTTTTTTTAATACTTGATTATTTCCTTGTCCATGACATAATTCTAAGCCAATTAATGAAGGAGGTTGTCTACCTCTAGTGTCCAAACATTTTTTTTTCCCAACGTTGTGAACCTAAATAAATACATATAAAATATAAGTACACTTTTTTGTAGGTTGAGACAAAGAAACAGACAAATGTTTTGTGCATATACACACATTATAATTTATACTAATATTTAGCTTAATGGCTTACTTCTCCCCAATGTATATTGGGAGGTAATTCTGGAAATTTAGTATAAACATCATAAGCAACATTTTCCATGAACCAAGAGAAATCTTTGCATTGTAATCTATCTTTTAATTCTAATTGAGCACTAATATCTCCCATATCTAGGTAACGTGCTAGTGGTTCTCGAGTATAGAAAAATTCTTTATGCTTTGAATCAAACCATGTTTCTATTACTCGTTTATAATTCTGAAAGAATAAAAAATGTTTGAATGGTATGTCATATAAACATGAGACATAATTAAATTACTGATTTTTTAAAAATTTTATTGGCAGAAATTGATATTTAATTAAATTTATTATTTTCAGTTACTGTGCTTACATAAGTAATCAGAGGTCCTTTGACTTTACTACCAAGTTTTCCAAAATTATATGGCATGAAACCTCGATAAACATGTCCAACCCGTGAACAAGGAACCCATTCAATACTTCCCCCACACTGCCAAATCTACAAAAAACAAAAATTGACAGAATTACATTTTAATTTAAAAAAATACATTATCTTTATGAAATATTAAGAAGCTTGTATTATACAATTAGGAGTCAAGTAAATTGAATAACAATAATCAAACGGAAGTACATTTTACCTTAAATGATAACTCAAAATTTTCTCCTCCCCAAACTAGTAAGCCTGGATCATATGCTCCAAGTTCAAGAAAATAATCTCGATTTATTGCAAATAACCCGCCAGCATGAGTTGGAGATCTAAATGGTTTAAAACATATCTACATTAGTTAATAATTATTAAAACATTGTTTTTTAAACAGCAAAATGTGTTAATTTACTTGTAAGGTTCACTTTTATAAGTCCTTTTTTGATCCTCTTGTTCTGGTAATTCAATTTCTTTATACAGCATACCCCATTCAAATATACCACGAAAGAAATGATCTTTTTCGTAAACGGGGCGGTATTCCCAAGTGTTATGATCAATTCCATCAATTACAGGTACTGTCATAATTTTTCTGAAATTAAGAAAATTAAAGAATTAATAAATAATTTATATTTACACCAAAGTAAAAAAATTACAACTCAAAAATGAAGTTTTCTTTAAATTTTAAAATGATAATCACTGTAAAATTTAAACTCCATCCAACTGTTTTGGCTTTTTTATATGTACATACCTATCTAAAGCAATAGGTGAAACTAAAGGAGGAAGCCAATTGTATCCAACTTCGCAATGAGCATCCAAAAATAAAATTATTTCACCTCGAGCATTTAAAGCGCCTTTTGATCGTGTCCTAATTAGTCCTTCACGTTCAGAATTTCTAATCAGTCTAACTTTACCATTAAATTTTTCAATATAATATTCTAATTTGTTCTTTAAGTTTTCTAGAAAAAAAAAATGTAAATTTATTATATATTATAGTGTAAAGATTTTAATTAGCTATTAAAAAATTTAAAGAATATCATTTTAGCTGCATGCAGGCCCTGAAAGAAAAAATCATGAGATGGTTTTTTGACAAATTCCCTATGCGGGACAGGGTAGCAGTCGGTTAACGGAGAGGGGATGGCGGCTCCTTTTACCAGGCAATTTCTCGACTAGTGATCAGGTGTCGAACCACTGATAGTGAGTGCCTAACACACTGCTTCACCCACTTGTCCTCTTCAATTAAAGATTATAATAATATTTATTAACTACTAGTGTCAATATTCACATGTGCATTAACATTTTATATAAAAACAAAAAAACATTTTTTTTGTAAAATAAATATTTATAGCAGTAGCTTCTATTACCTTTATCACTAAAATCGTCAACTAAAAGGATTTCTTCTAAAAATTGAGGAGGCGTTCTATTTAGAACACTGTGAACAGTTCTCAACAAAGATGACCAACCTTCATTATGAAACACAATTATTACACTAGTTCGTGGTAATTCCTCAGGATAATTCCAAAATCTACACCTGTATAGGACAAAAAATAAATTTAGATATATTCAATAATATTTGAATATAATATAATCCCAAACATTTAGATTTTCTTATTTATTTATTTTTTTTTGAGTTTAAGGGCTCATCTAGTATGCATGTTACACAGTTAAGTCAATGTTGAGAATTTACCTGCCCCCAAAAATGAATAAGATACTAAAGATATTTAATAGGATAATTAGAATTTAGATTATAAACTATTGATTTCACTGATTTGTTTATTAACATAACATGTATGTGTATTGGTATACAAACTAAGAATATACAGCTTAGTTATTATTCTATTCTTACTTAATTTAGAGTATCTGGATTATGTTATGCTAAAGAAAACGATACTTAAGTTGCAACTGACTACTTATTGTTTATTTTAATAACTCATATCATGGAAACGTAAACAACGCTTCTAATCCAGAGGATTCGGCAAATTCTCATAAAAAATTTAAGTTAAAAATATATTGTACTATAAAACATGTATATACTAGATGATCACTTTAACAAATATGTATTTTCAATATTTACACATTGTCCATCTGTATGAACATAGTTAAGTATAAATGGATACATTTTCTTATTATCAAAAATTAAGCATTAACAAAATCTTCAGATTCCACGTAATTGACTATTTTAAAAGCACACAATTTATAATTACTCTTCCATGCGCAAATCTGGGATGGTTCGATTGAGAGAAATATCATCAGAACATGCCATATTCATCCCATACTCAGATATTCCTAGCAATGCTTCATTTTCTCTACTACTGGGTACTCGGTACGGTATACCTCCCTCGCCTGGACCTGATCCATGGTTAGGAATTGAAGATTCAAAATTACCAGGTACTCCATCACGATAAAATGGTGGCTAAATTATAAAAAAACAACAGCAATTTAATAATAAAGATACCTATTTACATTAAAAGAACACCTTACTATAAGTGAATGTTTGAATTGTTTTGCATATGACGGCTGTGTAGGATATTGTATTTTTGTAGAACGTTTAAATAATGCAAACAATAGTATTATTATAATCACAGACCCAATAGCGACTCTGGCAAATTTATTGCGTTTTAGCTGTATAATCCTCATTCTCATAGACATGATAAATTACAAAAAATAAATGCCTGAAATTAAATATGTTATAAAAATTATACTAAGTTTACTAGTAAAGGAACAACTGAAGATCTAAATAATTCCATAGTTGAATTTTCGGCTTTTAAATTGTACAAATTACAGTAAAAGACATTAAAATAAACTTACATTAGCAATAAAAGATTCCAAGAAATATTGTTAAGTAGTTAATTGTTAAAATTGTTCACAATCGGCTTATCTTAAAAAAACATGTAAATTTAGCGAAACATTAAAAACAACTTTTTTTTTATGTTGACTGTTGAGTGTCGACGTCTCCAATTTTAAAAACCACTTATTGTTTACGAGATACAAAGATTGAGTTATCAATTATCAGTATATTTTTTTCCTAACCATGTTTATGTTACTGTTTATAAGGAGATTGTATAGAAATTTATCCTTGTAATATCTTTTTTACATAATATTGTCAAAATCAAATATTTAAAAATTATTTTATTTTTTATAAGATCTAAAGTTTCCTACTATACCTATTTATTTTGTATATGATTAAAGACGAGACCAGGAGTAGATAGAGAAAGTTCACCAAGGAATTTCACAGGTCCAAATGAAGTTCTAGAAATCTTCCGGAACTTAATTATTTGTTTCATAATACGAAGTGATCATTTTATCGTGAACCACTCTATATCTCACAGGGTTTAATAAGAAATTTAATTTTTTTTAAACAATGTGATCTCAATTTTTTTTGTTTTTATCCCCTCCCAACTTAGATTTTTGAAAGCAACTTTTGAAACTTAAATAGAACATATTTTTAAATAGATTTTCTTTTAAATCGCTGAAGCTGAACTGATTTCTTCATGTAGTAAATGTGTTATTTAGAAATCGTAGCTGAAATGTACTTAATTGAGCCAACAATTTAAAAAGTTCACCTCTTCTCCTTCAAAATCGAGAAAAACACCCCCAAAAAATACATATTGTGTTTCAACTTAAAATAACGGTGCTTTACAACTTTTTAAAAAAATAGTCGAATTAGTTACAAGTTACATTTTCTTTGGACATAGTACCAATGATCCTTTGATCAATGTACCAATAAACGTTGACAAACAAAAAAAACATCAAAAATACTTTTCCCCAGAAGGGGTTAACAATTTTATTTTTTTGAGCTTAGTTTTACCATAAATGGACTCGAAAACAATCTAGAGTAGATCTATAAAATTTATATTTTTCTTAAATATTTTTAGTCAACCCTCTTTTTTTAGTAAAAAATATTTAAATTTGTAAAAAATAGTGTTGTTACCTTTTAATTTTTATCATGTTATACAGAGTATTCAAAACTCAATTTGATTTCAAATTTAAAAAAGTTATATAGTACTTAAACCATTAATTACTGTGCTGGGATGTACAATATTAGGTATTAGTTTAATAAACAATTTGTCGACCAATTATGTTGCTTTAATAATGATTTATAAAACCAATAAAGATTTGTGAAACCCAGCATCAAATTTAATGAAAAAACGTTGATAAAGGAATCAAAATATAATACCATTTTTGAAGGAATGTCATTTCTGATTTTAGTTGTTCAACATGTTCATTATATTTTAATATAATATGCTATATTATGTCTTAACAGAAATGTTGAATGCAATGTTGTAAGAATATCCTATAGACCTGTTAATTAGGTAATTAATAGTTAATATGTCTATAGACTATGTAATATACTGTAAAATTGATTTTAATAATCATCATACCCACTTCATTGTTTAGTTGTGATTTTGAACAATATTGAATTAATTATTTTTTCAAATTTCTTGTCAACCTCTTTTTTATCAAGGAAAATCCAAAAATTTCGTAAAATGATTATAAACAAGTGTATAATTGTTGTTTGACATAAAACATTAAATAAAGCAAATTTCAATTTTGAAACCCGCTTTTAAAGGCTATTCGCGACTACCGAAAAATTCAAAATTATCCTGGTCTTATCAGCTTCAGGAATATCAATTTCTGTAACAATTGCATCAGACATCAAATCATTATGCAGTTAATAATAGCCGGTTTATACATTTTATATTTTAGATGTAACAGTCAATTCTAAAACTGAGATAAATTTGACCAATTAATTGATGCATAATAGTTAATAATACTATAATATTATAGTATATTAAATGTTAAATTATTTTTAATAGCAACGTTTGAATAAATGGTTTATATTATATTTTAAATGCTCATCAAAAGCATTTACATAAATAAAGATACCAACCGATCGACCGACCAACCGAGTTAAGTTTTTAACTAAGTTAGGTGTGGTGTTAATTTTTTTCAAATTATGTTATAAATATTGTTTAAACAATTGTGGGAGGCATACAAATTAATTTTAGGATAGTATATTAATTAGGCACATTTAATTTGTCGACGAAATTAAATTATATTTGTGTCATCTAATTAAATGTTAATTATTTATTACCAGTATGTCGATGATCTTGATACCGAGACTTCGGCGAGAAGGTAATTTCAAAATTCAGTGTTCAACGTTGAAACTAAAAACAATAACGCGGGGTCTATATGTATGGTAGGTAAGCTTTGCATCCCCGATTCAACCGGCACTGCTTAGCTCACTGTAGTTAATATTTAATGATATGGATAAAAAAGTATATGTATTTAAAATACACACAGCGAGAGTTTGTCCGTCCATTATTTTAAACCCCATGCGTCATCCTATCAGCCATTCATATGAAATAAATATATTGTTCACTAAAAAGCAGCTATTGTTTGATTAGACTAAATATTATAACATTTGTCCGTTGGTCGGCAGACGGGTGTCGGGGTACAAAATAATATTTTCATTGCACTCAAACAAAAACATAATAATACCCACCTAATGATAATTATTGTTTTCGTTCGGGCAAAGTATTCTATCATTTATCAAACTCCGTTGCGTACAATATCTCCCGAAACCGTTGCCGTTACAAACTACATGTGGAAAGTTGTTGCGGGAAATAATACAAAACGGTTTACATTTTGCGAAACAGTCCATCTCCATCGCCGACCGCTCGCTTATCAATATTAAAGCCTGTCGACTTTCAAGGGACGATCGCTGTGAATTAATTAATCGTGTTCGTTTCCATTACTCGGCGAATAAAACCAGAGTCCCGAGTGGGTAGGGCGAGAGGATAAAAGACCGGGGGCTCCGCGCTTAGTATTATGTCCGTGTTCTGACAACTCCTTGGTCGCCCTGCCAGCATTAAATACTACTAATATTAATAATAATAATTGTATAATTTGAGAGACTCATATTTGCAGAAATTCGAAGAAAACTTCGCATACTTATCGCACTTTGTTTCCGCACTCTTCATCGGGCCCTTTTTTTTTTTTTTTAGTCATCATTATAGTTAAAGTATAAAGTTATATTTAGAGTAGGCAAAGGTCCATAAAGGCCCATTGCTGTGTTTGTACTGTATTTTGCGAGATGCTTCAATCCAAACTGTTTATTTTCCGAAAAAATATACATATCAGGCCAGGACTTAATAGAACCTAGACGGCAGACCTTATATGACTGCCGGGCAATAATATTCTCTTCGTTAAGTTATCCTACGTGGTGGTAATCATTTTTTACTTATTATTATTGGTTCTTATTTAATAGTTAGTTTAATTAATTGGCTACTAACAAAATTAAACCTTTGTTGATTTAAAATTCAGTTCAGCGTCGTTTTATTTGTATATAATTACGATAATACCCTACCTATAGATTATATGCAGCAGTGAGTATTTCAAGAAGGCTCTCTACCTATAGTTATACAAACAATTTAAACTCATTCAACCTCATTGAACAGCTCAAATACTAATTTTCAAGCTCTACTCTCAATCGTACGCATATCATTCGGAGCACCGATTACCTTGTTTTTAAGACGGTTGTTCACGGTACAAGTGATAAAAATAATTAAATAAAAACAATTTTAACACACTTTTTTCATTTAATTACTTAAAAACTGTTATAAATCATATTTTAATATAAAATGGATAGCAATATTTTCATGAAATGTTAATGGGCTTTGTATAATACAAGGTAATTGTCTAAAAATAAGAAATTCAGTACAGTGGGATAGTGGGGACGAAGCATTTGGGGCGGAGGAGGTCACAGGTCTATATTAATTATTACAACTGAAAGTGATGAAATTACTTTCAAATAAACGTTTCGATGTGAATCTGTAATGGTAGAAATACAAATATTTAATACAAATGTACTTAATAACAATTTTGATAAAAAATAATTTGTATATTTCTATGTTGAATAAATTAGGATTGATCGTCTATCTATAATAATTTATTTCTATAATTTTCAATGTATCGTAATTAACAATATAATGAGAATATTTTCAAATACCTGTTTACAGTTGATTTACTTAAACATAGTTAACTAAAAATTGACCAAGGTCATACAAATTTAATACTAATTTGACTAATTTTTTTAAAAAGTTTTAAAGCGCCGTTATTTTAAGTTGTAAAATATGTAAGTTTTTGGGTGTTTTTCTCGATTTTGAAGGGGAAAGGGTAATAATCTAGGAGCTGCTGACAGTGTTGGTATGCTGATAGTAAAAAATCTAAATTTGTTCGTACCATTGGAGGAATGTCCCCTGAATGCAAAATTGTGATTGCCAACGTCCAGATCCTGTCGAGGAGGGACAGGAAAAAATCGGGTACTTGGTAAAATACCGAAAATCTTAGTTTATCATTTAAGTACATCATTTTTACTCAAATAACACAATGCCCAAAGGACAGCGTGGTAAGTGGTCGGAAATTAACCACATTAATTTAATGAAAAAAAAAAACCAGTTGTGTTTGAAAAATCGAGCTCCTTCCATAAAAATTAGTATTAGATATTAATTATCAAAAGAAATTACGCCAGCGAGTAATTCTGCTAAAAACTGTAAATTAATTATAAATTATTAAACAAATATTCTTGAATTTTCTGCGAACAAATTGTAAGAACCAATACTTTGTAAGCTTTTGTCGAAGTTTTAACTCCAAAAAAACTGGATAACTAGTAAAACATTATTTTTGGCTACCAACATACATATCTTACATAATAGCTAATGGGCTTCTCAAATGCCTGGAAGTGGGAACGTGGCTTCCCTTGCTCACTTGCAATCCGGGCTCTTAAAGATATCTGATATATAATATTACCTACTAAAATAGAACTCATATTTTTGGCGCGTGGGGATTAGGCCTCCCAAACATAAAACGATCGTTTTGTCGATATTTTGACAAATATAAGATTGACAGATAACTATAAAGGATGGCAATGTTTGTCAACGAGCTGTTCATTGACAAGTTAACGCTAAGTATCAACCGATGGGTCGATAGTTGTATGGACAATTGTATGGGGTTGTTTTCAAAAAATTGCAATTTACATGTGACATGGCTGTACAGTAAGATTCATTAAGTATAATATACTCATTTCTTAAAATAATTTCACTTTTATAGTTTTTCTTTTTGAAAACATTTTTGTTATTTTACAATATTATAAAATTACTAAATATTTACCTTTTTTAATATTTTCCAAAAGTCTATCAACTTTTGAGCTGAAATGGGAACGTATATATTTAATTCAAATTTTAAAAGTAAAATATTTTGATTTGTCGATAACCAGTTAAAAAAAATTACTTTTTAAGTTATTAAAGTTTAAAATTTAAGAAGTGATGGTTAATTGCGGTTGAGTAACGCGTGCAGATAAAAATAGCTCCACCCTTCCTCCCGTCCTAAACTTATTAATATATATAATTACTATATTAATAACCTAAAAAGTAATTATCTTAAACTGGTTATCGGTCAGTCAACATTTTCAGCTAAATATTCTTAATTATAAAAGTCAAATAAATTTGTACGTTCCCATCTAAGTTTCAAAAGTTGAAAGCGTTCTGGAATAATATCGCTCTGTATAAGTATTATTTATTTTTGCAATTTTTTGAAAATTTTGTTACACAATTTTACGAAATAAACATTTTTTGTGGCATTACCAAGCTAGGTATTTAAAAAAAAAAACTAAATAAATCAGCAAACAATATTAAAGCTTTGCATTTGTCTAGATCGAACTATAAAAACGAGTTGACATTTTCGTCGTCTTGTGAATGGTGAACCGTAGGTTGTCGATTTGTTGATCAATTTGAATGCCAACAGATCGACAAACCGATCATTTCGTTTCGGACACTTTTTGGTGCGAAAAGCTTAAGCGATCGCCTTTTCCCATTTTTTTGATTATCTTTTGGATCGCGTCTTGCCATTGGAACGTATTTTTTTTTTCAATGGGTTCGAACCGACGATTTTGAGGAAAACCGCGTCGACGGAGATATTTTATTAAAACTTTTCGCCGCCGTGTCCTTTCGGCATAACTCGCGCATGTCTGCTCGTCGGCCGTCGTCCGAACGAGTTAGTTTTTAATTGTCCTTAAAATTAATTTCAAAACATTCCGGCCCGTCATCGTCTTGGTGTTTTTCAAAACTATTCGTAATAATTCACGGTTGTTTCGCGAAAGACCACTCGGCGGCCGGACGACAGGGTGTGCTCGTGTTGCGGTGCACGAGAAACGAAAGTGGCGGCGGCGGTGGCGGCGACGGCGGCCATGGCGCTCCCCGAAGCACAGGCTCACGGTGTCCGACCGGCTGTCAGTCGGACGCGCGTCTTGTCCGTGTTCGGTGTTTTCCCGTGCTGCAGACTACGCGTGACTATTCGATCCTACACGACTACGTTAACATTTTGTTTTTAACGTAAACGTCTGTCTTGTGACCGTTTCGGCCACCTTTTTCTCTACCCTCGATCCACCACTTGTTGCACCGTCACGAAAAAACAACTTCACCGGCCAGCACATATATTGCGGGAACCGCTATTAAGTAAGTCACACGATAATATAGTATAATAAAATACATAATATACCTTCGTCGTAGCGTTGTTGTTGTATTTTTGTTTTCAATCGACTTTTTGCCGCTTCTTATTTCGAAATTACCATTTTAATAAAACACCCGCGAAAAGTCGTTACGCACCACCGTCGGTAATATTTATGAAAATTATTCATTTTTAACTATACGAATTTAAATGGAAATCCCAAATGGTTTTTAAACATTGCGAGCGCACAAAATTTGCGTATTTAAATTAAAATATTAAAATGAATTCCGTTCAAAGGCAAAATAAAATTAGAACCGGTCGAGTAAATAAATTAAGTATACTGTAATTCGCCTTTGGCCAAATAAAAAATAAATAAGTGGATATTGCTTAATCTATAAATATATTTTATATAACCATTATTTATCGAATTTGAAAATGTTACAATTCTCAAAAGAAATCTGCGCGGTTGAATGTCTCGAACGTGTTACCTTGAAACCTTCCGTGCAAATTGTTTCAGAAGAAATAGCAATATTATAAACGACATTTTTTGCAATACTTTTTTGCAATAAATGCAATATTGTATACTTATTTTTGTGTATACATTTTTAGCAGTCAGCTGTTGGTATAATTATACAGTATAAAACACGTAAAAAACTAGTACCGCTTCACCGGTTTTTTGTAATTATTAAAAGACATCACAGTATATTATATTCTTTTTTTTATAAATTAAAACTACGGAGTTGTAAGTTGATTGAAACTTGCACAAACAAATAACCAATTTTATAAACAACTATATAGTTGTTAGAACTTAGAAGTGTATACTTAACGAATTAAATCAACGTATATAAAATAAAGTTATGTATTTTGAGGATATACCGTTTGGAGAATAATAATAGATGATTCTCTAGGCACATAATTTTTAAACATTGTAATAAGGCACTTTTTTTAAGTAAGACGTGCTCGGCTACTTATAATGAAAACATTAAATTAATTTAGATTGTTATTTTTTTAAACATTTATTATTAATAATTGTATTGCAAAAATAACAATACTATTATTATTATAATATCATTGTGAGCACCTGTAGTTCTAATAATAGTACATAAATGTATTAACTAAAAACTAAAATTCTTTCTTAATAATAAACACAAAGTATTAAACCATTTTAATGAAACGCCTATAATTATGATTTAGTCCTTTATAATCCTTGAATCATTTCGTTTAGCTGAGATACAAAGTTAAAAATGTATTGGCTTAACAATGACATTTTTAAAAATAGAAATGATTATAAACAAATAGGTTGTCTTTTTGAATTGTCCGAAAATACTTTGAGACAAAAACTAAAAGCTGGTAAAGTTCACTTTTTACCTCTACAAATCGCCTGAGAAAAGTACCCGAAAAGTGTACAGGTTTTCAATTTTCATTTTGTCATACCATAATGGTATAAAAAATTACCTAAACATTTATTATGGAAAACGCGTAAGTATTTAAGTTTTTGGGAATGTATTTTTATAACTCTTAAAAAGTAATATTTTTTCAAATTAGTGTTGCTCTCAAACTAGTGGCCGCCCGTTTTCATTGTGTTTTTATCTCAACTTTGGTGGATTACTTTTTAATATTTTCCATTTTTTTAAAATAACTTTAAAACTTATAAAACAAATTAAATCGTAATAATATATGACTTTAGGAGGGTATTTTAAATATTTTATTAAAAAAAAGCTAAACTATCATCGTAAATTTCAACAATCGATTAACGGTTTTTTTTCCAAAAGAACACGGGCAATTGATTTGTAATGAAAGACATTGCATTTTGGTTTCTTGCGCAATGTTTTCATTTTAAAGTGGACCTATTGATGTCACGCTAAACAATCAAGTACCAGGTGTCTATGTATTTTGTATGTTTCAGTTGATTAGTCATGTAAAATAGTGTAAGAGGCTTTACGAAACCTAAGACCTAGACCTAACAGAATTAAAGTCCCAAGATATTATTTGACACGCTCCATAAATTATACATTTAAAAACACTTGATTATAACATCAGTTATAAGTTGTGCATTATAAATAAACTATATACTATATTGTAGACATTGCAAAAAAAAAAAAAAATCAATATTAACGTGTAACCCGAAAATATTTGCTATGCTGAGCTATCAAATTATCTGAGTTTACTTAATTCGTGTTTCTTTATATTTTATGTAATATAGTTTTGATATTCAGTGAATTTAGTAAATTTCAAACTGTTAAAATGGCTATTTCATTGTTTGTACAGTTTGTACTTTTAACAGAACTAAGATATTGATCAAACGGGGATATAATATCATGCTCATTACTAATGTAAAAGTAACAACAGAAACTCATTATTGTAGGTTAACTTGTTTTGTTTAAAACTAAAACAAACTGTTGCGAATTTAATTAGGCCGATAGCGGTATATTGGTAGGAGTGCCCCACCCTTCGTTGACATTCCAACACATCATGCACATGCATTGGAAACAAACCTTTATATTAGCCACACAGGATGAATCCTTTAAAGTGTCACACAGTCGGAGGTGTTATCACGTTCTGTGACCGCCTCTGGTAGTAGCTATTGCCTATTGCTGCGCTGAGATTCGGCCTCTTCAACTCGAGGACAAGGTTGAGACCTTCAGCCCGAGAAACGTGACCAGAAGTCCCATGCTTTATTCATAGTAATGACAGTAATAATAATATGTATTATAATAATACATGCATAAACGTTTATAATAAATATTAATACAACGATTATTTTTAAGTGTTAGCAAAAATGACATGTGTAACAACGGAAAAGAAAAAAACTAGACCTGTAGTATAGATTTTGGACAATGGTGTAATCATTGAGTCTAATACTACTGGCTGATGTGGTGCATTTGCATGAGAACGAAGTACCTGCTGGCGAGGTCAATGTTTTGGATGGATTGCTGAATGACCGGAAAAAATAAGGAAAGATTATGGCGAGCTGAGGGCAATGAGCATGTGTGATGACCGACAGACACCTTGTATTTATAGATTCCGGTTTTTCGCGCTCCAGGTTGTGCACGAATCATAATTATAATATTAGTATAAATGATTAAAAACACTAGATCATTAGCGTTTACGTCTTTCGAATATTCAAGAAACTGTAAAACACTCAACTGGAACTCGTGGTGATTTCCATCGTCAATAATATGTCTGATTTAATGTCCTGCAAATAAATAACGATAACAAATAAACTTTTAAAGATTTGATTTTGTTCAAGATAAATGCTTTGGGGATAAATATGAAAACGCACTATAAAAGTCCAAAATTAAAAAAATACAAACAAATTTTTTTAAATGATTGTGTATTAATTTATTTTATTTGCTTATAAATTTTATATGATAAAGTTAGTAAATTGGATATTGTTAATTTCAATTAAATTGTTCTATACATTTTACAATCATCATGATAGTTTATAATTAATTGAATTGATGAGACTTTGTATAAAAAATATATATGACTTTTTAACCCATTACTGTAACTACATAAAATTGTTAAGTAATATTTAATTTTATTTATGTTATTTTGCAGGATATTTACTATTCAATACTTCGTCGTTGCCGCGAAAAAAACTCCCATGTGCTGAAACCTAATTATTTAGGAGACATTAAAACGTGTAAAACGATTTATATTAACACATGGAGGTTCTTTATTTTATTTTTTATGTATTCTACAACAAAAATAGCACGTTGGAGATTTTATCATATGATAGCTTATTTTTTTCTGTATCTAGGGATACCAAAATCTCAAAATCGTAAAATTGGCACTTGGGTTTTTTTTGCGACACCGACAACTTGTTAGAATTTCGATATTTCTTAACAAATAAGCAAGGAAAATGTAAAGTTAAACATAGGTAATATTAAAATATGTTTAGAGCAAATTTCGAAGTACTAACAAATTGTTGTACAATTTTAACACTTCTCAAAACATAAAAAAAATAATTTTATCCAGTAGCAGCAGAGAAATATAGGATTCATTTTTAAAATTTGTATTTACAATTCTATATATTGCCACTATCAAATGATATTTATGAGTATTTATTTCCGTAATAATGAGCATTAAAATGTTTTTTTTTAAAGTAGATACCAATATATATTACTCTTTAACTACATTTTACATTTTATAATTCATGTATAGTATCGAACAAATAATCTAAAAGTACGTTAATCCTGGAGGAATGTATAAAAATAACAGACTCAATATGTTTTTGACAGGATGACCTGCATACGGGACGAGGGAGCATAGTATAATAACGCTATAAAAACAAAATGTATGATAACTTAATTGAAAACACTGATGTATAAAAAACAAAAATTTTCTACATGAACATTTTTTATTGAAATACCTTGCATAGGTATTTCAATAAAAAACAAAATATCAATTTGTTTTAATTATAAAGTTTTTAGTGCATAATATGTGTATATTTATAACATATATTTTTTTATTATAAAATTCACGTTCTTTGAATATCGATAAATTATCTAGAGATTGAAATAAACAAAATGTACTATTTTTTCAATTGGTATACTATAAGTAGTAAATTATGTTTTTGTCATGAATTTTTAAAAAAAATTGTTTTTATTATTCTCATTATGCTCATTAAAAATAATTTCATTATAAGTGATCCTCACTCAAGGTCGGAATTGTTGTGTAGAGTTCGTGCATAGGTACTTCGAAACACTGTAATGATCATATTATGTTTCTTTTTTACATTTTTATAGTTTTAGTGCCAATAGTGACAATTATTATGAAACAGTATGCATTGAACATAATGATCATAACATCCTTTGTAACTTTGTCCATATGAAATAGTTTCATGAAAAGTGGATTTGAGAATTTTAGTTAAGTTAAATCATTTTAAAAACGAATGTTGGTTATCTTTTGTTTAAACATAGTATAAAAAAGTTAAAATAAAACTGTTTATTAAAAAAAAGTATTTTATATGTTTTATATTAAAAGAAAACTTTAAACAACTCGA